CAGAATCAGAACAGAATCGGAACCTAATGGAAACCTAACGGGAACCAAATCGGAACCAAATAGGAAGCGAATAGGAACAGAATGGAAACCGAATGCGAACCAAATGGGAACCAAATAGGAATCGATTAGGAACAGAATGGAAACCGAATGGAAACCGAATTGGGACCTAACGGGAATCAAATGGGAACCGAATGCGAATCGAATCGGTACAGAATGGGAACCTAATGCGAACCAAATGGGAACCAAATGAGAACCAAATGGAAAACAAATAGGAATCGAATAGGAAGAGAATGGAAACCGAATGAAAGCCGAATTGGGACCTAACGGGAACCGAATGGGAACCAAATAGGAATCGAATAGGAGCAGAATGGGAACCGAATGCGAACCGAATCGGTACAGAATGGGAACCTAATGCGAACCAAATGGGAACCAAATGAAAACCAAATCGGAACCAAATAGGAATCGAATAGGAACAGAATGGAAATCGAATGGAAACCGAATTGGGACCTAACGGGAACCAAATGGGAACCGAATGGGAACTGAATCGGTACAGAATGGAAACCTAATGCGAACCAAATGGGAACCAAATGAAAACCAAATGGAAACCAAATGGAAACCAAATAGGAACAGAATGGAAACCGAATGGAAACCGAATGCGAAACGAATCGGAACAGAATGGGAACCGAATAGGAACCCAATGCGAACCGAATTGGAACCTAACAGGAACCAAATGGGAACCGAATCGGAACCTAATGGGAACATAATGCGAACCGACCGGAAACCAAATGGAAACCGAATAGGAACTATCAAAATTAACAAAATAACTATCAAAATAACAATAAATTTCAGCCGTTACACAGCCGTTTCGTTTGAAGGAAATTTCTTTGAGTTCACGCTGAAATGGCCGTGGGCTCAATTTGGAATGTGTTTCTTGGTTGGAGCTACAAGTTTTCTTCTGCAACTCTTCGCAATTGTGCAATCGAATACGCCTGTTCTGATAATTGTCTCTTTCATGATCAGCTTTGATTGCTTCACTTACAAGAAAATGAGAAAGGTTTGTGTTTTTTCTTTTTTACGTTTTTATTTCTTAGAGAGTTTAGTTGAAGAAACTCAAACAAACGACTAGCGAGGGACGATTAATGTTTCAGGTTTTTAAATAAAAGAAAGAAATTAGACGTGGGTCTTTTCATGGGACTAAAAAGGATGAGATTTCAAGAGTTGCCCCAGCGATCAAATACTTTTCGAAAGAAAAAGAATATTGGCTTAAGGGGGGTATTAATCGCGGCCGGGTGACGATAAAAATTTTTTTACGGCAACCACCTGTTTTTTTATTTTAATATCGCTGATTTTATTATAAAAAGAATAAAAACAAAATAAAAAGCACAAAAAACAATAGAAATAAATTGTTAATCTATAATTCTTCCTCTTGCTCACTTTCATCTTCGCTCAAGTACAGCAGTTCCTCAAATCGGCTTCCTATCTTATCAATTTCCAGCGCATCTTCATCAGAAGTGACTGGATCTCCTCCACCGTAGGACGTCTTCAGCGCTTTGATTGACACAATTAGATCTTTTTTTCCATTTGTGGTCGCTTGTGGTTTTAGTTTTCTCAAATAGGTGCCTTTTAGCTGAGGTGTCTGATGAGTGACGATCTTGTTTTTCTCCAAGCCTTGCAGTGTCTCCAAAAATTTGTAAACCCATCAAATCACTCTAGCCGGGTGATTTTTATTCTTTTTATAATAAAATCAGCGATATTAAAATAAAAAAACAGGTGGTTGCCGTAAAAAAATTTTTATCGTTACCCGGCCGCGATTAATACTCCCCTTTAAGCCAATATTCTTTTTCTTTCTAAGAGTCTTTGATCGCAGGTTCGACTCCTTGCATCGCATCCTTTTTAGTCCCTTTAAAGTAGAGCTAATGAAAGGAAGAAGAGAGGAAGAAGAGAGGAAGAAGAAAGAAAGAAAAAAAGGTTTGATGAATTTCATTTCAGATGCTTTCCAGTTCAACTGTTTATTTAATCTTTTATGGGGTCATAAAAGTATTGATTATAATTCTTTATCCATCATTTGGTTATTGGTTATTGGCAACGGTGAAAATGCTCTTTAGCAATGTACAAACGACTCTCTACACTTTTGGGCAAAGGTATCTTTCACAATTTTTCTTTCTGAATACAAAAAAGAAGTCAAATTTCCCTTTGCAGCTTAGCGAGTGCCGTTTTTTTGAGGAGAAAAGTCGAGAAAAAAGCGATGAAATCAATTCAGCTGATGCCTAACATTGGAAACAAGATCACAACAGCAAAAACAACAACAAAAACAAAACCAACAACAACAACAACAAAGGCTTAGCTTTGAAATAATAAACTTGTGAATCTAAATACAGGAAACAGCTATAGACATAGTTTTGCCTTTTTTTAACTTCTCTTTAATTGAATTCTTTCTAATTCGGCGAAATTTTTGTCCTTTTTAAATTCTCTTCAATTGATTTCTTTCTAATTTTTGCTATTTCATAAGTGTTTTTAGCCAAAAGATAGCCAATTTTTCCAGAATTTAAAACTTGGACAGCGTAGCTGGATATTTCAGCAAGATGGAGCACCGGATCACAAGTCTCGAATAGTCCAGGATTGGTGTGAGCAGAACCTATCAAATCTCATCTCATTCAACGTGTCGCCTCCAAGCTCGCCGGATCTTAATCCGCTTGGATTTTTCAGTCTGGTCAATCTTAGAAGCGTGTGCTAAATCACAGCGAACAGTTGATTCGTTAAAGAAATTCCTTAAAGCTCCTTAAAGCATGAAATGAGCTTGATATTGCCTACTTGGTTGCCACAGTTGACGCCTTCGACGTCTTGAAGCGTGCGTCACCGCTGACAAAAGAATTTTTGAAATTTTTAACTTGTCTTTAATTGAATTCTTTCTAATTCGGCGAAAGTTTTGTCCTTTTTAAATTCTCTTCAATTGATTTCTTTCTAATTTTTGCTATTTCATAAGTGTTTTTAGCCAAAAGATAGCCAATTTTTCACAGAATTTAAATCTTATTACTGTTTTTAAATAACTTCTTTAGATTTTGAATTATCACAATTTTCGTGAGCTCTGTGGTCACACAGCTTACTTGTATTACCAGGATAAGAGAATCTGTCTCAGAAAATAACTCAAATGATTTGAAAGATTCAAAAAAATTCTTTATCACCTCCAAACTGGAAATACAACAACAGTTTTCAATAAGTTTTTCATTTTTATAGAAATTTTTTGCAATAAAAATGAGCAAAAATTTATGCGTCCACAGAGAATTTTAACTAAACACAGAGAGCGATAACTCAAAAACTAAAAAAGTGATTTCAAAACTGTAATAAGAATTAAATTCTGTAAAAGATTGGCTATCTTTTGGCTATAAAAATTAGAAAATAAAATCAACTAGGAAACTTTTAGAGGGATTTCTAAAAATGACAGCATTTTGAAAAACCGCTCCCGGCAAGTGCTCCTAATTTCTCGACCATTTGGAGAATTAACTTAAAAATAACAAAACAAGTGAACAAAACTTTCAAAATCACAAATCAATAATCAATTGAGCCTCGCGAACTCGAAAAAACTCTGTTGTCCATGTTTAAAACAAGATTAATACACCTTAGTGTAAAAACATAGAGAAAATCTCTGTCAAAATCAGACTATCCACTTAGAAGAGTCGATCCAATTAAATGGTCCATAACTCCAGGTCTAGAAACCCAATCAACTCTTCGTTTCTTTTATTAGAATCTACATTAAATTTGACTGAAAAAATATAGAATCTGTTTTGTAAACTTGCCGATAAAAACATAGAGAAAATCAGGGTCAAAGTCGAGATAAGTGTCTGCCCCCCCCTAGAGATTTGTCTACCCCCCTAGAGATTTGTCTAGGGGGGTAGAGAGTCGAAGTTTAACGACCCTTCTCTTCTCCTCCATATCTCAACTTCCAATTGACCGATCAACTTGTGATTGGTCTTAAAATGTTCCTTATAAAATTCGGTTATAGAAATCCCCAAGTTATTTAATACACTTTAGTGTAAAAACACAGAGAAAATCTGTGTCAAATTTGAACTATTTACCTGGAAGAGTGGATCGATTTTCACGGTCTATAACTCGAGGTATAGGAATCGGATTCATTTGTAGTTGCTTTCAAAAAAATCTTTATTTAATTTGCTTGTAGAAAAGTAAACTTGATGTTGTATACTTATGTATAAAAACATAGAGAAAAATTGCGTCAGAGTTGACTTGTACTAAAAAATCTCTGAGGAGATCATGGAAATCTTTAAGGGGGATCAGGGAAAAATCGACATTCCGAAATTCCGCGAAACAACCCTCCCACCCTGTACGATCCCCCCCCCCCCCCCCTTATAGGGGAGAGAATTCGAGGAAAATTTCATTATTTTCGGCGAATTTTTTTGGAAATTTTTTAAATTGGCTGATTTTAGATTTGTATTTCCGGTCGCGTCCGTTTCCTTCCTATTTGCGTTGCTATTTTGCAATTATTCGCGTCGCATTTTTCGCCCTTTTCTCCCTTCCCGAAATTGTTTTTTTTTGATCTGCGGGTTGCTTTTGCCTTCTTTCTGGGGCGACTTGGTTGTTTCTTTTGATGCGCATGCTGTTTTTGTAATGGGTATTGTTGCATTTTGGTTTTGTATTAATAAACAGTAAAATTATAAATTCAACTTACTTTCTGCTACCCTTCAGGTTTCAAATCCTGTTTAGATAACTGGTTTAACATTGTAGAGAGAGCTTACTAACATTTGTGTCGCCACCGACGAGTATTAATCTTGTGTTGGATGCTGCGCGTTCTTGTTATTTTGTAAGCGCTTTGGGGGGAAACCCTTTTAACCTTCTTTGTGCAATTCGGCTATTCTGAAGCAAAATCATCCTCGATGATAAGGTTAAAGCGGGTCGCACCCCAAACTTTTCGAAATTGATATGTTTTCAACTAAATTCGATAATCTTTTTCAATTTTCAGATTTGTATTCTTTCGCAATCTTTCGCAAATGGCTTCCTGCAAACAACTCTTTTCATCTCCGCTCACGTGCCATTCACTCACGTATCGCACCGCCGAATTTCTCGTTGTTGATTTCGATAAGAAAGGGCAAATACCGGTATGTTTCTTTTTTCTCTTAAATTTTTCCATTTTTAGTCTTTGAAATTTCCTATGAATGACCCAGAGCCGCAAATCATTCGCATCACGAACAAGCACCCCACCGAGGCGATGTGTTTACAGGTTTTTACTTTTCTGACCATTCATTTCTTCCCATGTTTTCCAGGTGTTTCCTCCGCTTCCGAGGGATGCTTGGGACAAACCATTTGGACATGTTTGGTCAACGATGACGAACGAGTGGTTTCTCGAGGTTGTTTTTATATCATTTATGTTTATATAGTTTAAATTAAAGATTGATGGTTGGCAATTTGATTCTCGCCTCTCGGAATCCCCCCGTAGTCACTGCAAAATCATTCGCATGGAATCTACAAGTTGAAGCCCGGTGTGACTAAAGAAATGAAAATCCATGGACGCCAAGGTGGGTCTTGTATTTTAGTACTTTTAGTGCACGAGACCCTTCCCCCACGATGATTATTTTTTCTAGCAAAGTTCCTGAGTGTTCTGTAAAACCGTGTTGTCATCGTGGAGGCGATGTTTTATGCGCTATTTTCCTGATCGATCTAATTGAAACCCTAGTTAAACAAGAAACCTATGGTCTGAAGTTATATGGTTGGGTGAAAGGAATGAAGATTGCCGATCAAGTCATGGTGGCATGCCAAAAGTATGGCACACCTCTTGGTCATGGTAAGAAACCAATAACTCCCTCGGATTTTCATGGTATGTCACTTGATTTTTTTTCGCTAATATCTTGTGATTTCAGCGATGGAATTCGCCGCATTCTGCGAACTGCAGGCCAGCATCGACGACGTGGCACTTCAAATTGATGCGGGCTTCGTCGTGCCGGTGATCCTGATCGAGCAGTACATTTTTGATGTACTCGACAAGGTCCTGCAGGCTCCGGAAGATGACGACGTGTCATCATCTTCCTTGCGCTCAAGTACAGTTTTTTCGTCTTCTTCCTCTTCGACAGCTAGCATTGCTTCTAATGCTTCACTCCAATCTTCGGTTTTGTGTGGGTTTTTTCTATTTTACTAATTTCTAATTTTTGTCAACTCGACTTGCTTTGTATTTAATATTTTTCATTTTCTATAAATAAATAATGTAGCAAAAGCACTAATCTTTGAATTTTTAGACGATGAATTAAATGAAAACGTCTCTTCCATGTCTTCATCTCTCTCGACTGCCTCTTTATCGCTTCTCGGCAATGGCTGTATGTTTAATTTAAGATTATACTTTCTACTTATGTATTTTCTTTTTTGTATTTTCTAGTCTAGTATAATCTAGTCATTCTATTTAATCTATTGTTTTAGTGATTCATTCCACTCCTATGGTACAGGACACCCCCGCGAAATCGCCCATTGCTGCCGTTACTTGCCAAAAGCGACGTCGCTCAGGTGATCTGTTTCGAGATAGCTTGAAGACGATCGCGGAAGTTGAGTCTGCTTCCAATTCCGATCAACCAGGCCCGTCTAATCAGGTAAAATTTTACTGAAATCACAAGATATTAGCGAAAAAAAATCAAGTGACATACCATGAAAAATTTTACTACTACTTAAAGTTTTTTATGTAATTACTATTACATTTAATTTTCCATTTTTTCAGAGGATCCGTCACAAGGACAATAATAGTGATGAAGACGGCGCTCTCATCGACTTCATTCATACGTCAACATCTCAACCCCGTGGCTATGAAAATGCATTGAGTGATAAAAATCAAGGTACGTCAAATTTCTATTATATTTTTCGAATAATAGATTTTATAGAATTGTCTCATTATTTTGAAATTTTTAAAGTATTAAATTTTTCACTTAAAAAGTCTTTTGATTTTATAGATACTCACATAAGGAAAAATGATGGTTGCCCCAAATGCCATAAAACCATGTATGGGAAGGCGTGTTTGAGATGCCAAGACGGATGTTTAAAATGGTGGCATACGTAAGTTTTTTTTTCAGAAGCTAGCCCCAATAAGTTACTCTGATTTCAGACGATGTTTTGATACCACGTTGCACTATCGAGCTGATGAAGCAAAAGCTCGAGCACATGATGGAAAACTTCTCTGTGCCGCCTGTCGACAAGGAATCTGAGTTTGATTTAGCCTTTTCTAAATTCTGTGTTCTGTTGGCTTTCGTGACATTCGTGAGAATTAGCCCAAAAGTCTAACCACTTTATTAGTCATTTCTGGTGGCCTCATAGCGGTTTCTTTGCATCAATAATTTTTTTTCTTAGAATTAGTTAGTGGTTTATTTGAGTTCACTTTTTTGGGTCTATAAATATATTGAGTCTGCTCCGCTTTCGTTTTTCATATATTTTTAAAAAAAAATTTTTATAAAACCGATTTTTTTCATTGGTACTTTAGTTTTGCATATTATTTTGCAATTGAATAAATTTTTATAAGAATAAGTTGACCTTTTCAGAGTACTGACTTGAGTACTGACTTGAGTCAGTACCCTGATTATAATCGGTTAATCTGGTTATACATCACTTTTCTAGATGTAAAATGTCACGTAGATTCCGAAGCCGCAGTTAAAAATTCTAGTTTCTCGACAAAAAGTCCGTGTTTTTCTAATAATTGTACAATTATTAACGAAAAAGAGTACTTTTTGTTAGGTGATCCCCGATTTTGTCGGCGGATCTGAACTCCACGGCTAAAACTAGGTCTAGAAAAGTGTTCTTAAGAGATTTAAAAAAAAACAAGGTATTAGACTGTACTTTTTTTTCCTAAAAATATTTTTTGTTTAAAATTGCTTGAGAACTCTTTTTTAGACGTAGTTTAATTGGTCTTCGGTACCGCAGGCTGATTAGTACTATAGAGATTCTAATAGTGTTTTTCATAGAGAAATGTTAAGTTTGAGTTTTACCTACCTAGCTTACTATCTATCTAGCTTACTATCTATCTAGCTTACTATCTATCTAGCTTACTATCTACCTAGCTTACTATCTATCTAGCTTACTATCTATTTAGCTTACTTTTTTAGATTTCGTAAGCTAAACTGAAACCAATTAAATTTCCAATTTAAGCATTTCGGTAAAATTTTGTCGCTGGTAAGGGGAAAGTGTATAATGATAAGCAGAGTAAAAATGAATGAGATCAATGATCGAAAAGATGCAGAATACTATAGAGAATACTGATGTCGAAAAATTCAACGTTAGTTCGGTAAAAGATTCTTTTATTTGTTAGCACTTTGAAGGTATTAGATTAAACTTGTTTAGAACAAAGAAACAAAGAAAACCTTTTCGTTTGACCTGAAACTTCGGATTCTGATCTTCAGCCGCTGATTGATGATCAAGAAAAGGTCAAAAACCCCGCACATACTTGTTAGTAATCGAAAAATCAACTTTATAAAGGGAAAATTATGAAAACATTTGTTCTATGGTCATATTTTTTTGCTCAATATTTGCTGGTCAATATTTTCTACGAAATAAATTGGAATAACTCGTTGATCGATGATGAACGAGAGAGAATGTTTGACTTTGACTTCAAGTACCCTCCAGTACGCGAAAGAACCAATAAAACAGAGTCTCCTCATCTTTCAATATTCTCACATTTCCGAGTTCAATCCCGTCCAAAAAAACCCATTTTGCCCTTTTTCCCCCATTCAAGTCCATCAGAATCTATTCATCAGAATATAGATGAGAAATTTATTTGGCTTCTTGTTGTTCTCGATTTGTTTTATGAATGGCTTCGTTGCTCAATTCAACAGCAGTAATGGTACAGGTGTGTGTGAAAGTTTTCAAAAAGAATTCAGCTTTCAACTAATTCAGATTATTCAAATGAAAAAGTCTTAAAGCAAGTTTCTCGGGAAAATCGGTTTATCGGTTTAGCCAGAGCTTAGCTAACTTGCCCAAAGCCTAGCTAACTTAGCCAGAGCTTAGCTAACTTAGCCAGAGCTTAGCTAACTTAGCCAGAGCTTAGCTAATTATCTTAGCTTAGCTAATTTAGCCTATACGAACGAGGCGAGCAACTTGTACAATGAGTTGTTCACGCATCGTAGCTACAATCGATATCTGGCACCGGTCTACACGAAATCGGAGAATTCAACAAGTTTTTTCCGTGTCTACTATTTGCGTTTATCGAATTCAGTAGAAACAATCGACAAAATGCATGTTCATATCGATCTCTGGTACATCAAATTAATCTCATTGGACGCTGAGAGTCAACTATTGAGTCTGAATCTCGAGCTGAAAATGGTAATTCGAGTTAGATTCCTGCAAAAGCAAAATACCTGTTAGATGAACAAAAAGAAAATCGACCATTATATATGTTGTAGCCGTCTACGAAATTCAGCCGCTAACGAATCGTTCGTTAACGGCTGACCGATTACGAATGATTCGTTTCAAATAAGCTACTTAATTACAAGAAATCATCAAAATTGCTAACTTATCAAATTTACTCGCTCAAAAACATCAAAATTGCTAAAAACAAATGATAAAGAATGCTAGGGGGTGGGACAAATGCGACCTTTTTTTTGCGCACCTGGACATTTGCGCACCTTTTTTTGCTGGAAAAGGCCTTAGGCAAGGCCGTAGAGCTTCGAAAATATTTCGAAAATACTTCCATATAAGAGAATCGTATGCGTAGATTCCGAATTTCGACAAATCAGACCTCGCTGACACGTCAAATTTGGGCTAAAGGGCAAAAACTGCGGAAAAGCGTTAAGTTGCGTAGTTTTTGCCTTTTAGTCCAAATTTGACGTGTCAGCGAAATCTGATTTGTCGAAATTCGGAATCTACGCATACGATTCCCTCCTATGAAAACTTTTTTGAAGCTCTACGACCTTTCCTAAGGCCTTTTCTAGCAAAAAAAAAGGTGCGCAAAAAAAAGGTCGCATTTGTCCCACTCCCAGAATGCTATTTTTTCCAAGGAAACGCTTTATATATTCTTAAAGGCTTAAAACTAAAGGTATTCAGTCTACGAAGCTGAATATCTATAGTGCTTCTATTCGAGGGAGTGTTTCTATTTTTCAATCATTCCACCAAATTGCTTCTATTGGAGGTTGTGCTTCTATTAGAATAGAATATGGTAGCCTTGTATTGATTGATTTGTATTGATTGATTGATTGATTGGATCGTATTGATTGATTGATTGATTGGATCGTATTGATTGATTGATTGTTTGGTTCGTACTGATTGATTGATTGATTGTTTTTTTTGTTTTTTTTTTTTTTTTTTTTTTTTTTTTTTTTTTTTTTTTTTTTTTTTTTTTTTTTTTTTTTTTTTTTTTTTTTTTTTTTTTTTTTTTTTTTTGATTCGTATTGATTGATTGATTGTTTGGTTCGTATTGATTGATTGATTGATTGATTCGTATTGATTGATTCGTAATCGGTAACGAATCATTCCTAATCGACTAGCCGCTAAAGAATCATTCCTAATCGACTAGCCGCTAAAGAATCATTCCTAATCGACTAGCCGCTAAAGAATCATTCCTAATCGACTAGCCGCTAAAGAATCATTCCTAATCGACTAGCCGCTAACGAATCATTCGTTAGCGGCTGAATTTCCTAAACGATATATATTTGATTGAATTTATCAACCTTTTTCATAACTTTATAGTGAAATAGAGTTGAAAAATACAAACTACAAACAAGTTGCTTTTTAGACATGGCAAGACGCAAGACTTGCGTGGAATCCAAGAGATTTTGACGGAATCGAGTCCATTTTCGTTTCCTCCGATGCACTTTTTATCCCGGATTGTTCTATTGGAAACGCGTGAGTTTAAATCAATGACTCTCGTGAATATTTGCCTCATTGTTTAGCAAATCTCTTGACTCGGTGAAACCGGATGAGTTCATGCGATTCGCGCACCTTTTCAGCAACGGTACCGTCTATTTTCCCGATTTCTACTACACCGAAGTGGCGTGCCCGATTGTTGTAAGAAATATGAGCTGAATATGTTTCGTGAATCGATTTCGAGTCATTTTTCGCACAAATTGCATCGATTTAAGAAAGTTTAATCCCCGGAAAATCCACTCGCAGACTTTAGATCGACACTTTTCCATTCGACAAGCAAATCTGTCCGATCCCGATCATGTCGATAGCTTTTGAAGCGTACGTTTGGCGGAAAATTGTAGATTTAAAATGATATCAATCACTTTTACCTACATACTCTTACCTATGTACTTTTAACTATATACTTTTAACTATGTACAATAGCGGACATAATTTTGGAAACTTTTATTTTTCCTAAAAAAAATTTTTTAGTAATTCGGTAATTTAGCTCTTAGTAATTTAGCTGATTCGTTATATTTACTAGCGAAAGCACGGTAAACAGCACGTAATAGGCATAAAAAGCACGTAATAATCCATAAAAAGAACTTCTGAACTTTTTGAAAACTATTATTTTTAATGCATTTGTCTATAAACCCAGAGGACATAAATTTGGAAACTTTTAAAAACAATTCTAAATAATGACGTAACAAACGATTAAACTTCGAAATTACAACAAAAACAAGTAAATGAATTCAATACTTTGTGGGAAATCCTTTCAAATCAATGACAGCCTGGCACCGAGCACTCATCGAGGCGACCAAGTTGTCGATGGTTGTTGTTGGATAGCCGGAACTGGATCAGCGAATGCTCATAAGCATACAGGAAGACACAGAAAGACACGGCGGTGGTAGTGTTCTTGTATGGGGCGGCTTTTCAGCTTACGGAATGATCCCATTAAAACGCATTGATGGAATTATGGACAAACATGTTTACTTGGACATTTTATCGAAACATATGCTTCCAAATGCCCTTTAGTTGTTGCCTTCCAATTTTCTTTTTCAACAGGACAATGATCCGAAACATACTTCGCGGCTTGTAAAGGACTGGTTTATGAAGGAAGGAATTAATCTTATGGAATGGCCGAGCCAGAGTCCTGATTTAAACCCTATTGAACATCTATGGGAAGTTCTGGAGAGAGGCTGTAAAGGCGTTAAGTGCTATAATCTTAATGAAAAATTCGAGCTTTTGCCTAAGAAATGGATGAAAATTCCAACAACAACCATCGACAACGTCGACATCGACAACGTCAACGTCGACAACGACAACGGTCGCCTCGATGAGTGCTCGGTGCCAGGCTGTCATTGATTTTAAAGGATTTCCCACAAAGTATTGAATTCATTTACTTGTTTTTGTTGTAATTTAGAAGTTTAATCGTTTGTTACGTCATTATTTAGAATTGTTTTTAAAAGTTTCCAAATTTATGTCCTCTGGGTTTATAGACAAATGCATTAAAAATAATAGTTTTCAAAAAGTTCAGAAGTTCTTTTTATGGATTATTACGTGCTTTTTATGCCTATTACGTGCTGTTTACCGTGCTTTCGCTAGTAAATATACCGAATCAGCTAAATTACTAAGAGCTAAATTACCGAATTACTAAGAAATTTTTTTTTAGGAAAAATAAAAGCTTCCAAAATTATGTTTGTTACTGTACTTTTACCTACTTAATCGTCTTTCATTCAGAAGTTTCCTTTCGACAACTGCTGAAATCGATCCTTTCCTCAGTTTATACTCGAATAAGGCGGTAAACTGACCTTTTTCTTTAAACAATATTTATATTAGCTTCTAGTATGTCGATGCAATGGTGAAACAGATGGGCAATCAAGTTGGATCGGCCACAATCACAAAGGCTTTCATCCAATGGGTTTGTTGTCATGATTTTCAGCGATTATAATGTAAATATTAACTAATAGAAATTACTAATGTTAAAGATAAGAATAACAAAAACTACAAAGTTTCCCATAAAAAAAAATCCACTTCGGGTAAAATTTAGATGTGATAGCATCATTAATTTAACAAAAATTGAGACTTTGATTCACACGGAAGTGAATGTAACCCTTATCATCCAGACAATTGTAACTTCTCCATCTAAAATGATGGTTGTTCTCTTTTCCTCTTGTTCTGTTTTTTGTGTCTTGTGTTGATTTGTGTTGACAGCCATGATAGTGATAGCCATGATAGTGATAGCCATGACAGGGAGAGCCATGACAGGGAGAGCCATGACAGTGAGAGCCATGACAGTGAGAGCCATGCCAGTGAGAGCCATGACAGTGAGAGCCATGACAGTGAGAGCCATGACAGTGAGAGCCATGACAGTGAGAGCCATGACAGTGAGAGCCAATCAATACGAACCAATCAATACGAACCAATCAATACGAATCAATCAACACGAATCAATCAATACGAACCAATCAATCAATCAATCAATACAAATCAATCAATACAAATCAATCAATACGAACTGACTATCACTTGTTCTTATCGCTAAAGGATTTCTTAGATGGTAAAAAGTTCAAAGGTGAGAGTAAACTCGAGGATTGACTGAACGATTATTTCACTCGCGACCGCTTGGGTTTTACAAACGAGGGATTGGAAAACGTTGGAGAAAAGTTATAAATATCATTTCATTCTGATTCTTCGTTGTTCCTTTTTGTTGAAAATAAATGAAATTCAAAATCTCTGGGTTTTTATTGGATAACCTAATATTTTCATTTGGGAGCCGAATGGAGAATCTGGAACTTCTCGTAGTCAAACTACAATGAAGGCTAAAACTAACTGTAAGATGGTTTGGGGAGTTGAATGGAAAAAACGAAAGCAAGGCTAAACTTCTGGATCTTTACAGAAAGATCTTTACAGAGATGAAAGCAGTAATTGCTAAGAAACTCTGAAAATGACTTGAACATTCAAAATATTCTCAGGGAAATGGGGAATGGGATGTGACAAACGTGTCCACGCTTAACATTGTTGAAGCCGGAATGGAAGTGGTGAGGGGAACTTCAAAATATTTTCAAATTCCTCTCAGACATTCTATTTACTCAACATTCGCCGCGTGCCCAACTTCTACGTTTACGTGATCGCTTTACCGTGTTTCATTTTGACAGCTCTATCGGTGGTGAGGAAATTTTACTAGAAATTACTAGAAATTACTAGAAATTTAAACAAATGTTGACCTATCGCAGTTAACAGCTCGTTAACAGACCTATCGCAGTTAACAGCTCGTTAACAGACCTATCGCAGTTAACAGCTCGTTAACATTTCAATTTTATTTCTAGGTGGGCATGTTTTGGACGCGAAACATCAAAAAAGAGCAACTCGTCAAGGTAACAAAATCAGCATCCGATTCAGCAATCAACAATCAGCAACCAGCAATAGCTGGAACCAGCAATCAGCAACCAGCAATCAGCTAGAGCATACTCTAATGAAATAGAGTATGCTCCAGCTGATTGTCGTACTCTTTAGCTATCTCTTTAGTTATCGATTGGTCTGACAAGTCTCGTCTCAATGACGGTGCTCTTGGAAATGCTCTCGGATTCGATCCCAAAGACTTCTGTTTTCCCGTTGCTTGGTAAGAAAGCGAAAGCTGCTTCTTCCCAAAAAGAAGCTGCGATCTTACTAACAAATTTTTAGGTATTTATGTGGTCTGCTGTGTGGGGATTATTTCTTTGGCTTGTGTTGTCATCACTCTCAACTGCTTGCCCAATCCAAACAAGCACCAAGACCATCAACAACAACAAAATGAGAAACTGTCAGGAAAGAAGTGCAAGCTCAGGTTTAGTTGATGGCTGATGAATGCAAGAGTGCTATTCAGTGAGATTTCTTCCATGGAACCTCTCCGACCAATCTTCGGCATTTTCCATCGACACATCGGTTTCCTATTGTTCTTTCAAGCATTGAATTTGGCTGGCTTTATTGTGTTTTTATCGTTTTGGGATTGATTAAGGAAATAAATTGATTGACTAATTAAATAAATTGATTGATTAAGGAATTAAGTAATGGAGTATTTAAAAGCGTCAAGATCTGGTTATCGAAAATTTCATTTCAAGATTTGATTATCGAAGATTTACTATGTAAAAGCATAGAACACATTTACAGAGAAACTTTGCCTTATCCAGTCTGCCCGTCTGTCCGTCCGTCCGTCGATCCGTCTGCCCGTCTGTCCGCCCGTCTGTCCGCCCGTCTGTCCGTCCGTCCGTCGATCCGTCTGCCCGTCTGTCCGCCCGTCTGCCCGTCCGCTCGTCCGCCCGTCTGCCCGTCTGTCCGTCTGCCCGTCTGTCCGCCCGTCTGTCCGCCCGTCTGTCCGTCCGCCCCCCCGCCCCCCCGCTCCCCCGCCCCCCCCCGCCCCCCCGTCTGCCCGTCTGTCCGTCTGCCCGTCTGTCCGCCCGTCTGTCCGTCCGCTCGTCCGCCCGTCTGCCCGTCTGTCCGTCTGCCCGTCTGTCCGCCCGTCTGTCCGCCCGTCTGTCCGTCCGCTCGTCCGCCCGTCTGCCCGTCTGTCCGTCTTCCTCTGTCCGCTCGTCCGCCCGTCTGCCCGTCTGTCCGTCTGCCCGTCTGTCCGCCCGTCTGTCCGTCCGCTCGTCCGCCCGTCTGCCCGTCTGTCCGCCCGTCTGTCCGTCCGCTCGTCCGCCCGTCTGCCCGTCTGTCCGCCCGTCTGTCCGTCCGCTCGTCCGCCCGTCTGCCCGTCTGTCCGCCCGTCTGCCCGTCTGTCCGTCTTTGGAACTAGGAATCAAAAATTTTTCCCCCACCGGCTTGAATGCTTGAATTGCTTTACTTTACTTTTACTTTTACTTTATTTTCTCCAAGTTTAGATCGGTTTTCTTTCTATTGATCAAAAAACGCACTTGAATGGATTTGTATTTTTTTTTTTGAGATAAATGCAGACAGATTGGGCAATTGCTAGATTTAAGTGCGTTTACGAGCAAAATCGAATGGCCCAGAGAACGCAAAAAACGCAAAAAACGCAAAGAATGCAAAGAACGCAAAACAGAAATAAAGAATTGATTTAGATCATAAGAATTAATCAATTTTCCAGAAAAACCTTTAAAAAACCCGGGAATTTCTGGGTTGTTTTCATATTTTTTCAGCTTTTTTGAGCTTTTGAAGAGAAACGAGAGAAAAAGAGACAAAAAGGAAAAAAAAAGACTTGTTTACTCGTCTCACTCTCTGTTTTTCTGTTTTTTCTGCTTTTTTGTTTTGTTTTCCAGTCAAACATTGATTATTTTCATTCATTTTCATTCATTTTTATTCATTTTTATTCATTTTTATTCATTTTTATTCATTTTCAAATGCTTAACTGAATATTTTTATCGAAATTCGTTTATTGATAGTATTTTCGCGAAAAATGGGGGTGGGACAAATGAGACCTTTTTTTTGCGCACCTGGACATTTGTGCACCTTTTTTTTTTGCTGGAAAAGGCCTTAGGAAAAGTCGTAGAGCTTCAAAAATGTTTTCATAGAAGGGAATCGTATGCGTAGATTCAGAATTTCGACAAATCAGACCTCGCTGACACGTCAAATTTGGGCTAAAATGCAAAAACTGCGGAAAAGCGTTAAGTTGCGTAGTTTTTGCCTTTTAGCCCAAATTTGACGTGTCAGCGAGGTGTGATTTGTCGAAATTCGGAATCTACGCATACGATTCCCTTATATGGAAATATTTTCGAAGCTCTACGGCCTTGCCTAAGGCCTTTTCCAGCAAAAAAAAGGTGCGCAAATTACAGGTGCGCAAAAAAAAGGTAGCATTTGTCCCACCCCCCGAAAAATGGAATCCCATACGCTGAACCCGTTCTCCGAGCGTCACCGTTTACTCCATTTTTCTTTGATTTTCTTTCTGATTCCCTATTTTTATAGCTATTTCAACGATCAGAAAAGGTGAGTTTTAGGTTTTTCGCTCACAAAATCACTACAAAATCACTACAAATTTGCATTTAAACTCTAATAGAAAGCACCCCCCATAGGAGCGTCGCGTAGTCGTAAGTTTACTCTCAAATAAACGCTCATAACTCGGCACCAGTACGTTTCTTTCTACGCTTTTATATATCAAATTAAAGTAGAAAGAATGGGTATTTTTTTGAGCTATTACATGTATTTTTACCTTTAACCAGCGCTTAGAAAAAGATGATTGAAAAGTGGCAAAAAAAAAGACGATTTTTCATCATTTTTCAATCATTTTTTTCAAAGCGCTGGTTAATGCTAAAAAGATGTATTATAGCGCAAAAAAACACCCATTTTCTCTACTTTAATTTGATACATAAAAGCGCTAAAATAAAGGTACTGGTGCTGAGATATGAGTGCTTCTTTAAGCGTAAACTCAGATGCTCCTTTAGACGGCTCTTCTATTAGAGCTTTTAGGGTACTTTAAATTACGTTTATTGGAACAGAATCTACAAAGCTGTGCCTCGAAACTTGAGGCCGATTTCCAATTTGAATCTTAGTTTTTTTTCATAAAAATCAAGATAAAGCTAGTCAAAACTCGATGATGAACGCGTTCCTTTTGTTCATAGAAAAAGGCGTAAACCTTTAGTAAATCATTCGGAAGATTTAATTTAATACAAATTACGGTATGGGTTGAATGAATAACCTCTAGAATACAGAGTTATGCAAAAAACAAAAAAGCCAAAACATTTTGCGCAGGCCGGGAATCGAACCCGGGTCGCCCGCGTGGCAGGCGAGCATTCTACCACTGAACCACCTGCGCGCTGGGAGGCCGGGGGGAAAATGGGGGCTATCAATGGGAGGAGGGGGAGATTGGCGTAAAGTTAAGCAAGCAATGACTAGTTAACGCCCTCTGGAGTGCAGGAGATCGCGTGCGTTGTGGTGTAATGGTTAGCACGGTTGCCTGGTAATCGAAAGGTCGGTGGTTAGAGTCTCGGTGGAGGAAAACTTTTTGATTCCTGGTTCCAACTGAATACTGAATACAGTTACTGTATTCTTTTATGTCGGAGAGTTTTGTCTTGCCATAATATTTGATTCTAGATCAGCTTCCGATTCCGTTGAGCACGCAATGTTATCAGCTTTCGATCGAGCCGTCACCCAACCAAGTTCTTCTTTTCGAAAAGCTGTTGTCGGGTGGGTAAAGAGTGCTTTGGAGGTGCTCTATCTAGAAACGCACACCTTCTAGCGCACTGAAACCGATTTTCTTTTATAACAACGATGACGCAAGAAAAATGAAGAATTAAGTGCACCAGAGAGGTTGCGTTTAGTTGTGACAGGTTTGTACTCTGTACTTTGTACTCTGTACTTTGTACTTTGTACTTTGACTTTGTACTTTGTACTCTGTACTTTGTACTTTGTACTTTGAACTTTGTACTTTGAACTTTGTACTTTGAATTAGAAACTCACCCTTTCTGGTGCACTATCTGTGACAACTATTGGTCTACCAGAAAGAGTGCGTTTACAATTTCAGTTTCAACTGCAATGTTGATCTGATCGTGCCGGGCGTTTTGCTGCTTGATTCTTTAAATCTTTCATCCGTTGATCGAGGCTTTGATCACAAGAATTTAAATAATTTAAACGATTTGGCCGAATCCTTTCACTATATGTTCCAAAAGGGAGCCGCTGCTGAGAGATTTATAAAAAATGAGGAAACTTTCTCGATGATGGTCAAAACGGCAGAGAAAATGCCTAGAATGCAGGTAGAGAAAACGGATTTTTTCGAAGTTTATTTGCCTTTTAAGCCTTACCTTGTAAGCCTTACAAGTACCAGTTACAAATACTCATTTCAGTACCACATTGGCGGCAATGCAGCTTTACTCGCCACACGAATCGCCTCGAATTTCCCGTGGACCGAGGTTTGACTCTGGGAAATCGATCAATGCAAATCTAACCATAGCTCAAGATTTACACGTTCATGGGACAGATCGGAACTAGAAGCGGACTACTAGAGTCAAAGCAGAAGCAAGAGCTACGATTCTAAGGCTTAAAACTGGCTTGCAAGGTTCTTGACCAGTATTAGAGATGAAATCCTGTTACTACTCCTATGCCAAGACACTAAAATCAGTACTGATACCAGTACTGGTTGATTTTGGTATTTCCCCGCTGCAGAAACATAGCTTTCAAGCAAGCAAACCAGAACCAAGGCATGCCAAGGTGCTAGGCCAAGATTTAGACCGTTTTTGCTGGAAGCGATGCCTAGGCCTGGTCTAACTTGCAGATAGATCTCTTAAATCCTGTTTTTTGGGTTGCTTGTAAGGTCCATTCTATCCCATCTAGATTCATTCTGTCCCATCTAGGGATCATCTTGTCCGATCTAGGTCCATCCTGTCCCATCTAAGTCCATCATGTCCCATCTAGGTCCATCCAGTCCCATTTAGATCCATCCAGTCACATCTAGATCCATCTTGTCCCATCTAGGTCCATCATGTCCCACCCAACCCGCCCCCCCCCATCTAGTCCTCCACTCCCAGCTAGGTCCATCCTGTCCCATCTAGGTCCATCCAGTCCCATCCAGGCCGATCCTGTCCCATCTAGGTCCATCCTGTCCCATCTAGGTCCATCCAGTCCCATCCAGGCCGATCCTGTCCCATCTAGGTCCATCCTGTCCCATCTAGGTCCATCCAGTCCCATCAGCCCCCACCCCCCCCCACAAGTCCAACCAGCCCACTAGACCCATCTTGTCCCATCTAGGTGCATCTTGTTGGCCCAATCGGTCCCCGAAGCCAGGCTCTTCTCCATCCGTCAATCAAAAGAAGCAATTCAACAAGGATCACGAAAGATGAATTGCATGTGATATTGGAGTATAAACAGGGAGAAGTTTTGGGAGAACACGTGGCATTGGGCAGCTCTCGTTTCATCACATCACATGATTTGTACAGGTTGGGTAATTGATCCAGAATTTCCGTCAACCGCCTCTTTTTGCAAAGTTTAATATTTTTCAGCAGCAGCACAATCTTGATCGAGATGTTCTTCAAAGCGATCGCCACCGTGCAACCGGATCTCGTTATTATAACCGGAGTGCACTTGTTGGAGTTCCTGGTAAGAGAAATGATCGAGTAGATTATCCGATGCACTATAGTACTACTGGAGTTGAAGCACTAGGCAAAACTCGAGCACTACGCCGTATAGTACCTCAGCTATGTACTGTACGGCACTGTACTCCAGCTCCAAGAGTACTATAGTGCACCAGATGGAGTAGGGTACTGTAATCCACTGTTGACTGTACTTCCAAAGTTCAGAGCACTGTCTAAAGCAGTACCCTAGTCCATCTGGTGCACTATAGTACTCCTGGAGCTAGAGTACAGTGCCGTACAGTACAGAGCTGAATCGGCTACCATAATCCTCAAAATATAGTTTCTACTTACTATAACATCAACTAGTATAACTTGAAGAGATAAAGATCAATCAATTTATTCCAAATTGGTAACTGGGCAAGCAGCTGATCTGATAGATCTGATGATCTATTAGATCTATCAGATCTATCAGATCTATCAGATCAAGCAGCTGATAAGATCAGGCTATGCAGCTGATAAGATCAGGCTATGCAGAATCTAACTTCAGGAGAAAGACGTTCGAGTGGAAAAACTCCGTTTAATCAAGCGAAACATTGTGCAGATTGATTCACGAGTGCCGATCCATTTGAAGCTGGGGGGATTGGGTGGAGATCAAGAGTTCGCGAAGAGTGTTCTTGAAAAGGTGCGTTTGGCCGGTGGCTAGACTTTGATCTGCTTTCTGATAGGCTCTATTACTTCTTAGGTTCTGTAGTAGGTCTTATAGTTAGGCCTAGCTTCAAGTTTAGCCTGATACTAGGCCTGAGCTTGATAGTGGCTCACTTAAACTCACGGCTCACGGCCTGAAGTTTAGCCTGATACTGGACCTAAGCCTGACAGTGGCTCACTTGGACTGATGACTCATGTCCTAGCCTGAAGTTTAGCCTGATCCTGGACCTAAGCCTGATACTGGCTCAGGTCCTTGGCCACCAGACTCATCAACTTTTAACGTAGCTATCTCATTTCTTTTCTAGATCCTCCCCTACGCCGACTCGTTGGCCTTAACTGAGCAACAGTTAGCGCTATTGGCAAAGGTTTGAAACGAAAAAAACTTTAATCTTATTATGTAATGGTAAGACTGAATTTTTAATCAAATTCTATCTACTTTTCGTATTTTTGTTTAACTTTTGGATACATATCTTGGCTAGAATTCGATGCTATGAGCAAAGCAAGCAAAACAAAGCAATGCTTCGATGCTACAAAGCCGAACAAGAAATCCTTCATCAAATTCTTGTTTCTAAAGGTTGAATTTGGATTTATTTGACTTGAAATCAAATTTTCTATTGAATGAAAGGAAATTCAAAGTTTTTCAAACAAATCCAGCTAAGATACGAGATTGGAACCATATTGGAGCCATATTGGAACCAGTAACGGTGAAACCGATTCCGGAGGAACCATTTGGAGGACCAAATGCCGCCCCCTGGAACCGAATTTCTGGAAGGAACCATATTGGAGCCATATTGGAACCATATTGAAACCGAATTCCTGGAAGGAACCATATTGGAGCCATATTGGAACCATATTGAAACCGAATTCCTGGAAGGAACCATATTGGAACCATATTGGTTGATTGCCATATTAGATTGCCAACGGCGAACGAAGCGAAAAAAAATGGCGGAGTTAAAAAGACTCATCTGGAAGCGCTTTTTAAAAACAAGAATTGAGGCTTTTTTTATGCCGAGTATTTGCATAGTATTCTGGCCAAGTTATAAAATTAAAAGTTAGCGAAAAATAGGTTGAATTATCTCCAAAAATTGTGTTAATTCTGTTCCAGGTTGGCGGCGGACCGCATCCAAACGAGTACCCGGTTGTCGGTGGAGCTCTGCACACGCATAAGGTTTCAAATTCTATTATCTAGAAAATTTCTCATAGAATTTAAACATAGTTTATCTTTTTCTAGGTCATTGACATGTTACACTGGTTGATCACGAAATATGGAAAGCCGAAAAACGCGACGAATGCTGAAGAGAAGCTGAAGAGATTGTCAAGGATTCATTTTACTTGTTTGACTTTTCATGTGGTGGTCAGCGATTTTTGATAGTATCCTTGCCTTCTTTCTTTCTTAATTTCTTTCTTCTTCCCTGTCTTCCTTTCTTCTTCCTTGTCTTTCTTTCTTCTTCCCTGTCTTTAAAGTTGATTTAGAGATATCTAGATATATTTAGATATTTTAAAATTTAATATTTTAGGTTGCAACTGGCTCAGATTGGTCGAATTTAGCATCAGGATTAGCGAGTGGAGCGAGAATCGCGGGAAAAATTGTTTGCGGCGGGGAAAAGGCTGAAGTGAGCTTGCTTGCTTTCTTTCTTCTTCCTTGTTTTCCTTTCTTCTTCCTTGTCTTCCTTGTCTTTCTTTCTTCTTCCTTGTCTTCCCTCCTTCTTCCTTGTCTTCCTTTCTTCTTCCTCGCCTTCTTTCTTTCTTCTTGGGCAAAGAAAGCGCTGATAGCTTTTCAGTGGAAAAGTCTACCCAATAAGCAGAATGTCGAGGGTTCAATTCTCCATCGATTTCAAATGATTTCCCATTGATTTCTTTACTTTAATGATTTATTTAAACGATTGTATTTAAACTTCTCCCATCTAAATGTGATTTTTACTGTAGCTAAAGTCATCGTTAATCCTAGAGGCTCAAAGTTGAATAAGATTCACTGATAATAAGCCAAAGCCAAAGTCCAAAGGTCAAGACATTTTTAAAGATCAAAAAGGGTGAGAAGTCAGATTCTAGCATTACTTTGAAAGCCTTTTCTAGCTGCTGGCTCATATTTAGGCTATAATTTGCATTTCAAATAGTTTAAAAAAACCTGGCAGGATGCTATTTCGAGAATATTGAATCGATTCCTCAAATTCAGGCTCAAGATCTGCTCGAGAGTCGCACGTCGCAAAGTTTTCTTCTCGATTCGTCTCTCCAAAAGAATTACCATTTCGATCCACATCAGTGAGTCTAAAAAAGAAACCACATTTTATAAGTAATTTGTCAGAAAATTATTTTAAATGGAAAACCATTTGGGATATGATTTAAGAAAAGAAAGAATGACTCAAAACGTCACGTGGTTTCCGGTCTCTTTAAAAAAAACACCGTGTGATGCAGGTCACTCACTTCACGGGCTAGCCGTAATCTACTTTATATAATTGACGGCTGTCTGTCTATCCGTTCGTCCGTCTGTCCGTCTGTCTGTCTGTCCGTCTGTCCGTTGGTCTGTCCGTCTGTCCGTCCGTCTGTCTGTCCGTCTGTCCGTCTGTCTATCTCTCCGTCGTCCGTCCGTCGTATGCCGTCTGTCCGTCTGTCCGCGTCCGTCTGCGTCTCCGTCGTCCGTCCGTCTGTCTGTCTGTCCGTCTGTCCGTTGGTCTGTCCGTCTGTCCGTCCGTCTGTCGTCCGTCGTCCGTCTGTCCGTCGCGTCCGTCTGTCCGCGGTCTGTCCGTCCGTCTGTCTGTCCGTCTGTCCGTCTGTCCGTCTGTCCGTCTGTCTGTCTGTCCGTCCGTCTGTCCATTCGTCCGTCCGTCCGTCTGTCTGTCCGACTGTCCGTCCGTTTATCTGTCTGTCCGTCCGTTTATCTGGCTGTCCGTTCGTTCGTCTGTCCGTCTGTCCGTCCGTCCATCTATCTATCCGTGCGCAACTTTCATCTTGAGAACCGAAAAAGCTATAGAGTTCCAAAAACAACACCCTTATAAGTTCTAGAGGTCACGGAGTTCAACCGTTCCCTGTTGAAGTCAGATTTTTTCTATGGGCAACGGAAACAGTAGTATGGCGTACCCCGGCCCTAGATCTCAGCCCCCAGTGTACCCACTTTCATGGTTAATTTATCATTTTCTAGGAAATTTAATGCTAGAATAATTTTGATACGTTATAAACTATTGGCTTTTCATTAATCGTTTTAAATATAATTTTTATAAACGTTTTCATTTTAAAGTCAACTTTTTCGATGATCTTTAAAAGTTTTGGGTTTAAAATTGATTTGAAGAGCTTTTTCAACACAATTTAATCAACGATTCAAAGAAATTGAAAGAAATTGAAAGAAATTCAAAGAAATTCAAAGAAAATTGAAAGAAAATCAAAGAAATTGAAAGAAAATTCAAAGAAAATCATAACTTTAGTAGTATAATTGAAAAGTTTTGCATTTTATTTGATTTAATTTGATTTAATTTTTTTCAGCCCAATCACTTCTTGGCTTCACGACGATTCCCTTTTCCTTTTCACTCCAGTTTTAGTTTGTAAATATCCACGGAAAACAGTGGGCGTTGACGATACGATCTCTTCAACCGCACTTCTCTACTCACAATTTTATCGTTTTGAGCCTTTTTTCGCATAGTTTACTTCGGTATTTGATTAAATAAACTTTGTTTTTTAAAAAAAAACAGAGACAACCGAATGTGATTTATTCTAAGATCTACATCAATCACAGGACAATAACACACAAAAAAAGGAAAAGTTATCGCCATTAAGTTTAGGATTAAAGAGCCGTTTGCCATGGCGTGGGTTAATTTAAAAGCTATTTAGTCCCTATTGAGCTGCTTTTAACTGCTTTTAACTTAACCCACACCATGGGTTAAGTTAGTTAAGTTAACGTAATTAGTTAACGGCTCTCTAACCCTAAGCTCAATGGCGACTAAATAGCTTTTTAGCTAAATAGCTAAAAAGTTTAGAAAAGATTTTGCGCTAAAATTTCCTCGAATAGCTTGTTGAAGTCGAAAATTCCGCAAAAAAGCGTCCGATTTTTGTGAATCTCAACGATTTCTCTATTAACCCATTCAAAACCAAAATCTCGTTGTACTCTTTTTGGAGGTGAAGCGTCTGGAAAGGAAAACTGTAGCTTTTAGATCACAAAACAACTTACTATCAATCAACTTACTATCATTATCAAGTTACTATTCGAAAATATTCACCCTTTCCTTGACCGGGATGAAGTTTGTCTCGCGTTCGCTCCTCTCGAAGCTGTTCCTTGTCTCAGCCGTCTCTCTGGCGATCACTTCCAAACGTTTTTGAGCATTTGTTAGCTAAATGAATAGATCTAATATCTTTTAACCCATTCGAAACCGCAGCGTTTTTTCTTTTTTTTCGTTTACGGACCAAGCCCTTTTTTTGACATTTTTGACTCCGAAGCAGTTTATTTATGGTTGGAAAGATGTAAGAGAGTCTCCTACACCATTTATTTTTGATGAAGAACGATTTGGATTTGACTTCAGTACTTTTCAAGATCCTATCGATTATTTTTCTTATTTTATCGACGACAATATTTTAGTAGGCGAATCTAATAAACATGGAAAAAGGAAAACAAACTGGCAGGATTTCGATGCAAAATCTTTCAAGCTCTTCCTGGCTCTGTATCTTCAAATGGGAATCGTCAAATTACCGAGGATTCGTGACTACTGGAGTAGGAGGATTTTCCCACATGTCCCACATCATGTCAAGAGCAAAATTTGAATCCATCCTTCGCAACCTGCGTTTTTGTGATAATGAACTGGATTCTGCAGGAGATCGGCTTTATAAGATTAGAGCTAGATTAGAGCTAGAGCTAGAGCTAGAGCTAGATTAGAGCTAGAGCTAGAGCTAGAGCTAGAGCTAGATTAGAGCTAGAGCTAGAGCTAGATTAGAGCTAGAGCTAGAGCTAGAGCTAGAGCTAGAGCTAGAGCTATTATGGAACATTTCAATGCAAAACCAGAGACTGCATTGATTCCGGGTAAATATGAAACATCTTTTTTTGCCCACGTAATTTGTAGATCTGCTACAATTGGAATATACATGTAATGCTGAAAAACAGCAAAAAAAAGCAATTAATTGAATGAAAATAGCTCAATTAGCGCTGCAGCGAATAATCGCTGCAGCGGTCCGTTCCTGAGCTTTTGCTGCAGCGATTATTCGCTGCAGAAGTTTCGAATGGGTTAAGATTAAAGAAAATTCAAATTTTTAAATGTTTTTTGAAAAATAAGCCCAATCTTTACAATTCTTATCGAAAAATTTTCTAAAAATTATTTCCAAATCCAAAAAATTCGTTCTTTTTTTTCCATTCTATTCATTGAGTTTTTTGAAGAAATTTTTGAGAATATTTCGCATTTTTTGCTTACAATTATGCCTACATTCCCTAGATAACGGCTAAAAACGAAAAAATTTTTAGTTATTTTAACAGAAAATTTGGAAATTTCAACGATGAAAATATGCTTTTTTTCAAAAATTTTTTTTTTTTTTTTTCTTTGATTCCTCTTTTCTTTTCTAGCTTTCTAAAGCAACGAATTTTTCAAATTTCATCGAAAACTTTGATAACAGAACCTTTTCAGACGTAAATAAACAATAAATGATGAGAAATGATGAACAATAAATGCAAAAATAACCGGGAGACGCCCAAATTTTGACGTTTTTTTTTTTGATTTGAATTCGCTTGGGTTGGATTGGGGAAATGAAACCGGGAAATTGATATAAAAGCGAATTTCAGTGTGTCTGAAAGCTTTTACAAAATCTTTCAAATCGCATAAGGAAAAGATACAGTTTTTTTTGATTCCTTGGATTTGGGTTGGGGAATTGAACCGGAAAACTCGAGCCAGAGCTGAACGTGCTTGTTGAAGTGTGCTTGAAGTGTGCTTGAAGTGTGCTTGAAGTGTGCTTGAAGTGTGCTTGAAGTGTGCTTGAAGTGTGCTTGAAGTGTGCTTGAAGTGTGCTTGAAGTGTGCTTGAAGTGTGCTTGAAGTGTGCTTGAAGTGTGCTTGAAGTGTGCTTGAAGTGTGCTTGAAGTGTGCTTGAAGTGTGCTTGAAGTGTGCTTGAAGTGTGCTTGAAGTGTGCTTGAAGTGTGCTTGAAGTGTGCTTGAAGTGTGCTTGAAGTGTGCTTGAAGTGTGCTTGAAGTGTGCTTGAAGTGTGCTTGAAGACCAGCGTTTACAAAATCGCTCAATTCTCATGTGTCACGAGCTCAAAGCTCACATGGGAATCTCACAAGGAAAATTTTCCTTTATAGCTTTCCCTTTTTAGCTTGTCCTAACCATTTTCTAAAACGTGACCCTTTCTCGAACTACCGTGATCTTCTCTTTCTTTTCATCTGGACAAACAAAGAGAGAAAGGAAACTGTTTTAGAATCATTTGTGCTTTACTGTAATCCGTGATGTTTGATTCAATGAATCAAATAGTTCTGCTAACTGAAATGCCCCAAAAAAAAACCTGATAATAGTCTTTAAATAGAAATAAATAAGGGATTTCGACCCAATTTCATTCATTTTCTCTGTCTGACTACAGAAATCCTTTCAATTGTCGAGCTCCGAGTGGCCGAAATAGTCCGAAAAGCTGTCTTCTTGACTTGAGCCTGGTTTCACTGCTTTAACTGCTAACTTTGGTTTTATTATAGCGCTGAGCTGACTGCTGGTCTAAGCCTAAGCTTAAGCCAGTCTAAGCCTAGGCCTAAGCCAGCCCAAGACTAAGCCTAAGCCAGCCTAAGCCAGCCTAAGCCAGCCTAAGACCAAGCCTAGGCCTAAGCCAAGCCTAAGCCAGCCTAAGCCAGTTTAAGCCTAGTCCTAAGCCTGAGCCTAAGCCTAACCCTATCCTGGACCAACTTTACTCTTAGCCTAGCTAGACCAGTAGCTTGTCTTGGCTCAAAAAATGATTGCCAATCTTAGCTCGTTCATAGCTCCCATGTTCCCCTCGACCTCTAGAGCTAGTAAATTCATAGATCCACAATTTCCCCCTGCTTCCCAGCGCGCAGGTGGTTCAGTGGTAGAATGCTCGCCTGCCACGCGGGCGACCCGGGTTCGATTCCCGGCCTGCGCAAAATGTTTTTGCTTTTTTTGATCTTTTTCACCTGGTTGACCTAGTAACCTAGTTTTTCACCTAGTAATCTGGGTTTGACCAGAGTAATCTGGCTTTAGTCAAAAGCGTCTCCTCACGTGATTATTGGCGAATTATTGACTCTTTCCACTTCGTAAATCTCTTTGTTTTCCCGGTGAATGATTCATTTTGCAGAAAATTTCAGCTAAATCGCTTGTTTGTGCTATATAAAACGCTTCTTTTCCCTCATTTTTTATCAGTTTCACTTTGTTTTGAGTTTCGATTTCAAATAGAGCCTTTACTTTTCAATATAGGTAACTAAATCGGTAAACATTTTCTAAAGAACAAAATTGATTACTTTTTTAAATCTCTAGCTCTCTGGCTTTTCTAGATTTCAACTGAAATCAAGAAATTACTAAAGAATCAAGAAATTAAAGAAAAATTACTGAAAGCTTGCTTCTTTTACGAAAGAAAACTCGATTTCCTATTGGGTTGGGGACTATGACTCGGCGCCAAACTTTAAAGGGACTTTTTGCACACATAAAGCCTTCTTTAAACATACGTTTGGTTTCATCAAAAGGATCCACTATTTCTCTACAAAATCACTTTTGAGAGATTCCACAAAGCTTTTCTTTCGTGGAGTTTATGAACTTCCAAACGCAGCTGGTTAAAATGGCAAAGAGTCCGACTCATCATTTGAACAGTTTCTTTCACATAAACCTTCTTTGGTGTTTATATAAAAAAGATAGAGCACATTGAATTACTTAAGTTGCCAAATTTGCAGGAAGATCCCACCAATGGTTTTTTCTAGATCACAGTTTGTAGTTTTTGTGAAAAAATGGCTTTTTCTTGAGCGGAGGCGCTGTTTGAATTTTCTTTTAAATGTGATTTTGTAGAGAATTAGTTAACCATTCTACTCATATCAAACGCATATTATTTGACGAAGTCGAATAGAAGTTTTAGACATTTTTTTGATTTTCGACGCCGAGTCATAGTCCCCAACCCAATATCAGTTGAAAAAACAAAAAAAAAACGCCCAAAACGTGATGAGAATTTCAATAGAATTGAGGAAAAAAAATATTCAACCGATTTCTCTTTTTTTTACCCATTTTTACCCCTTCAACTCCTCCGTTTTATTTCGTAAATCAATCTTCTCTTTCTAAACTTTCTCTGTGCGCTCCAGATTGGCGATTAGCGATCGAAAAACTATGGACTTCCCATCGTAAACGCAAAAATCTCTTCATCAACTCATTTACACGGCGGAAATTCGAAGCAAAAAAGAGATCTCGAATTTCGATTTTCATTTCATTTTTTTCATTTTCTTTTTATTTTTTTATAATCCCATTCCGCGATTCTTTTTGCTTTTGTTGTTTTATAAAAAAATTTTGCGTCAAAAAAAAAGAGACGCGAACCACACCCAAATGATGATTTTTAAGCCTTTCCAAAAGTAGGCAAAAGTAGGCAAAACATTTTTTTTTTTTAAGCCGATCAATCATTTCTCCGACTTCAAACAATTAAAAAGCTTCTTTAAACCAAAATTTACCAAAATTTCCCTTTCAAAATCACTTTTTTAAGCCTAATCTTTGAAGATTTCAACTTGTAAAGTAAAATTTTTAAAAATCAAATTTAAACCATTTCTTCCAACTTTTTTATTTGCTGTGCGTTCCAGATTGATCAAATTTTTTGAAAGATTTCTTCGTTTACATTGTGATTTTTTTAGAAATGGAGCACCTACCCATTCAGGGAACCGTTTTGAGCAGCTCTAAGCTCAATTTGAGATATCGAGAGAGCGCAAAGGTGAGCTTTGGGAAATGGGGAAATTGGGAGACCTCGAATTCTAGTAGGAATCTCTTTTTAGAGACAACCACAAGCTAGGCTGCTGTAGAAGCGCAGCAAAGTATTCGCGGAGAGAGGAGGCGAACCCACGGCCTCTCTCTGCCGTTCGTTTGAAAGACGCGCGCGCTAACCACTCGGCCACTCAATGGCGCCGCGCAGAAGCTCCTTTTAGTAGATCAGCTTGGAAACAATGAGAGTATTGTAAATCAAATCTTCAGCCTCTTCCCCATGATCGTCTCTATGTTGATTGCCAAAAAGTTCGTCCTCTCCAGCTCCAGCCCAGCTCCAATCCACGATCTTTTGATCCCGAACGCAGCAATCGATCCGACTCAAGAAAGGAAAAGGTAGAGAATCAAAAATCTCTTTTGCTATTAGTAAATTGCATTGATTGATGAGAAAAGTTCAATTTTCGAAACTGATTTTACATTTGGATAAGAGAAATCCAGCTTCTGGAGTCACAGAACTTCTGGAGCTCTTCTGGAGTTAAGAGAAATCCAACTTCTGAAGTCACAGATCTTCTAGAGCTCTTCTGGAGTCACAGAACTTCTAGGGCTCTTCTGGAGTTAAAAGAAATCCAGCTTCTGAAGTCACAGAACTTCTAGGGCTCTTCTGGAGTCATAGAACTTCTAGAGCTCTTCTGGAGAACAGAAATCCAGCTTCTGGAATCCAGGACACTGAACTGAGCTAAAATTTCAGTAAAAATCGTCTTTACATTTTTGATTTTTTCCATAGAACTCAATTTGAATTCAGTCAAAATTTGCTTAACTTTATTAACTCCAACTTCTCTCCACCCCATCCATAGCCCCATTTCCCCACCACCTCGCAGCGCGCAGGTGGTTCAGTGGTAGAATGCTCGCCTGCCACGCGGGCGACCCGGGTTCGATTCCCGGCCTCCGCAAATCTTTTTTGGATTTTGATCTTTTTCATAGAACTCAAGTGACATTCATTCAAAAAGCTAGAATCTGACCTCGAGCCACTCTGACAAGGAGGGGCTCATGATTTGACCATTGCACGAGGGTACTTAGTGGAATTCAAACCAATGATTCGCCTCCAAAGACCTCAAAAGTCCATTTATCGCCATTTATCGGAACCGAGAGCTTATCAACATAAGGTCTCAAATTTCCCTCACCCCTCCAGCGCTAGAATCTGACCTCGAGCCACTCTGACAAGCTTCGATTCGACTCTGACAAGTTCAGGATTGACCATTGCACAACTGGACTTAGGGGAATTCAAACCGGTGATTCCGATCTGAAATCCCTTTTTGGCGCAAGTTTTGTAGATCTTGGTGGGGAAAGAACAGAGCGTTTTGCGTAGGCCCCGGAGCAAAACTTCTTTATCAAATTCCGCTTGATCGACAATACTTGCGCAAAAACGGACTTCAGCTTCGGAATCAGTGGGTCCGAATTACCCTTAGCACACTTGTTTCCAGCTGAAAGGCCATGGTCAACCTTGAAACTTTCCTTGTGAGACTTTGATCCACTTTAGAGCAAAGCTAAAGCAAAGCTAGATCAATAGCAAAGTCAGAATCACCGCTCACGCCATGATCCTTCAAAAGGTCAAACTTAGTCAGCAAGCCAGGGCTAGACTTGGATAAACTTGACTTGGACCGTCTGATCGAAGCTCTGAACTCACCAGGGCAAGCCAGGAACCAGGCCATAGCACTTATGACATTGCCTGAGCATAGAAAAGGCATCTTTGCAGGTCTTTGTCTAGTTCTAGTTCTAGCTTTGATCCTGATCAAATAACTGAAATCAAAAGATCTACCAGATTAATTTCCTTACAGTAATTTCAGACCTGGAACTCCCCTCCCATCCCGCCTCCTCAACTCCGAAATGGCCAAAAGGCGCGCATCGTTGGCGGCCAGGTCTACAATTTTGACGATTTCTACACGACAACTCCGGCAAAATCTTTCAGTAATACGCTGCGATCCGATGGACAATCATCATTATCAAGTTGAGTCTTTTAAAGCCTAAATACTCTTTGATTAACTTTATTGATGTCTTGGCCACTTTAATTGACCGTATTGACCGCTTTAATCTCCTCCTCCCATTGATAGGCCCCATTTTCCCTTTAACTTTCCAGCGCGCAGGTGGTTCAGTGGTAGAATGCTCGCCTGCCACGCGGGCGACCCGGGTTCGATTCCCGGCCTGCGCAAAACGTTTTTGCTTTTGGCTTTTGATCTTTTTCACATCTTTCTTAGATTTCATTCACCGTATTTTGTCTTTCTGATGATTGTGTCGCTCGTTTGATTGTTGATTTTACGATTTGTTTGCTGATCGCAAAATCTCTAATCTACTTTTCTCGTCAACCATTTGAGATTTGTGTTAATAAAAGTAATAATGTAAAAAAAAAAAAATTGCAAATGCTTATCAGAGAAACCCGTCTAAAAACGAGAAGATTTATCGAAAATTGAGAAAATTTATGGAATGCATCAATTTTCACCTAATAAATCGCGAATAAACTTATCGGAGTTGGAGAAATTTGGAGAAAATTTCATTTGAAAATGATTTTCCATATAAAAACAAGGGAAAGATTATTGAAATTTGAAGAAAACTTGAGAAGAAAATGAAAAAGAAAAAGCTGCTTAAAGTTTGCCAACTTTTAGAAAACACAGCGAAAGATCTTTAAGAAACACAAAAGTTATTGTAAGGCTTAAAAGAAAGAGTACGATGTAGATAGAAAAGCTCATCCTCTTCATCTTCTTCTTCTTCTCTTTCTTCCTCTTCTTCTTCTGCCTCTTCTTCCTCTTCCTCTTCTTCCTCTTCCTCTTCTTCCTCTTCCTCTTCTTCTTCTTCTTCTTCTTCTTCTTCTTCCTCTTCTTCTTCCTCTTCTTCGTCCTCTTCCTCTTCCTCTTCTTCTTCCTCTTCTCCTTCTTCTTCTTCTTCCTCTTCCTCTTCCTCTTCCTCTTCTTCTAACTACCGTAAATACTGTAATAGTACCCCACCGCCCTCATACAGTCGCGTAGTCGCAAAAGTTTTTTAGTATTTCATTTTTTCAAAGCGCCCGTACTTTCAAAAATGCGTCTTTGGTATCAAAAAATAGCTGAATTTCAGGGCTATTTTTTGATACCTAAACGCGCATTATAGCATAAACCAGTGTCGAGAAAAACTCGTTCAAAGCTAGACTACGCAACACTGCGCACTGTCATTATGGGGATGGGGTACTATTACAGTATTTACGGTAGTAACTTCAAGTAACAAGTATAATGTGTCTACAAAAGCCAATTCTATTCATCTTTATCACTTTCTTCTTCTCCTTCTTCCTCTTCTTATTCTTCTTCTTCTTTCTCTTCTTCTTCTTTTTCATCCTCTTCTTCCTCTTCTTCCTCTTCTTCCTCTTCTTCCTCTTCTTCTTCTTTCTCTTCTTCTTTCTCTTCTTCTTCTTCTTCTTCCTCTTCTTCTTCTTCTCTTTCTTCCTCTTCTTATTATTTTTCTTCTTTCTCTTCTTCTTCTTTTTCATCCTCTTCTTTCTCTTCTTCTTCTTTCTCTTCTTCTTTCTCTTCTTCTTCTTCTTCTTCCTCTTCTTCTTCGTCTTCCTCTTCTTCGTCTTCTTCCTCTTCTTCCTCCTCTTCTTCTTCTTCAAGTAACTTCAAATAACAAGTAACAAGTATAATGTGTCTACAAAAGCTAATTCTATTCATCTTTATCACTTTCTTCCTCCTCTTCCTCCTCTTCTTCTTCTCTTCTTCCTCTTCCTATTCTTCTTCTTCCTCTTTCTCTTCTTCTTCTCTTCTTCCTCTTCCTATTCTTCTTCTTCCTCTTTCTCTTCTTCTTTCTCTTCTTCAAGTAACAATTTAAAGCGAAATTCACGATTAAACTTTTCCTCTTTTAGAAAACAAAAAAAATAACGAAAAATCGAGCGAAATGCGATCGATTTTTGAAATAAAACAAAAAAGAAAACAAAAAATAAACAAAAAAAAAATAAAACATTTGAATCAAGGAAAAGTTGAAAGGAAAAGGAAAATGAAAAGGAAAAATTTTCTTTTTTTAAACGAGTATAATAGATTTCTGGGTAATTTTTCGGGAAATCGATTAAATTAAAAAATTTTTGACACTTTTTTCCCAAATTCTTCTTCGCTTTAGCCTTAGCAAACCAATTTGTATCCAATTTCTCGTAAAGATCAACGGAAATCCCCAACGAACAATCGAAAGCCGACGAATTCCCGCCGTTTTTGATCAAATTGTGGTAACGAGTCTAAAGTTGAGCTTTTGATTTTTATATCTATCTATTTGATATCTTTTTATGCCCAAAATCCACTGTGACTTCCAGGTTTTTCGAAAATGCAAAAAAACTCGATTTCTTTCTTTTAAACGATCATGTGCACTCCAGATCGTTGGGAAAAGTGATTGCATTTGAATTCTTCTCCAAAAATAAAACCCTCCAAGGCGCACAGGTGGATTTTTCTGACACCTGGCATGCACACAAGAGTTTTCCAATGGTAAACCGGGATTTTGTAGAGATTTTCGAGAAGCTGGAACGCACTGCACAATCTCCACCACCCGGAACAGCTCATTCTCTTTTTTATTTGTTTTTCAAGTTTCCAAGTTTCCAAGAATGACGAAAGTATAAAAATATGTGGATTTCTTTGTTTTTTGTGTTTTTTGTGTTGTTTTCATTGTGCTATTTGTGATTGTAAAGCTTTCCCTTCTAAAAGTTCAGCTTTCCCTTCCCTTCTTTTAGCGTAAAACGTGATCTGAGGCTCTTTTGTGTTGCCCAGTTTTCGGAATGAAGTTTACTGATAAGAGCCAATGGATTTCACGTCAACGAAGTGTTTTTTTCTTTTAAAAAATAATTACAAATGGGGAAAACGGGGAACAGAAAAATGCAGGAAATTGTTTGGGATTAAGAAAATCTTTTTCAACAGCACGATCAAAGACAAAGCCTACGTTTTTCGGAAGCGAGTAGACTTCCGAAAGGCAAAATGGGGAAATGACAAAAGAGGGAGCAAAGGTCAGTAGGGAAAATGGGGTTGAGGCCGGGAGAATGGAGAAAACTGTTTGGGATTAAGAAAATCTTTTTCAACATCATGATCAGAGTCAAAGCCTTTTTCAAAAGCTCAAAGGCGTTTAGGGAAAATGGGAAAACGGGATTAAGGCCAGGAAATGGGAAAAACTGTTTGAGATTAGGTAGATGCTTTTCAACATCATGTTCAGAGTCAGGTCTAAGCCCCAGAATGTGAAGATTTGAGAAACGTGAACCCCACGGAAAAATGTGAGAGACCGAATTTATGACTATCGTTTTTTTGAGCTTTGAGGCTTTTCTTAAGCTTTGAGGCTTTTCTTAAGCTTTCAGGCTTTTCTTAAGCTTTGAGGCTTTTCTTAAGCTTTGAGGCTTTTCTTAAGCTTTCAGGCTTTTCTTAAGCTTTCAGGCTTTTCTTAAGCTTTCAGGCTTTTCTTAAGCTTTGAGGCTTTTCTTAAGCTTTGAGGCTTTTCTTAAGCTTTCAGGCTTTTCTTAAGCTTTCAGGCTTTTCTTAGGCTTTCAGGCTTTTCTTAAGCTGAGGATGATCAAAATGGTCCTTTTGGATCCTGTTGGATCCATGATCTTGTTGGCTCCTTGGTCTTGTTGGATCCCTGGTCCTGTTGGTTCCCTGGTCCTGTTGGATCCCTGGTCCTGTTGGATCCCTGGTCCTGTTGGATCCTGTTGGATCATGGATGGATCATGGATCAAGATTTCATCTTGTTGGCTATCTAAGACAGCAAGGTTTTAAATAAATTTCTTTTCTTTCTTTGCTTCGAGATTTTGACTTTTCTTTAGGATTCCACGAAATTAATCCGTGTTTTTTTTGACTTACATGCGTTAAATTCTCATAAATGTCGTGTCGAACTTGAGACGGAGAAAAGCCATACGTTCGATTGTAAAGCATCTCACCGACACACGAGATCACTGAATAGTCGAATGTTGGCCACATCTTGTTGGCTATCTAAGAAAAGAAGAATATCGAATAAGAATATCGAAAAAGTCTTCCAGAAAAGGGCTTATGTTTTGAAGAGAAAGTAGACTTTACAAAGTAGACTTTAAAAAGTAGACTTTAAAAAGTAGACTTTAAAAAGTAGACTTTACAAAGTAGACTTTACAAAGTAGACTTTACAAAGTAGACTTTAAAAAGTAGACTTTACAAAGTAGACTTTAAAAAGCAAACTTTAAAAAGTAAATTTTACAAAGTAAACTTTAAATAAAGCTCGATTACTTTTTTTTCGTTTTACATTTCAAATTTGAATCCTTTCAATGAAAATGAACATAAAAAAGCATAGAAAATCACAGCAAATTCATTCTTTTCCTATTTGGATTCATCTTTCCCTCATTGGAATGACGTGAAGAAAAAGTCTTGCTCACATCTTGAAATCAAATGTTTCTCAAAAACCCTATGATTATAATCTTGTTGATAGAGCTATTCTTTCTATTAAATCATTGTTTTCCCCGTGAGTTCATCACCGATCTTTTGCATTACCGACTACCGACGATTACATTACAATGCTGACTACATTACAGACTAGATTACAGACTACGTTACAGACTACGTTACAGACTACGTTACGGCTGAATGGTCTGACGCCTGAATGATCTGACGGCTGAATTGTCAGCAGTTGGAAAGAACGATATTTTACGAATGGATTTTACAAGAAATTCCTTCAAGCATGCATTCCTCATTCATCTTATTTTCAGATTTATCTTTCATTTTCATTAAATTAATCGATAGGTTATTTTTGTGGATGTTTAACGAAGTACTGAAAACGAAGTACTGAAAACGAAGTACTGAAAACCCTTGGCCACTCACCAAGAATGGATACGACGCAATTGCGGGCATCTCCTCTAACCCAATCACACAAACGCAATGTCGTTGTGAACCTGATGAACAAGTGGTGCCATTACAGTCCCAATTCGAATACCTAAATTGTTAGCATGAGCTTAGAATTGCCATTACAACAAGAGGTGTCATTACAGTCCAAATTCGATCACCAAAATGTAGCCTGAGTTCCAGAACGTTAAAAAAAAACAAAAAGAAAAACATAAACCCATTCTTATTCTTAAGTTTATTCTTTATAAAGTTATAGTAATTTTTGATGAACTTTATTAACACCAATCTGTCCCCATAGCCCACATTTCTCCACCCCCAATCAAGAATCAAAAAGTTTTCCCCCAGCGAGACTCGAACCACCGACCTTTCGCTTACCAGGCAAGTGTGCTAACCATTACACCACAATGCACCTGATCTCGTCTACTCCAGAGGGCGTTAACTAGTCGTTGCTTGCTTAACTTTACGCCAATCTCCCCCTCCTCCCATTGATAGCCCCCATTTTCCTCCCGGCCTCCCAGCGCGCAGGTGGTTCAGTGGTAGAATGCTCGCCTGCCACGCGGGCGACCCGGGTTCGATTCCCGGCCTGCGCAAATTGTTTTTGGATTTTGCCCTTTTTCATAGAACTGAAGTTACATTCAAAAGCTAGATTTTGACCTTGAGCGACTCTGACAAGGAGGGGTTCATGATTTGACCATTGCACGAGTGTACTTAGTGGAATTCAAACGAATGATTCGACCTCAAAAGATCTCAAAGCTCAATTTATCGATACCGAGAGCTTATCAACATAAGGTCTCAAATTTCCCTTCAGCCTTCCAGCGCGCAGGTGGTTCAGTGGTAGAATGCTCGCCTGCCACGCGGGCGACCCGGGTTCGATTCCCGGCCTGCGCAAATTGTTTTGATTTTTGGAAATTCTGATAAACTATCGTAATCTGTGACTTTTTCTCTTTCATAACATTAATTCCAGGACGCTAAAAAACACGAACAGATCATTATTTTCAAGCCTATTCTAACCACTTACTGTCTGTAAGCTAAAACTGGTGTCAAAGCCTACTTTAAGCCATCTTAAGCCATCCTATCGAAAGCTAAAGAATTCAGTCCATCAGGATGAGGGTTTTTTGGGCAAAACATTCGCTTAAAGTAGGCAAAATCGACTCTAGCTAGTGTACAGTGTACTTTGAGCTTTGAAAGGTAAATGAGAACTAGATAACGACTTTTTATAGGCTAGAGAGTTGTAGGGAGTTGTAGGGAGTTGTAGGGAGTTGTAGAGAGTTGTAGAGAGTTGTAGAGGAGTTGTAGGGAGTTGTAGGGAGTTGTAGAGAGTCGTAGAGAGTCGTAGAGAGTTGTAGAGAGTCGTAGAGAGTTGTAGAGTTTTCAAGTTTTCAAGTTTTCTTTTTTTTCTGACACTAACCGAACGATTTTCTGTGTACTGTGTCCTTCTCGTAAACACCTTGATGTCATCCCGCCAGGTAACTAAGTAACAAAATGTTAAAAAGGAATCGACTAACCAAAACCTTTAGATTCTCCGTATTCTGCAGGGTGGCCAAGAATTGCTCATCCACACTGTACAAAGACTAAAGTTAAACAAGGTTTTTCATTTCCCAAAAAAAAACTCGAGCACTTCTTCTTCGAATTTCGTTTTCAAATATGCGTCCAATGAAATGGTGTTGATGAGGAAATCGATGGCTTCGCGGGAGATCAGAGATTCCACCAAACCGCTCGCATATTGTAGCATTGAATTCTCAGGAAAAGCTGTGACTGAAAAAGAAAACAATTGATAAAATACAAAGCTTTCAAAGCCTTTTTAGAAAATTTAGAAATACTGTAGCCGACCCTATTGTAGAGGAAAGCTAGAGTTAGCCAGGGACAGGCCAGAGCGGATCTCGTTTAGAACTAGGTCAACCAGGCAAGCTCAGAGTCAGAGGCCCCAGAGATGAAGCGAGAGTCAAGCAGTCAAGCAGCGAGAGTCAGCAAGCTCAGAGAGCGAGCTCAGAGTCAAGCCTGGCCAAACAAAGCTAAGACAAGCACGATAAGACAAGGGCAAAAGCTAGCTTCTAGCCAGAATAGGCAAAGCTATTGTTTGTATAACCTGGCAAAGCTATTGTTTGTGTTTGTATACTTAGTCAAGCCTGAGCCGGAGCCTAAGCCTGAACCTGAGCCTGAGCCTGAGCCTAAGCCTGAGCCTAAGCCTGAGCCTGAGCCTAAGCCTTAGCTTGAGCCTAAGCCTAAGCCTAAGCCTAAGCCTGAGCCTAAGCCTGAGCCGGAGCCTAAGCCTGAACCTAAGCCTAAGCCTGAACCTGAGCCTGAACCTGAGCCTAAGCCTGAGCCTGAGCCTAAGCCTTAGCTTGAGCCTAAGCCTAAGCCTAAGCCTAAGCCTCAACACCAGAATCTCAGCTAGTGTACAGAAATGACTCTAGATGTCTAAAAGCCCTTGTAAACAAGCATAAAAGTTAAAATCTTCCTTTACCATTTTTATAGAACTCGAGCCCGTTCAAGTACCAGCCCTCTTTAGCGTGTCCGCATCGGGTACACGGTGAGATTTGAATGGCATTCGAGCCTAAAAACACACCAATGCACCATGTGAGCTCCAGAATTGCGAAAAAAACGAATTCTATTCTAAAACTACCATTTAAAACCTCGACAATCTCGCTGATCTCCACCGCCGTCTTCACAATGACGTCATGGGTCTGAAATTTTGCTATTCTTTGATTAAATCTTGAAAAAACTTGTAAATCCAATAAATATTTCCAATTTTTATTTGCCAACAAGATTTTCCAGCATTCTCGATATGAATGACTCATGAAAGCTCCGCCGCTGGAGACGTTGAACAATTGTTCAGTCTAGACAAAATCGATTGCATTTGTTTCTTTGAAATTTTATTGAATTTTTTGTATTTCTTTCTTACTAGATAGACATTCGGAAGACATTTTTCCAATTTTTGAAGATTTTTGTGCAATTTTGTTTGTGATTTCTTTGCGTCAACGGCAAAACAGAAAGAGTAACGGGGATGGAAGTTGAAAGAAAGTTGCTCCTCGAGAAATGAATAATCCTGGAAGTTATATTGGTCTTTAGGAATTGAAAAACTCTTCACTTATTCAGTTCACGGACAGACGGACGGACAGACGGACGGACAGACGGACGAACAGACGGACGAACAGACGGACGAACAGACGGACGGACAGACGGACGGGCAGACGGACGAACAGACGGACGGAGAGACGGACGGACAGACGGACGGACAGACGGACGGACAGACGGACGGACAGACGAACAGACGGACGGACAGACGGACGGACAGACGGACGGACAGACGGACGGACAGACGGACGGACAGACGGACGGACAGACGGACGGACAGACGGAAGGACAGACGGAAGGACAGACGGAAGGACAGGCGGATAGACGGACAGAGGGACAAAGGGACAGAGGCACGGACGGACCGACGGACGAACGGACGGATAGACCAAAGCACAGACGATAGATAAAGCTCTGGATAATAAGCCTAAGCTTGAGCCTGAGCCTGAGCTAAAGCTTTATCTATCCTAGATAAAGCTTGAGCTCTAGCGAGAGTCCCGAATTACTTTCCGAATCATCGGGAATTACTTTTCTTATTGATTTCCTTTACACTATTCGTTCTAGATGCTTCCAAATAATGCTTAAAACAAATTAGAAAAAAAGATATTAACTAGAAAAGCTAGACGAGCGGATGGAGGACCTCTCGAGGAGGATCTAACGCTTTGTAACTGAGAACACTACCTCTCTGCCACAACAACCTTTCGAAAGACAAGCAAAAAAAAAAGCCTTAGAAAACAATAGCTAATGTTTAGCGCTAAATTTTGCTTGTTTATATCCACGTAAAGCTTATTGATCAACGAAATTAGGAACAAACTACTGTTTTAATTGAAAATTGAAATATTTCTATTTGAAAGTTAGTCTAGAAGTATTCGTTAAATATTTTAAACATTTTAAACAACTTAAATCCATAATTCCCGTATTTTCTCTAATAGTGCACCATGAGCGTCGCCTAAATTGTTCGATCTCGGAGAGCGCTTATCAGAACCTATCGATTTGGGGACGAAAAAATGTAGCTGACGATGAGATCTAGTGAGGGATTTGAGTGTTGAGCTTCTGGGAGAACTTAGAAACGATATTAAGTAAAGGTTTGTTCAGATTCTATTTCTAAATGCTAATATTGTTCAGAGATGACTCCACTACAAGACTATAGGATACAAGACCTGAGCCTGAGCCTAATCCTAAACCTGAAGCCTCAAGCCTAAGCTTTTGAAGCTATAGGAGATAGGAGTGACTCCACTACAAGACTTTTCGACCTAGAGATAAGGGAAGACGGAGAAGTATCATCAAAAACACTTTTCTAAGGTCGATTTTTGATGGAGAATCCGAATTTGCCCTTAAAATTAGGGGTTTCCTGAGAAAAAAATACCACTTTTCACCAAAAATACCACTTTTCAGCTCATCAATTTTATAGGGGTGATTCACTGAAATGGTCTATAACTCAAGATCTAAGAGATCTTGGGGAAACGATAAAATACCGTGGAAAAGTCATCAACTCGACTCGGCTGGGTACTATTAGAGAGAATACGGTTCTATTGAATCAATAGAACTGAGATGGAAAATGGTCAGAAAATGTAGCTGACGATGAGATCTAGTTGGTTGTTGAAGTGATCTTGTGATCTTGTGATCTTGCCTTATTTTGCCAGCTTGCTTGAACCCTCGACTTTCCGCTTAAGATCAAACATCATCAAACTCCTTAACGATAACGCTTAAGAGCTCGGCCAGCTGGCCCGTATTCTCTCCAATAGTAGCGCCCTAAGCTTTGCCTAAATTCCTCGAAATCTTGAGAACCGCTTATCAGAATCTATCGATGTGCGGTCGGAAAATGTAGCTGACGATGAGATCTAGCTGGTTTTTAAAGTGTTGAGCTTCTGCAAAAGCTTGGAAACCGTAAAATCGTCATCAAGTCGACTCGGCTGGGTGCACTACGGATTAGAGAAAATCCGGTATCCTAATTTCACTTGTTTTTATCGTATACAAACCGACAAGTACCTAAATTCTTTGCCTTTTTTCAAAAGATTTAAGAAAAACTAAAACGGATTTGGATTTGGAAAGCCTGGCAAAAAGTGAAGAAGATAGAATCGATTTTTTTTTTTTTGATTTAATTTTTACTTCACTTTTCTTACTCAACTTTCATTCAAATTTACTCAGAATATACAGAATTTATATACAAAATGCTTCGAGGAAAATTTGAATGAAAGTTGAATGAAAGTTGAGTAAGAAAAGTGAAATCAATGTTGAATCAAAACACTCTGAAGTTCGAAATTGGGTAATCTCTGTGACACGGATTTGGAAACGAGATTATTGAAGAGATCACACTCTAACCAAGACAATAAAGCTTCCCCAACTGACCTCGTCGACGACTCTCGCCACAGCGATCGCATTTTTGATCAACGGGTATTCAGAGTATCGAATGATTCGCTTTTTAATCGACTCGCAGTCCATCTCGACATTGTCATTTGGCTGCTTTGTGATTCGCGTTTGGAAAACTTTCTGAAATTTCTTTTTAGAAGAAAACTATAATTATCTTATCATTGAAAGAAAGCCATCGATTTGAATTTGAACCGAAATTTCTTAAATTCTACAGACATCAGCTGCGCGTTCGCACGGATATTCTACCTAGAGGTACTGAGGGCATGTAGCACAAATCTGATTGCTGATTCGGATTCCTCGCCCTCGAAACCCCTCGAGTACAAATTTTCAGCTTTCTAGCTCAATTTTATTTATAATTTTATGTTAGCGTAATTTGTATTAGCGGGTAGGCGTGACAGATCGATGAACGGACAGACGGACAGACGGACGGACATACGGACAGACGGAGGGACGGACGGACAGACGGAGGGACAGACGGACAGACGGACGGACATACGGACAGACGGAGGGACGGACGGACAGACGGAGGGACAGACGGAGGGACAGACGGAGGGACAGACGGACAGACGGACGGACAGACGGAGGGACGGACGGACAGACGGACAGGCGGACAGACGGACAGAGGGACGGACAGACGGAGGGACAGACGGACAGACGGACAGACGGACAGACGGACAGACGGAAAGACGGACAGACGGACAGAGGAACCGAGGGACAGAGGCACGGATGGACAGACGGACGAACGGACGAACGGACGAACGGACAGATGATCAGAGTGACGGACAGGCGATCAGAGTGACGGACAGACGATCAGATTGACGGACGGACAGACGGACGGACGGGCGAACGGGCCGACGGAGGACAGACGGGCGGACAGAGTGAAAGCCCGATTTTAATGCCTTGCGTTTTCATTTCAAATTGCCAACCTCTGTATACTGACAATCCTCTTCGATCACTCTTTGACAATCGATTTCCCCAACAAGTGGATCTCTTTTAAACTCATATTCTCGATAATAGACCCCCTAAAAGATCAATTTCTTAAAGATTTCGTAAATTCTTTTTACTTACCTTGAAACAAATACAATTTTCAATCAAAAATATTAAAAATAAACGGGTTTCCATTCAGAAAATTGAAGAAATCACCGGGAAAATCGATAGGAAAGAGGTTTTGCAAAGAGATAAGCCATGTTTCCCAAATTTGAAGAAAAGGAAGAGAAAAGAAACCACTTTCATTTCCGATTTCCTTTTCCTTCAACCATTTCGAGTGTAAACAATTCAATAAAATGCAAATAATTCCAAAAAAGGAAAATGATTTGCGCAGGCCGGGAATCGAACCCGGGTCGCCCGCGTGGCAGGCGAGCATTCTACCACTGAACCACCTGCGCGCTGAAGGGATGGCGGAAATTTGAGGTTTTAAAGGGCAATCGAAGGTTTGTTTGAATTTGAATTGGAATTTTAGCATGGGAATTACAAATTGAATTGACATTGACAATTAAAAATTAAATCTTCACAAAATTCATTTTCTAATGTCTCTTAGAGGTTTTCGATTGCTTTGTTGGGCTTTTTTTTTCATCGTTTCTGCCTTTTCTGCCGAAGAAGAGCACACAGCGTGTCCAGGATGGCAAAACTACAAAGAGGTCAGAGTTTTCGAGATTTTACAGTAGCTAGAGATTTTACAGGGGCTTAAGTTTCTAGAGTAGGGGTTCACGGTCAAATTTTATGGGCAAAGCATAGAGAGGAGATGAGGAAAGACGAGAGCGATTTCTTGGGTAGATCGCTGGAGGGATGTCCTTTTAGGTTATAGTGAATTAATAATAACAGTTTAAGTAGTTTAAGTTTAAGTATTAGGAGTTTAAGCAAAGATTTGTGATTATGTAGCTCAGAATATAACTTCAAAACAATCTAAACAACTCTAAAAAGCGCTTTAAACATCTCTTTAAACAATTCCATAATTTCGATTCAGAAAAGCAAAACATTTTGCGCAGGCCGGGAATCGAACCCGGGTCGCCCGCGTGGCAGGCGAGCATTCTACCACTGAACCACCTGCGCGCTGCAGGGAGAGGAAAATTGCGGCTGTATGAAGGCTCGACTTCTCAATAGCTCGGCTGATCGTCGAGATTTTCGGGTTTCATCACTATCACAATTTTTTCTCGACTTTGTTTTCTTCGATTCCTGGGCGTGTCATTCATAAAACTGTTCTTTTCTATGCTCAGGCGATGCCATGAGTGCCATGGCCTCGTTCCTGGCTTGCCCTGGTGAGATCAGAGCCTAGATCAGACCGTCCAAGTCAAGTTTATCCAAGTCTAGCCCTGGCTTGCTGACTAAGTTTGACCTTTTGAAGGATCATGCCACTGAACCACCTGCGCGCTGGGGAAATGAGGGCTATGAATGGGGCGGGGGAGAAATTGGAGTTAATAAAGTGACTCAATCCCGACAACCCGACAATCCGACAATCCGCTAGCCGGATAAATCCTCGACTAGCATCGAGTTGTTCGTTCCTGGAATTAAACGGATATGGACTAGAATTTGGGTTAAGTTAGGATCCCTTTTGATATCCTGATATCCTGCCATCTCTAACACCCATTCAGCCCGACTCAACTCCTCCAAAAGTTTAAGAGGAGAGTGCCTGTGAAGTGACCGACCTGAACTTCAGTTGGTCTTGATGTCTATCTTTATTTACAATAGTACGATAAGATGAATAGATTACAAATGAGTGAAAGGGGGAGCACAAGGATCACTTGTCCTCCTAGGCAATCCCAAGGATCGCCCCTTCTCCGCGATGAACGGGAAATGTCTATCTTTAAAGGGGGAGCACAGGGGAGAGCACATTTACAATAAGAATAGACAAATCATTCAACAATAACAATAGTAACTAAAATATGAGTTCGGAGCTGACAGAGCTCAAGAATAGCTCTTTTTTTAGGGATTTTCAATCGATTTTTGATGTTATTAAGCTTTTGTTTAGCTTTTTTTAGCTTTTTTAGCTTCTTTTAGTTTCTTTTAGCTTTTTTATAAACCTAACCTATTATTTAAAGCTTTTAACTTAACCTTTATCTTTTAAAATTTAAGAATTTTCTTATTAGAAAGTTAAAAAATTAAAAAATGCATACATTTCTTTTGTTTTAGGTTTGCCTTAGCGGCTCGTTCAACAGTAATCTCACCCTCGAGCAGACGGTGAAAGCGGCTGGCAAAGAATGCTATGATGCCAACATGAAACGGGTTAGTTAAATTGAAGACAAACTATCTTTATCGCATTTTAAAGTCATTCACCCCGTGTCCCTATTCGATTCACAGTTGCGTTTTTGTCGTCACCGATTCCAATCCCACACAAAAGGTTTGTGCTAATGTTTACTATAATCGATCTTTTCCCTCTTTCAGATTCATCACTTTTGCATTGATGACGCTCGACCCTATGTGCGAATTGAGGCTGAGGTTTCATTTCTTTTGAGTTTTTTTTAAACTTTACTGTATCTATCAGACAGACAGATAGATAGACAGACAGACAGATAGATAGACAGACAGACGGATAGATAGATAGATAGATAGATAGATAGATAGATAGATAGATAGATAGATAGATAGATAGATAGATAGATAGACAGACAGACAGACAGACAGACAGACAGACAGACAGACAGACAGACAGACAGACAGACAGACAGACAGACAGACAGACAGACAGACAGACAGACAGACAGACAGACAGACAGACAGACAGACAGACAGACAGACAGACAGACAGACAGACAGACAGACAGACAGACAGACAGACAGACAGACAGACAGACAGACAGACAGACAGACAGACAGACAACCGAAAGACCCCAAAGATACTTTTCTTGTCAGACTGAGTACTGTGCTTGATATCTTATTCTAAAGTTGGAATGACAGCGCTTGAAGAGTGCGTGATTGCTAAAAACGCTATATCTTCTGATTTCTTTTAGTTTGAAACAATCGATCACCGACATCCGACAAAGGAGCGCGTGACCGTGTTGCGACGAGGCGATCCCAATTGGAAAATACCGGAGTAGAGCTTTTTTTATAGCTTCTAACGGATTCTAATCAAATTTCCAATTTTACTAACGATTACATATTTAAATTTATTTAAATTGATTAATCAAAAAAATCAGAAAAATCAGAAAAATCGATTTTTTTGATTAGAGATTTATTCTTCGATTACTATTACGGTAGATTAAATATTTAAATATTTAAATATCTAATATATCTAAATATCTCAATATCTAATAGATCTAAATATCTAATATATCTAAATATCTCGATAAATCCAGATTTTATCTCATCCAATTCAGTGGTTGCGTGGAGAACGAGGGCGTGACGGTCACCGGCGACGTGACGCTCAACGGAATTGTTTATCCAAAGGTACGCTTTACTTTTTCTTTTCTTAATCTTCCTTTTTAATTCATTTCTTTTAGTCGACAATGGTTTGCTGTAAACAGCCGCGATGCGACAAACTCAAAAGTGAGCAAAGAATTTCGAAATTTTCAGAATTATCTTTTAGGTTTAAACGAGCGCGAGAAACTCTACAAGGATTGGCAGGTTGGGGTCTTTGATTTTTCTACTTATCTCTGGTATCGAGATTATGATTATGATATTCTGATAGATTATGATATTCAGGCTAGATTAAGATATTCAGGCTAGATTAGTGGGTTACGTTCTGTAGTCTAGATTATGATATTTAGTCTAGATTATGGTATTCAGCCTAGATAACGGATTACGGTATATAGTCTAGATTCTGAGATTCAGGCTAGATTATGCTATTCAGTCTAGATTAATGGATCACGGTATCTAGTCTAGATTATGATATTCAGTCTGGAATAGCTGGATTACGGTATCTAGTCTACATCATGATATTCATCATCGCTATCGTATCGTAATCGCTGTTAAACAATTCAATAATCAATAAACAATAATCCAATATCGAATTTCGAACAAAAGCAAAATTTTTTGCGCAGGCCGGGAATCGAACCCGGGTCGCCCGCGTGGCAGGCGAGCATTCTACCACTGAACCACCTGCGCGCTGGAGGGGATGGGGAAATTTGAGGTGTTAAAGCTGGAATCTTTGATGTTTATGCTTTTTTGATGAAGGGTATTTGGAAAATGAGCTTTTAAAGATTTGAGGATTAGTTTCCTGGAAAGGAAAGGATTCCTGGTCATTTCGCCGCAGTTCATTTCTTTGCCGCGCACGCAAGCCAAATTGTCGCCATATGTCGCCAAATTCCTTACAATTCTTATTTCCAAGAAACGGTAAGCAGATTCGGAATCAGCGCCAAATTCAAAAGATTATCTAGGTCTCATTTTGATTGACCTTGATTTTATGACCTGTCTGTTTGTCTGTAAGTCCGTCTGTAAGCCTGTAAGTCTGTCTGTAAGCCTGTAAGTCTGTCTGTAAGCCTGTAAGCCTATAAGCCTGTCTGTAAGCCTGTAAGTCTGTCTGTAAGCCTGTAAGCCTATAAGCCTGTCTGTAAGCCTGTAAGTCCGTCTGTAAGCCTGTAAGTCTGTCTGTAAGCTTTTACGCGCGCTATTTTCATTCTGGGGGTTTTCGACTATGGGGAATCTGACTTTTAGGTTCATTTTTATAAAGAGACCGCAGCTTAACATGGGTTCCAATAGTTTTAGTCATTTGAAAGAAAGAAAGAAAGAAATAGCTTCTCAGCGGAAAACGTGAACGATAGCCAGATAAAAGAATATTTCCAGTACCTAACTAGCTACAGTAACGAGTTTTCGAATGAAAATCCTTTTCCTTTCAGCCCTTCACGGCAATGGCGGTTTTCGCGACGTTGAATGCTTATTTGGTAATGCGAATCATTTGGAAATGCTGTGGTGGACTAAAAAAGCTGAAAGTCGATTAGAGAATTGGGAATTATTCTTTTTGTTATGATTTTTAAAGTAATAAGACTAAGAGATTCGAATTTTTGTGTACTTTTTTTGAAATAAATAAAATAAAATCACTTTTTAATCATTTTAATCAAATTTTGTGTCTCGAAAACCTTTAATTGAATTCTTTTACTATTAGGTTGTCCAATAAGTAATGCGTGTTATTTATTTCGAAACTATTGCGAAATCGCTTCGAGCAAATATATGCTCTTTTTAATCATCAGCATCTTGTGTTTATTTTTATATATTATTTTATTCATTTGCCTTTGTTTTATAATAGATATGTTGTTTTGCAGATGAAAGACAAAAACTTTTTTGTCCGCGCATCAATGCTGTATGATTTCAAACGAGGTAAAACTGCAGCGGATTGCCATCGAACTATCTGTGCCGCATTTGGAGAGGATTCAATTTCAATCAGCCAGTGCCAGCGCTGGTTTAAACGATTTGCGGACGGAAACGAGTCGTTAGAGGACGAGGAACGCGCTGGAAGGCAAAAATGGCTCGACGATTTCTTCTCATCGAAACCAGCTTCATTCTATTATGACGGACTTCACTCTTTGCTCGGACGATGGAGAAATGTTGTTGATTGTTGTGGAGAATATATCGATTAATAAAGTTCTCTTTTGTTAATTTTGTGATATTTTGAAAATCGTGTCAAAACACGCATTACTTATTGGACAACCTAATACTTTAACTTTACTTTTTTTCACTTTAGCAAAAAGTCAGTTAGCACGTGTGGCTGACTGGTTAAGTGTCTTTTATCTTAATCGGAAGGTCGAGGGTTCGAACCCCACATGCGACATGGTCACCCCCTTCGGATTTCCTTTCCCTTCGGGTTGAGAGGTTTTCTGGAGGGCAGTCTGGTGGTTGTGGCCCCAGTTCTTTAAAGTGACAAGCCACTCCTTCATCGTCATCTTCCCTTCACCACCAAAAAAGCTATTTAGTTCCCCATTGAGCTTAGGGTTAGGGAGCCGTCTGTCATGACGTGGGTTAAGTTAAGATATAGCCTAGTATTGTGTGTGTCGTTGTATTGTGATTGATATATTTCGTGTATGCGATAAATTCACCACTGGTAGCCCCAGTCGGTATTTTTTTTAGCCTAATAATTAATGAATTGATGAAGCTTTTTTTGGTGTTATTTAAAAAGAAAACCTTTTTCTAACTATTTTCTAAATAATCGAGACATTAGAGTTACGGTAAAAAGCTTTTTTTTTTTTCGATGCGCTGAAGCCGTGAATCAGAATGAATCCAAAAATTCGTCTAAGCTATTGAAACAATTATGGAAATGAGTCTTTTTATGTTGTACAGTACTGGACAATGAAATATGATATTTGAAAAAACGATCGTCACTTTCGCGCGTCTGTAACTCCATTGTCTTTGCGCTTAAACTATTAGTGTTATACATTTTCTGAAAGCTCTTTTAAGGGGCTACACAATGGTAATATTAATATGTAGAAATACGGTAAAGACAAGGGAGTTACAGACGCGCGAAAGTGACAATTTTTTTCAAATATCATATTTCATTGTCCAGTAGTGTAGATCTCGTTTCAAGCTTTCACAATCAAACGCAAACCACCACCACGATGCCGATTACCGTCCGCCCAACCGGTGCCCCAACCACGCCAGTCCCAGTCAACTATTGCCCGTGCACACCAAGCAAGGTTTAACTTTCTGAGATCTGGAAGGACTAGACTTGTTTATCGATTCGATTCGGATCGATTGAAATTGTAATTTTAGTTCTTGTACAAGTTTTTGAGGGCTTTGAATTACTGGTTGATTTGATTGAGTATTTGAATTGAAAAGATTGAAAAAGACATTTAAAAGTACGGCTATAAAAATATGAATCTAAATCTAAAGATAATTATATAAATCTAAAGCTTCACTAATCGCTTCTCTACACTTTCCTTTGCGCGCTTTGTAATGTGAAAAAATGAAAGCTAATCAGAAACTTCTACAGTACTGGACAATGAAATATGATATTTGAAAAGCGATCGTCACTTTCGCGCGTCTGTAACTCCATTGTCTTTGCGTTTAAACTATTAGTGTTATACATTTTCTGAAAGCTCTTTTAAGGGGCTACACGATGGTAATATTAATATTTAGAAATACGGTAAAGACAACGGAGTTACAGACGCCCGAAAGTGACAATTTTTTTCAAATATCATATTTCATTGTCCAGTAGTGTGTTTGTAAACTACCCGGGTTGGACCCGGATTGGACCCGGATTCAGATCCCGATTGGATCCGGATTGGATTCCGATTGGATGCTGATTGGACCCGGATTCAGATCCCGATTGGATGCGGATTGGATTCGGATTGGATGCGGATTGGATGCGGGTTGGATGCGTATTGGATCTGGATTGGATCTAAATTGGATCCGGTTCAGATTTAGACCGAATCAAAAGCATTCGCCTTTTGTCTTGCAACCACTTTTCACTGTAGTTAGTAAACAATCCAATAAAACGCAAAAAACAAAGCTTTTGCGCAGGCGGGGAACCTAACCCGGGTTCCCGGGGTGGCAGGCAAGGATTCTACTATTGAGCCACCTGTGCAGTGGATGCAAAGGAACTTTGTGGTCTTAAAGGTCTCCTTAGAAAAAACCTTGATTATCGGAATTTCAGATTCGAATCCGGATAGCTTTGTTGTCAATTATTGTCCTGTACTTTGTGCATGAAAACGCAAGCCTTTCGGTGCACAGCGTTTATTTTCGATTTTTCAATTAGTTGGCCGATATCTCGATAAAAATGCTGAACTCTTTGATGAAATTAGAGCTCAGACCATTAAATAGTTGATGTGATTCACCGAAATCTCTTATAAAAAAACACTAAATGTTTCCCGGTTGTAAGTTTTTTTGTTTTTTGGTGGTGTGAAGAGAAACAGGGAAAAAAAAACCAGGCAAAAAGTGATGCGCATCCGATGAGATAAGGGCTTATCTATTTTTTGTGAGGAAAACGAATCCTAGACATTAAAGGGAAATCGAGTAACAGACTTTGATATTCTCTGAACAAAAAAAAATTCGAAAAGAGGATCCGAAAGAATGAAGCTCGTTTTGGCGTTGCTTTTGCCGGCTGGTTTGTTCTTTTTTTCATTTCTATTTTGAAGATTTAATCGAAACAAACCAAACCAAACCAAAAAACGAATTCTGCTCGTCTTTTTGTACTTTTTGCTTTCCAAAATCGAGTAAACGTTTATTAGGTTGAAGAGAGCATGGACTGAGCTTTCTAATGGCTACTAATGGCTTTCTAATGGCTACTAATGGCTACTAAGGGCTACTAATGACTACTAATGACTACTAATGACTACTAATGGCTACTAATGGCTACTAATGACTACTAATGACTACTAATGGCTTTCTAATCGCTTTCTAATGGTAACTAAGGGCTACTAATGACTACTAATCGCTTTCTAATGGCTACTAATGGCTACTAATGGCTTTCTAATGACTACTAATGACTACCAATGGCTTTCTAATCGCTTTCTAATGGCTACTAAGGGCTACTAATGGCTACTAATGACTACTAATGATTACTAATGACTACTAATGACTACTAATGGCTACTAATGGCTTTCTAATGACTACTAATGACTACTAATGGCTTTCTAATCGCTTTCTAATGGTAACTAAGGGCTACTAATGACTACTAATGACTACTAATGACTACTAATCGCTTTCTAATGGCTACTAATGGCTACTAATGGCTACTAATGACTGCTAATGGCTTTCTAATGATACATAACACTAGGTTCTAATAGTACATAACATTAGTTTCTAATAGTACATAACTAAAGGTACAGAGCATACTTTATTGAGAAAAATGTACCCAAATAATAAACAATAAAAAACAATAATAAACAATAAAAAACGCGCATTTATTTCCGGACAATCTAATACTTAAAAAGGCCTTTAAAAAGGCCTTTAAAAAGATTCCTTTTTTTGCTTTAAGGAGATTTTGAGAAGCACCAAAACGACACCAAATTGATTTGGCTATTGGTTTAGCCGTTTGTTTTTTTTGAGTGCAAACGGAGATTAGATCTATCTAGAAATCTATCTTCTTCTAGATTCGATCTATTAGGTTGATGCAAAAGTCTTTTTCATTTTTTTCGTACTTCTTTTGAAAAATAACAAAGTCATGAATTAACCTATGGTTTGCTCTAAATGAAAAGTGTTTATTGTTGAATTTCCCATCTTTTTAAGTCAATTTGGGTTCACTTTCAAGCAAATTCGAGAGTGAAAACGGGTTTTTCATAAAAATCTATAAAAACCTCTATAAAGAAATTGGCTGAATCAATTTCTCTGAAAATCTGGAAAAAATATCAAACTTTTTGTGCTCTATCTTTTATTTATTAACATCAAGATTGGTTTCCTTAGCTAAAGCGTCTAAAATGCATCATCGAGCCGTCGCCTTTTTTGACTACCCGACTTCAGGCTCTCAAAAAAATCTAGACATAAGACATTTTAAACTCGTTTTAATGTCATTTTGCAGAAAAATAATTGGCCTTTCGAATGCAATAAACCGTTGTTCAATTAGTGCATTTGTGACTTTTTAACGGAAGTACGAAAAAAATGAAAAAGACTTTTGCATCAACCTAATAGAATCTAGATAACTCTAGATTCGATCTAGAATCTAGATAACTCTAGATTTGATCTACGTTTCGAGATTTGTTACGGCGTAATGAGCCGTGAAAAATCTCATCTAAACACACGCTTTCCAGTGCACTAAAACCTCTCTCTCTCTCTCTCTTGTCGCCTAGAAAAGCAGAAAAAAAAAACAGGGATTAAATGCGAATTTTAAAGAAATTAACACAATAAAATAGATAAAATAGATAATAAAATAGATAAAAGATAAAAAAATGATGACCTACACTAATTTTTAATGTGATAGCTCTTCATTTTTACGTTTTTACGTTTCACTTCGTCAAACGCGTCTAACTTTATTTAAATCGCTTGGACTAAAATAAACTATAGCTTTAAAAAATAGAGAATTTCAAGAGCTTTCAAATAAACTAAAGCACTCTTGAAAATATTGATTTTAAAGAAAGTTACAGTGCTTTAATTGCTTGGTCGAGTATGGTCGGTTTTGAGGTCAGACTTTAAACCATTGTAACTTTCTTTAGAATTCATACTTTCAAGTGTGCTTTAGTTTATTTGAAAGCCCTTGAAATTCTCTATTTTTTTAAGCTGTAGTTTGTCTTGGTCCAATCGATTTAAACAAAGTTAGACGCGTTTGACGAAGTTAAACGTAAAAATGACGAGCTGTCTTTAAAGACTGAAGACTTTAAAAGCTTCTAATTTTGTTTAAGTCGATCGGATTAAGAACAACTATAGCTTAAAAAATAGAGAATTTTAAGAGCTTTTGAATAAACTAAAGCACACTTGAAAGTATGAATTCTAAAGAAAGTTACAATGGTTTAAAGTCTGACCTCAAAACCGACCATACTCGACCAAGCAATCAAAGCACTGTAACTTTCTTTAAAATCAATATTTTCAAGAGTGCTTTAGTTTATTCAAAAGCTCTTGAAATTCTCTATTTTTTAAGCTATATATCATGTCAATCCAATCGATTTAAACAAAGTTAGAAGCTCTTAAAGTCAAAGTTTAATTTGTATTTGTTCATGTCTACGATATAAGCTTTTTCTTTCTTAGAGGGTCACTTTTTAGAGCCGAGAAAGTTTCTTTAGAAAAAACTTTTCTATAATCGCTTTCTAGTGTTGGCTCAACAATGCACAATTGGTCAGGGTTCCACTCAATCGTGCGCAAATCATATTGCCGTCATCGTCGACAGTACATCCTACATGCAGACAGCTGCTCGAAGTCAACAAGTTTGTAAAAGAAAGCTAAATAAACTAAATAAACATAAAATCGATTAGTTGGCCATGTTTATCAATACCTATTTGTCGCAATTCGATTTCTCATCGCAGTCAACGATGGTCACAATGGGTTTCTATGGTAAGTCGAATTCTAAATACCGTAGCTAGTCTAATAAGCCTCTAATAAGCTTCTAATAAGCCTCTAATAAGCTAATAAGCTTCTAATAAGCCTCTAGTAAGCCTCTAATAAGCTAATAAGCTTCTAATAAGCTAATAAGCTTCTAATAAGCCTCTAGTAAGCCTCTAATAAGCTAATAAGCTTCTAATAAGCTAATAAGCTTTAATAAGCCCTAGTAAGCCTCAATAAGCCAATAAGCTTCAATAAGCCCTAGTAAGCCTCAATAAGCCAATAAGCTTCTAATAAGCTAATAAGCTTCTAATAAGCCTCTAGTAAGCCTCTAATAAGCTAATAAGCTTCTAATAAGCTAATAAGCCTCTAATAAGCCTCCAATAAGCCTCTAATAAGCTAAAAAGTCTCTAATAAGCTCCTAATAAGCTAAAAAGCTTCCGTACAGTTGCGTAGTCGCTTTTTCATCAAATCTTTAATATCAAAATAAAGCTGAGATTCCGGGCTATCTTTTGGACTATTCAGGGTTATCTTTAAATGTTAATTGTTAATTGAAATTGGAATTCAAATTCAAATCAATTCAAATTTCATTCATTCAAATTTCCGGATCCCGATTGGATTTAGATTGGATCCCGATTGGATTTTACATAAAAAAAATCAATTACCTTTCAATTTTTGACCTTTTTTTCTGTGTCAAATCTTAAATTATCACCCGATTTTTGCTTTCAAAATCATCTAACCCTATCCTTTTACAGTTATCAGCCAAAAGAAAAGAAAAAAAACATTAAACCCACAGTTTTGATCGTAAAATTATCACCAATTCAAATGTGGAAAATTTTGGAAAATTTCCCTTTTTTCTTTCTTTCTTTTCTCATCAGATTAGATTAGAAAAGTGAAGAAAAAAAAACGTGGAAAATTTTACGATCAAAACCGCTTTTTTTTTTGCCTCGATTCCTTTGTCGGATTGTGGCTTTTTGGGAAAATTGACAAATGATCATTTTAAAGAAAAAATTTAGAGAATTGAACATTGCAAATTCGAGATTTTTATCAAATTCTAGTGATTTTCAAAACAAGAACATCGGGATTGGGTTTAAAGTTTCGAGCTTTTTTTCAAGCGCTTTAAAGCGTCCTAAAACTATTAGGAGTGGTCCTCCCAATTTGCAGCTACCAAAAAAGAAACTCAATTCTTTTTTCATTCTTTTTGCCTAAGGCTGTGATGTCAGAAGGCTGTGATGTCAGAAGGCTGTGATGTCACAAGGCTGTGATGTCAGAAGGCTGTGATGTCACAAGGCTGTGATGTCAGAAGGCTGTGATGTCAGAAGGCTGTGATGTCACAAGGCTGTGATGTCAGAAGGCTGTGATGTCAGAAGGCTGTGATGTCAGAAGGCTGTGATGTCAGAAGGCTGTGATGTCACAAGGCTGTGATGTCACAAGGCTGTGATGTCAGAAGGCTGTGATGTCACAAGGCTGTGATGTCAGAAGGCTGTGATGTCCTCATTTAAGTGTTAAGCAAAATTGCGCTTCAATTTCTGGATAATGTGCCATTTGGAAAGAAATTTCTGTTTGAATGTACTGATTCTTTTTGTAAATCCCTTTCACAAAGTTATTTCATAAAGAAATCGAAAGAAAAGAAAGAATGAAAGAAAGAACAGAAAGAAAGGAAGAAAGAAAGAAAGAAAGAAAATCAGAAATACGCAAAAAGAATGAATTGAAATAAAGAACGAATGAAATTGCGCTTTTTTTTCCACCTGCAAATTTGGAGTACGGTAGTTTTACCATGCTTTAAAGCACCACTTCAGAATTTTCTCGGAAATGATTGGATTCAAAGATGGGTGAAGAGTTGAGTGAAGAGTTGTTCTTACTGTAGATTTCCTATTCTAGTAGCCAAGCGATTGCTGAGACTGCAAGCAGAGAACTTCAGTCATGTCTTCAGTCTTCAATCTAAAGATCTTTAGTCGTCCAAAGTTGTCCAAAGTCCAAAGATCTTCAATCCAAAGAACTCTAATCCAAAGAACTCCAATCCAAAGAACCAATCCAAAGAACCAATCCAAAGAACCAATCCAAAGAACCAATCCAAAGAACCAATCCAAAGAACCAATCCAAAGAACTCCAATCCAAAGAACTCCAATCCAAAGAACTCCAATCCAAAGAACTCCAATCCAAAGAACCAATCCAAAGCGACTTCAGCGACTCAACTCAAGCGACTGAATCTTCCGCTTTTTTCCATAAGCATTTCAGCTATAATCTTTTGTATAATTCATCGATTTGACAAAATTCATTAGATAGTCTATTAATACACGAAAAACAAGTCAAATCAATTCACTTTTCACAAAGTTATAGCTAAAAAGCCTATGGGAAAAAGCCGAAGCGCTTATTTTGAGCTGAGTCGCTGAATTTCTTTGAATCCTTTGGTTTTTTTGGATTCTTTAAATCCGATCAGGTCAGAGCTTGTCTTCTGACTTTGCCTGATCAGAATTGGCTCAAAAAAGTCAGTCAAGGATTACAAAGATCCCCGCTCTTCCCAAATCAAAAACAACTACTCAAGAATTACACATATCCTCCATTCTTCCAAAAAAAAACTCAGCTCAAGCTAAGCCAGATCAAAACCAGAATGTTAGCCAGCTCAGCCCTAGCCAGCTAGCTCAGCCCTAGCCAGCTAGCTCAGCCCTAGCCAGCTAGCTCAGCCCTAGCCAGCCAGCTCAGCCCTAGCCAGCCAGCTCAGCCCTAGCCAGCTAGCTCAGCCCTAGCCAGCTAGCTCAGCCCTAGCCAGCCAGCTCAACCCTAGCCAGCCAGCTCAACCCTAGCCAGCAATTTAAAATCTTTTAGGAATGTCGGATCCATCAGTCTCTTGGTCTCCCGTTTTTCTCTTTTTCGGTCAATCGGATCCGACGATGATTTGCGATGATTGGCAAACATTAATCTCCGAGCAAAACATGAACAATATGGGAGTGTTACCCATTGCCACGTCAGTGCAAATCAATCTATAATATCAGATTTTAAATCTGATCGCAAATCGCATCAACTTTAAAATCTCCTCAAAGTTTCGCGTTTTCAGCGCGCTCGTCTCTCTGTACAATACGACGGAAATGAACGACTGGAACTACGATCAAATCGTTTGGTTCACCGCGTCGAAGTGAGAAACTTGAGATATGTGTAATTCCATTTCTTTCCATTTCTTTCCAGTGATCAACAAGATATCCAATTATCCGGCTCACTACTATCCAATTTCCCGAATGTCAACTTGACTGTCGTCTCGATGGGCGGCGGGGATTTCTCGTCGTGGACCGGGGCTCGGTGAGAGTCACCAATTTTTTTTAAAATTTAAGCTTTCTTAGATATTTGTAATCTAAGCTTACTAGTGTACTCCAAATTAAAGGTAGAACTTGTTAAATAGCTGAATATCTAAAGATTAACCTTATTTTTATGTCTGTACTTGTTTCTGTCAGAGTGACCGTTTTTCAAATTCAAATTCTCTTCAAAATTTTTAAGCCAATCTTGCTAGTGTGCTCCAGATTAAAGGTAGAACTTGTTAAATAGCTGAATATCTAAAGATTAACCTTATTTTTATGTCTGTACTTGTTTCTGTCAGAGTGACCGTTTTTCAAATTCAAGTTCTCTTCAAAATTTTTAATCCAATCTTGCTAGTGTGCTCCAGATTAAAGGTAGAACTTTTTATATAGCTAAATATCTGAATATTAACTTCATTTTTGCATCTGTACTCGTTTTCCAGCGTCCTCTGCACTCCATTCCCGTTCTCCAACGGCTACGAGGCCACCATTCAACGGCAAGCATGCCGAACGGCGGCTGGTTCGTTTTTTTTTGGGAAATCTGTTGTTAAACTGCAATCAAGGCAGCATCTGATAAACTTGTATTTCCAGGAAGCAATACTTGCAACGGTGCCATCACCACCCCGATGCCGACCACCGTCCGCCCAACCGGTGCCCCAACCACGCCAGTCCCAGTCAACTATTGCCCGTGCACACCAAGCAAGGTTTAACTTTCTGAGATCTGGAAGGACTAGACTTGTTTATCGATTCGATTCGGATCGATTGAAATTGTAATTTTAGTTCTTGTACAAGTTTTTGAGGGCTTTGAATTACTGGTTGATTTGATTGAGTATTTGAATTGAAAAGATTGAAAAAGACATTTAAAAAGACATTGAAAAGATTGAAAAAGACATTTAAAAAGACATTTAAAAGTACGGCTATAAAAATATGAATCTAAATCTAAAGATAATTATATAAATCTAAAGCTTCACTAATCGCTTCTCTACACTTTCCTTTGCGCGCTTTGTAATGTGAAAAAATGAAAGCTAATCAGAAACTTCTACAGTACTGGACAATGAAATATGATATTTGAAAAAACGATCGTCACTTTCGCGCGTCTGTAACTCCATTGTCTTTGCGCTTAAACTATTAGTGTTATACATTTTCTGAAAGCTCTTTTCAAGGGCTACACAATGGTAATATTAATATTTAGAAATACGGTAAAGACAAGGGAGTTACAGACGCGTGAAGGTGACGATCTTTTTTTCAAATATCATATTTCATTGTCCAGTAGTGTCGTTTCAATCGTTTCAAGCTTTCACAATCAAAACGCAAATGTTCTCGTTTCTCGAGTTATCGTGCTTTAAAGTCAAGGGAAATATTGTCTAATAGATTATCTATAAATAAGGCTTTCGATTTCAGATTTGGAACGATATCATCATCGTCTATGACGGCTCAAATGTGCTCCCGCAAGCTCGCTTCCAAACGGTTTCTTCTATCAATATCTATAAAAAGAAAAACTCCGTCAAACCTAAAGAAAATCATCCTCAACACCAGAAACTAAACCAAAATACAACCCTTTTTTTCTTCTAACCCTTTTCATTTGGCTTAACCGTTTTTTGAAGTGACAGTGAAGTTGGAAATTGGATAGCATTGATAATGGATAGCATTCGGGAAATTGGATAGCATTGATTAAATTGGATAGCATTGATTAGAAATTGGATAGCATTGATATTGGATAGCATTCGGGAAATTGGATAGCATTGATTGCAAATTGGATAGCCTAAGCCTGAGCCTGAGAAATTCTGTTAAAACCAAGGCTTAACCGCCGGTCCTTTTTGTGACACAAGCAGTTATTATCTCGCTCACTTTGACAGCTGACGACAGCACGGCATGGCCGAATGGTTAGCAGGCCTGTCTCTAAGACCTCCGCTAGCGTAAAGGGCTCGGGTTCGACTCTAGGGAGAGTTCTCAAAAAAATTTTTTGGAATACATCAACGTTGAATAGAAGGCCTTGAAAGGGCCTTGAAAGGGCCTTGAAAGGGCCTTGAAAGGGCCTTGAAAGGGCCTTGAAAGGGCCTTGAAAGGGCCTTGAAAGGGCCTTGAAAGGGCCTTGAAAGGGCCTTGGAAGGGCCTTGGAAGGGCCTTGGAAGGGCCTTGGAAGGGCCTTGGAAGGGCCTTGGAAGGGCCTTGGAAGGGCCTTGGAAGGGCCTTGGAAGGGCCTTGGAAGGGCCTTGGAAGGGCCTTGGAAGGGCCTTGGAAGGGCCTTGGAAGGGCCTTGGAAGGGCCTTGGAAGGGCCTTCAAGGCCTTAAACCAACGTTTTGGCACTGATAAGAGCCGCCGTTCTCTTATCAGCTTGTTGTCATCTAAATCCGGATTCTAGATGATCACCATGTTGCAATCGATGATCGCTTCACTCCCTATTTCGCAACAAATCGGACAGTACACCCGTTTGGGAGTGATTTCGTACGGTAACTCCAGTCATCGTTTAACCCTTTTTATTTCATATATTTAGCCTCCAAAGTGACTCAAATCGCGAATTTAACGAAATACGGTAGCTTTATTGATGCAATTAGTGACAATTGGTCACGGGACAATGTCGAGGCGACGAATGTCAAAGGGTAAAACATTTTGAGATACGTGAATTGTCCTCAAAGCTAGCCAACAGCTAGCCAACAGCTAGCCAACAGCTAGCCAACAGCTAGCCAATAAGTCCGGCTTTTCTACAAGCCAGAAGTCAGGCCTTAACCAACCTTGAACTTGCCTTGATCTTGCCATTTGTATTGAAGAAGATATTCGACCTTTACGGTTAACGGCAAACTCAATTTTTTTTTTTTGCTCAACGATAACGTTGATTGAAGTTCTTTGGACTTTGGACAACTTTGAATCAACTTTGAATCAACTTTAAACGACTAAAGAGCTTTGGTTTTGAAGACTGAAGACACGACTGAAGTCCTCAGCGTGCAGTCTCAGCAATCGGTGCTCTTTACAAATTTTGAGATATTCTATGAAATCCGTCACCAAACGGCGGTTTCTAGGGGATTTAAGATCAAATTTGATTCAAGATTTTGAGTCTATCTGTGTAATCATTTATAGTATTGTTGAAGGTAATAAAGCTGGAGAGCACTTATAACCCTAATCAAGCAAAGCTTGCCATCTCTTGTTTCTAGCTTTTGATCATTACCATCTCTTATCTCTAGACTTTGATCACCTTCTCTTATCTCTATTCAAACATCACCTTCTCTTGTCTCTAGCTGTCAATCATCACCTTCTCTTGTCTCTAGCTGTCAATCATCACCTTCTCTTGTCTCTAGCTGTCAATCATCACCTTCTCTTGTCTCTAGCTTCAATCATCACCTTCTCTTGACTCTATCTCTATCTCATCTCTAGTTTTTGAAAATATCAAAAATTTACAGAAAAAGAGAACTTTCCTGGCACTTTCCTGGTTCCATTCTGATCAAAGCCACCTAGCTCTTCAAAGAAGCATTGTAGCGGTGAAGGGGGAAACTGTCACAGGCGCTTCATCATTTCCAAGTGTTCCGGGAACTTCTTAACCACCATATACAATCGATTCGTTTAAGATCAAAAACTTGATTTAACGATTCTAAAATGTGTCCGAAATTCGCTGCGTAGCTGCCCTAAATGGCCAACGATTGAGCAGAAAGCAAGCGAGGGGTTTAGAATTTGAAAAACATTATATCGAGAGACAACTATCATTTTTTTTTTTCTAAAGCAATTACCTTTTATCTAAATGCAAATTAACGATTCTTTTATAAATGAAGTTTACAGTGGAATCGATCTTGCTCGTGATTGGTTCGACAGCACGAAACAACACCGACCGAACGTGCGCAAAGTGATCATCCTTGCCGCGAGCACATATCGGTTTGTGAATACATGAAGAGCATGAGGATGATCGATGCAAAGCTTCGATCCAATTCCAATACCTTTCTAGCCGTTTAAACATGATCTCAATTCGTTAATTGATTCAAAAACATTGAACGCTAGAGCTAGAGTTGAACGCTAGAGTAGAGATCTAAGACGCTAGGGCTTCTTAGATCAGTCTTGATCTCATCCCTGATCGCTAGAGAGTCTTAGATCAGTCTTGATCTCAGTCTCACTCTTGATCTAATACTCTGTTCTAAAACAACCTGATTAGTTGAATTAAAACCAGTTAACTTCAGAATTAGAATGCTTTAGAATCTACTAGTTGAAACTAAAGCAAATCCAAAAAGTTTATCCCTGTCGGGGCTCGAACCCGCGACCCTTGGCTTACTAACCCCGCCGTGCTAACCATTACACCACAAAGCACTTGATTCCCTAGGCTCTAGACGGCGTTAAGTTCATCCCTATCTGGTCGATCGATGATTTTTCCTTTCAGCGAGGGTTTCGACACTCCGATCACCACTGCGAACACTTTCAAGGACAACGGCGGAGTGATTATGGTGATCGGTGAGTTTACTAGTTTACTAGTTTACTATCACTTTCTGCTAACCCTTTGCATCGTTCTTTTCTTCTCTCGTCGCGCTGTCTATGATTCAGAATCCTTTTCCAGGCTACGGTGATCTAAAGGGTGAATCCTCGGATGTCCTTAAACAGATCGCTTCTCCCGGCTACTTCGTCGATGCAACCAATCAACAACCGAATTTCACCTCGATTTTGAACCTTCTTTGTCTATGTGAGTTGAAGAGGGAAACTAATGAGCTTAGCTTAACTAAGTGTGTACATTGTACAAGTGTACATTGTACAAATGTACCTAGTACATATGTACACCGTACAAATGTACATTGTACAAATGTATATTGTAAAAGTGTACATTGTACAAGTGTATATTGTACAAGTGTACATTGTACAAATGTACATTGCACAAATGTATATTGTACAAATATACATTGCAATGTACATTGTACAAATGTACACTGTACAAATTCTTAGCATCTCACGAGAAAAGCCAAAAAGCCAGCTAAGAACTATTGGCTTTACCTCTCTACCAAAAAGGGTTCCTTTTTCAGCGAACTGTTTCTGTCCCGATCCCTACAAAGCCGTCTCCTCCGCGCCAACCGGCGAGCCAGCCGAGGGGTGCTATTTCGTGAGCGAAAATTCTGCAAAAATCCCAAAATCATCTATCCTTTCAGCTCTCCGATTTGCAAGGTTTACAAATTTTGGCCGCCCGCTTCTGCTCAATCGAAAACAATGGAACGTTGGCAGTGACATTGGATCAAACACAGAAAATTTTCGCCGTCTCCAGTGAGTCAACGAGAATATTCAGGCTTTAAAGCTGAATAACTCTAGCTGCAGTAAAGATTACTGTAGGCAGGATGCTTTAACTTTTCACTTTAACTTAAATATCAACACCAATGTCTTTTTTTTTAAGAAGTTCGCACCGCTGTCCCGGTCTGGGTTGGTCTGACCTTCGATCCGGTCCTTCAAGCATGGACATGGGCTGACGGGACACCATTTGTGAGTTGAAAATCATAAATTATCTTACAGATAACTAGCCAAAGTTTCAAGAAATTATTGATTTCCAATCGCCAAATTTCAGACGGATCAAATCGAGAGTGGCACCGGTGCGTGCGCGACGATTCGGCGCACAAACGGCTTCAACACCGCCTTCACGCAACGGGGTTTGTCAACTGAGAGACACTAATACAGCTTGATTTTAAACTCCAACTTGTACTGCTGGTTACTGTAGCTCGCCTTTATCCAAAGTTGTTAATCCAAATTCAGAATGCGCCGGTGACGCGTACGACTACGCCTGCCAAGCCACTCCCTGCTCGACAGCCACCTATTGCCCATAAATTTCAATCTAAAAGCAATTATCGCAACTTTTCTTGACAAAACAATTTTTCATTCCTTATAACAACAATATAAAATAACAATGACAAGCTAAAGCTTTTCTCGCAAATTAAAAAATTAAGAAAAGAAGACAAAGTTTGCAGAAAATGTGAAAAGGCAAAAAACAACAAAGACAACCCAAAGATTTTCCCCGCAACAGCAGTTATGTAAATTTTGAAAAATTACCAAAAAGAGTTATCACAGAAAAGAAAATTTGAGAAAAAAAAACGATGGGCAAAATGTCTAAAGGAAACAAGGGGAATAACGGATTTTTCACGGAAACTTGTAAAAATATTTACTCCTCTTCCTCATCTCCTTGCTTGTCCTCGTTCTCGATTGCCTCCAATTGCTCCAGATCCGCCGGCTCAAGCTTGACGATTGGTTTTTCTAAAAAGAATCAAGATAAATGGTCTTGAGATGTTAATTGGGATATTATTACAAACTTTACACCCATAAAACTTACCAAAATAATTCTCAATATCCTCAATGTATTTTAGCGTTTGCTTGCTGTCAACGAGATTGATGGCAATGCCCGACTTGCCGAAACGTCCCGTGCGTCCAATTCTAAAAATGATCTTGTATTTTCTTCGCATCACGTAAACTTCCCACCTGTGCAGATAGGTTTCAAAATCGGCCACATTTTCTATTGCTCCGTTTGCGCCAGTCATTTGTCGAACAGGCGGGTCATAGTTGATGACAATTGATACTTGCGAAACGTCAATTCCTAAATAATTTTAAAGTTCAGAAACCCCCCAAAAACAACCCACCCCTAGCGCAAACATTGGTAGTGATCATCACTTTGTAGTGTCCTTCACGGAATTGCTGGATCGCTGTTGCGCGCTCTTCGACGCTTAACTGACCATGTAGAAGTCCGACCTGAAATCTTCCAATGTCTTCAAAGCTTCACAAAGTTTGAAAGTCTAGCCAATAGATCAACCCTTACATCCAATCCTTTCTCGCAAAGCTTGTGTGCAATCCACTTTGCACTTTGAATCGTATGACAGAAGATGATAGCCGACGCAATTGTTAGTCCCGTGTACAAATTGAAGATTGCCTCAAATTTCGCGTCCCGACTTGCGCACTCAACATAGAACTGCTTGATGTTGGGTAGCGCCTGTTCCTCTTTACGTAACCTAAAATAAACAGAATAGAATTGCTGTCATTTTGGGCACATATTCAGCCTAATACATGGTCCCAGAGCCTTTAGGCAAACTTACGTCACTAGCACGGCGTCCTTGATCAATTGTTCTGCAAATTTGATCACTTCTTCCTCGTATGTAGCCGAGAAGAGCAACGCTTGACATTTGGGATTGACTTTTTGAATGGCACTAAATCACAAATCGTTCATGGAATAAAGAAGCTTTACAACTTGTAAATTTTAAGCGAGATTTCCTTGTGTCCTGGATTCGACCACAGCATCACATCGGCTTCATCCAAAACGACGCATTTCACTTTCGAGATGTCAAATGTCTAAAACTTTTACTTCTAAAACTAAAACTAAAACCTAAAAGACAGTTTTTTTTTAAAAAAACCTTAAACATACTTTGAATTTGAAAATGTAATCGTCGAGTTTTCCCGGCGTGCCAATCACAATCTGCTCGGTGAGGCTAGTGCCAAAATCCGCTAAAATTTGATGATTACTCATGGGGATAAAGATGCTCAAATACCTGACTTAGATAAGTCAAAACTTACCCATTTGTCCTTTGACAGCAAAGTGCACTTTCACATCAGGCATGAAACGCGACATATCGTTAACCACCTTGCCAATTTGTTTGGCTAACTCGTGGGTGGGCGCCAAGCAGAGAGCCTAAAAATTTTCGATAACGAGGCAAGAAATGAAATTTACTTGTGGATACTTGTTCTCCGGGACTACACGACTCAACATTGTCAGTACAAAAGCCGCCGTCTTTCCCGTTCCCGATTGCGATTGAGCGATCATGTTCGTTGGTCTAAAGTTTGAGATGTGGTCTTTGACACCACAACGCAAATTAGGCTCGACTAGTTATCCCCTTACGACAACTTACGGTTCCATCAAAAGAAGTGGCAGAGCGAATTCCTGAATTTTCGACGGTTGCTCAAATCCCATCATATCGAGCGCCTTGATAATGTCATCTTTACTAAAAATCTTCAATCACAATTTTCAAGGAAAAAAACTTACACACGCAGCTCACGGAAGTTCAGAATTGAATGAAGCGGTGAGGTGGGATCTTGCTGCTGATTCCTGAGAGCAATAAAAGCAATTTACTAGCTTAAATTTCCCTCACTTCACATCGACCGTGCCCTCTCGCATGTGCTCGACTGTACGCTGAAGGAACTTGTTCAACAAGGCCAAATCTTCCGATGACATGGCTAAAGTTCTTGTTACAGCAATAGAATTGAGTTCAATAACGATTCTCTGGTGGTGTAGCTTCTTCAGCCGATTTCTCCGGCAAATTTCCCGTGAAGCCAGCAAGTGGACGAACAGCGCCAGAGTCAAACTAAATAAAAGTTTTATTGTTAAAAGCTAAGAAAACTTACGCGTTTCGATATGTTGGGGAAAAAGCCGCGAGGGCTGCCGCGAGGACTGCCATGGGGCTTCTGTGGAGATTGTTGAAAGTCTAAAGATAAAGTTGTAGATTCCACAGCTTAACTGCAACACCCACTTGTGGCATTTTGATAAAGTTGCGGTGCTGGTGCGGCGGCGAATTGCTGCCCTCCTCCATAATTAGTTGCATTTTGAAATCCACCGCGCCAATTCCCGCCGCGTCCTCCACGATTCTGATATCCACCACGAGGCGATTGGTCGTCGAATTGATTTGTCGGATATCCTCTAAAAGAAACAGTATAGCACTCTTTGAAAACAGTTTCTTTAGTTTGTTTAGTATGTTGGATCAATTGGCGACTAATTTGCATTAGATTCAACCTATGCCCAATAAACCTCTTTTAAAAAGCTATTAGATTTAAACAAGCTAAAACCCTGTTCAAACTTACCCAAAATTTCCCTGTTGCACAAAGCCGCCGCCTCTTTGACTAAAGTTGTTCGGCGAGTTCGGTGTTCCAGGCTGCTGATTTTGCCATTGATTGAAACCACCTAAAAACAAAAATTTAAGCATTCAATTCAAGCATGTAGCCATCGGTTGTTGAAACTGTTGTCCACCTTGTTGCTGTGGGCTGAAGCTCGAGCTGTCGAAACCGCCGCGACTTCCCCTGCCTCGACCTCGACCTCGACCGCGATAACCGCCACGGTTTTGACTAAAATTTAATGCATAAACACATTTAAACACTTAGTTTTATTCCTACAAGCAATTTGAAAAAAAACTTACTAAAATGGAGCGGTTGGACTCGCATCATAATCGCCGCCAGCGCCAAGCCCGAGTGATTGCGTCTAAAAAGTGATATTTGATAAAGAGAAAACATATTTGATATTGTAAAATAGACACAGGCATCGAATAATTGAGTCGAGCCGAATCCATTCGATTTTTTGAAATTTTCGAATCGAATCGAATCGGCGATTCGAGTTCAAAAAGCCGAATCGTATCGAATCGGCTTGGAAATAATGTTATTAATGCAAAAGTTGCAGTCTAGTAGAAAGTAAACTTAGCTTATTTAATGCAAATCTACCCATTATAGAATAACTGCCACCAATGGCGATTCGACTTTGAAACTTCGAATCGAATCAAATCGAATCAAATCGAATCAAATCGAATCAAATCGAATCAAATCAAATCGAATCAAATCAAATCGAATCGAATCGATTCGAGACGCATGTCTTGTAAATTGGGTCAAACCAATGCGATCCATAACTTAACAACATGTTTTAGATTAGTTTTAATGTCGTTTCGATCTCAAAAGCTAAACTGCTACTTTCAAAAACGACATTGACAAACAAACTTCCAACTTTTAAAAAGGTTTTGTCGTTTAGGATCTGCCGAAATGCCTCAAGCTTGAAGTAAAGGACATTTAAATTAACCGATACATGACTAAAATAACACACTTGTTGAACGAGTTGACTTGTCGGATCAGCCGGTGGTTCTATCGGCAAATCCATTCCCTCGGCCATCATCTGAGCGCGGAACTGTTCTTGCCACTTGCTCATTTCTAAATTTTCACAAATATTAATCAAAAAGGTAGAATGAGAACAAGAAAACGTTAAAAACAATAGAATTTTCGAGTTTTTACAATTACGCTTATCTATTTTCATTGCGTAAGCACAAGAAAATCTCAAGAAATCGCTGAAGCAAGCGATTTTCAAAAAATTCACTCGATTTACGGGAGCTGATCAAAACAGCGCCGTGTACAAACAGCGTCACAGCAAAAAAAGCCCCTCCACGGTTACGTTTCTATGCATTTCTTATTCTTATTGGATGCAGAATCAGATTTTCTACATTTTGCATACTTTTGGATCACTTAAAACAGAAATTGGTGTCGAGAAAAGCTCAGTTAACCTCTTTTTGAGAGCCCTCTTTTGTTTTTTTGGCATTTTCTCATCCCAAATTTGTTTTAAACGGCTCCAAAAAACAACAAATAGCTAATTTTTTTTCTACATCCAATTAAAATAAGAAACACAAATAAACTTAACAGTAAACGCATTATTTTGGCCGGCGCTGCTTGTACACAGAGGTAGAAAAAAAATTAGCTATTTGCTGAATTTTTTTGGAGCCGTTTGAAACAAATTTGGGATGAGAAAATGCCAAAAAAACAAAAAAAGGGCTCTCAAAAAGAGGTTAACTGAGCTTTTCTCGACACCAATTTCTGTTTTAAGTGATCCAAAAGTATGCAAAATGTAGAAAATTTGATTCTGCATCCAATAAGAATAAGAAACGCATAGAAAAGTAACCAGTTTAACCAGCTCCCCAATTTACAGAGGTATTGAGGGAAAAACGCGAGAATTGAAATGGTAAAAGTGACAATTTTCTTTATTTATAGGCAAAAAAACGTTATTTATACCCAAATTTCCAACGGTTCCTATCAAAAAAAGATATTCAATTATTCACCTAAATATCCTTAATTTGTTTTAATTTTATAAAACAAAATCGTTTTTCACCACTTTTGTCACATTTTTTGCACGTTTTTCGTTTTTTTAAACGACAAACAACATAGATAAGCGTTTTTGGCCCTGGACCAACTAGAGATTTTGATTTTAAGAAGTTTTTAAAGCAATTTATTCATGTATTGTACAAGATTTTATCATAGTCACTTGTTTATCGCGTCTACCCGTAGAAGTTGCTGATATTTCTCGATCGCCTCGCAAGCCTAGAAGTTTATTTAATTGATTTCCATCAATTCAACAGAAAAAAAAACTCGAATAAACCCTTAAGAGCGTGACCTGGCTACGCTCTACGCCAAGATCTTAACGTAACTACTGTAATAGTACCCCACCGCCCATAATGACGGTGCGGAGCGTTGCGTAGTCGTAGGTTTAAACGAGTTTTTCTCGACACTGGTTTATGCTACGATGTGCGCTTAGTTTTTTATTATCTATGTTTCTTGTTCTTGTTCTCTTTTTATCATGTTTTTTGTTATGTTTGAGTTAAAATTGAAAGTAAAATGGTTTTTTAGATTGTCAGTGCATTAAATCAAGTTGAAATGTCGCGATTTTTGAAAGAAATAGCCCAGAAATCTGTTCACCTAATTAACTTTTTTCTGAGTGAACAGATTTGAGTGAAACTTTGGATTTCACTTAGTTGGATAGCACAGAAAAATTGGGATTGATTAGATTGAGCCGATTTTAATTTTTAGAAAATCGATTTAAGAAAAAAAAATAGCCCTGAATTTCAGCTATTTTTTGATACCAAAGACGCATTTTTTGAAAGTACGGGCGCTTTGAAAAAAATGAAATGCCAAAAACTGCGACTACGCGACTGTACGAGAGCGGAGTGGGGTACTATCACAGTATTTACGGTAGTCGGGATCTTGTAAAAACTATCGTAAGCTTTATAAAAGTCAATCTTAGATTAAGATCCACGAAAAAATAGTCTCGAAGATGCTTTTTAGCTTTTTAGATATTTTCTAGATGATTCCCTTATAAAATCAGCTACCGTAACCCAGCGCTTAAACATTCTTTGAACTACTGTAACTATTTTTGTAGCTGGATTACTGTAATTTTTGTCCTTCTAATTTTGTTCTTCTAATTTTTGTTCGGTTTTCTTCCTTTACTCACCTTTTTAAAGTCATCGAGCGCTTTCTGAAATGCTCTTTCTTTTTCCCTTTGAAAGCCAATCTCAACACTGAGAATTTCTTTTTTTCCGTCCAATTCCTTTTCTTGTTGTTGATGCTGAAATATTATTATTATTTTAAGATAAAGTTATTGTAAAACTTTTTCCAAATTCGTTTCAACACCCCTCAAAATCCTTGTCAATTGATTGATGAATGAGTCACGGTTGGCCTCGGTTTTAGCTCTAGAAAGTCGAGAGTTTGTAGTAGCCTAGATAAGTTACAGTAATCTATTAAATCTAGATAAGCTACAGTAATCTATTAAACTTAGATAAGTTACAGTAATCCATTGAATCTAGATAAGCTACAGTAATCCATTAAATCTAGATAGGTTACAGTAATCCATTGAATCTAGATAAACTACAGTAATCCATTGAATCTAGATAAGTTACAGTAATCTATTAAATCTAGATAAACTACAGTAATCCATTGAACTAGTTACAGTAATCCAAAAACTCACAACGGAACCGCTTCCTCAATGCTATTCAATAATTCGGCTTCTTTTTTCATGTAGTTTCTCAAATCGATCAAGTAGTTATGATAGACATAGTATTGACGAGTTTGTCGATGCTTTGATCCCACTAAATATTAAGATTACTGTAGAAAGTCTATCTATCTATCAATCTAACCACAATGAACAGCTAAAATCCTACCTTAAATCCTTTTAAGAGACTTAAAAGCTAAAAAGGTGGTACCGTAACCGATTGTACTCACTCTGATTGTACAGCTCGATCAATCTCTTGTGATATTGTGCGATTTCGATTTGTGATGGCACTGAATCGATCGATCTCTGCAATCCGGCGATCTCCCGTGCCCACGTAGCGCCCATTTCCCTCACTCGTTTCAACTTCTCCTCTTCAATCAAAAGCCGATCCTCCCATTCTTTTCGATTTATATCCTACAATCATTCAAGTTCTATCAGTTTATCTGAACTAGTTCTATCTAAAGCTTCACGATCGTTTTTCTATTGTTAAATAAAGTCTATCAGGTCCAGTTTTACTATCCCAAGTCAAAGAAAAACTTGTTTTTTAATCCATTTCTCTAATTCATTTTTCTAAAACCCCTTTTTGCCGTAATCTTGCTGTATTGTAGCTTGAATACTATAGCTTGGGTACTGTAGCTTAGATATTGTAGCTTGGATACTGTAGCTTAGATATTGTAGCTTGGATACTGTAGCTTAGATATTGTAGCTTGGGTACTGTAGCTTAGATATTGTAGCTTGGATACTGTGGCTTAGATATTGTAGCTTGGATATTGTAGCTTGGGTACTGTAGCTTGCATACTGTAGTTTGAATTCGGTAGCTTGGATACTGTAGTTTGCATACTGTAGTTTGCATACTGTAGCGTGGGTACTGTAGCTTGGTTACTGTAGCTTGGGTACTGTAGCGTGGGTACTGTAGCTTGGGTACTGTAGCTTGGATATTGTAGCTTGGGTACTGTAGCTTGCATACTGTAGCTTGGATACTGTAGTTTGCATACTGTAGCTTGGGTACTGTAGCTTGCATACTGTAGCTTGGATACTGTAGCTTGGATACTGTAGCTTGGGTACTGTAGCTTGCATACTGTAGCTTGGATACTGTAGCTTGGATACTATAGCTTGAATTCGGTAGCTTAGATACTGTAGCTTAGATACTGTAGCTTGGATACTGTAGCTTCTAGACTGAATCGTGTCTCCTATTCCAAACAAAATAGCATTCTGTTGGTTATTTGGAGAGTACTTTGAGCTTTGTTTTGAGAATACGATAACCATAATTCGCCTTGGATATTTGCCCACCTCAGCCCTTTCCGCATTTTCCTCAAATCTCAGAATTTCCCCCATTATCTTGTCGATTTCCCTCTCGCATTGGCGCTTAAATTCGGCTTCTCTCGTCGAAATTTGCATATAAAAGCCGAATTTCTCACGTAAATCGCTCAAAAGTCTAAAATTTAAGAGATTTTTGTGAGATTTGAAGAGATTTGAAGAGATTTTAAAGAGATTAAAGAAATTAAAGAAGTTTTCCTCACTCTTCATCCAAATTTTTCTCCAATTTCCCAGCGTAATTCAACTTTTCGTCGAGCAACAAGCATTCAGCCTGTAAATTCGAAATTTCTAACAATAACTGCCCATTTTTTGATTTAATTCGTTAATCCTGGATATCATGCTTTAAAAAGAATGATCTTATCTCGTGAAAATATTCGTTTTTTAAAAAAAATCACTTCCAACGTCTGCAAATTGATCTCTTCGACTTGACACTCGTCGCCCAAATCCCTCAACTCGCTGTTTAGCTGAATATCTTTTATTGAAAAGAAATAGAACACTTTTTATCGATTAACCTCTTCGATCAGTCGATCCAGATCCTCTTCAGTCTCTTCGCGATGTTGAGACTAAAATTTAGCAACAAATCGATACAGTATCCTAGAGCAATTTATAGAATTTGATTTGATAGACTTTTTTGTGGCCCTTTTTTGGTGGCTCTTTGATTTAGTGACGCTTACAATTAGAAACAAGGTCATAGCTAAAGATCCGGTGACTCCTTTGGCTCTTAGAGTATGCGGTTGCCCTCACTACATTGTAGAGCTACAGTAAGCATTGTAGAGCTACAGTAATCATTGTGGAGCTACAGTAAGCATCATAGAGCTACAGTAAGCATCATAGAGCTACAGTAAGCATCATAGAGCTACAGTAAGCATCATAGAGCTACAGTAGGCATTGTAGAGCTACAGTAATCATTGTGGAGCTACAGTAAGCATCATAGAGCTACAGTAAGCATCATAGAGCTACAGTAAGCATCATAGAGCTACAGTAAGCATCATAGAGCTACAGTAAGCATTGTAGAGCTACAGTAAGCATTGTAGAGCTACAGTAAGCATCATAGAGCTACACTAAGCATCATAGAGCTACACTAAGCATCATAGGGCTACACTAAGCATCATAGGGCTACACTAAGCATCATAGGGCTACACTAAGCATCATAGAGCTACAGTAAGCATTACAGTCTCTGCCACCAGTACCCTTTTTGTTTCCAATCCTTTACTTACCGTACTCTCCTTTTCCTCGAATTCGAATGTGTCAATTTTGATCGTTTTCTCGAATTCGGGTAATTTCGATCGTCTAATCGCTTCCTCCAGCAATAAAAATTCTTCCTAAAAACGAAATTTTAAGTTTTTTAGACAAAATACCCGAAATTTCATGTTTTTGAAGATATTTATTTAATCAACAAAGATAAGAGGCAAAATTTTAAGTTGATTAACTAAATATCTTCATCTTTAGCTTCATATCTACTATATATAAAAGAACTAAAGACGTTTGTCTGTCTGTTTGCCTGACTGTCTGTGCGCGCTCCTCCTCAGCCCCTAGAGGACCGTTTGCAATGATTTTAGCTCGTGTTGAATAGGGAATTACATGTAGTTGTGCAATGTGCTTTTGAATTTTTTTTAAAAAGCACAATTCGAGTCGCATCCGGGGTCGAACCCGGATCGTATGGGCGATAGACCGGCGCGCCACTATCTATTGCTCCACGGCGACAAAAGTCGTCTATCGCCAGAACAGAACGCCAGAACAGAACGCCAGAACATCGCCAGAACATCCGCAGTTAGTTGTTGTCTGCCTGCCTGCCTGTCTGCCTGTCTGCCTGCCTGTCTGCCTGTCTGTCTGCCTGCCTGTCTGCCTGCCTGCCTGTCTGCCTGCCTGCCTGTCTGCCTGCCTGCCTCTATGTCCGTCTGTCTGAACCCTTGTGGGCTAGAGAAAAGTGCGCTCGCACTGCGCCGGAGCATGGCCGAGTGGTTAACGAGCGCGTCTCTCAAACGAACGGAAGAAAGAGGTCGCTGGTTCGCCTCCACTCTCCAATGAAAATAAAAATTTTCAGCTGATTAACTGAATACCTTTAAAGAATTAGCGGTAAAGTAAAGTTTATGTTTAAGCAAGCGAAATAAATCCAATTGAATAGCTGAATAAACTTCGAGAAATCATTTTAATCCGATTTGATTCAGTTTTTATTTTAAACTACTGATTTCTCTAAACCCATTTGTAAACAATTTCTAAACGAACAAACGAACTTTTTCCGGTGTCTCCTCTCGTTTCCCGATTTTTCGCACCGCTTTGAGCAATTCTTTCTGCGACGAGATTGACGGGAAATTCTTTGCCAAATTTTCATTCAATTGAAAATTTGAATCCGAAAAACGCAGCTCTGGCTTCACGGCTTTTTCCCGAAAATTCGGATCCGCTAAATAAGAGACGAAATTTTTATTTCGATCTCCAAAAAGTTCCTTTGCTTCGATCGCTTTCTTGACAAGCCACTGAAAACAAAAAATTTTTGACAATCTTAAATGGGGTTTAACATTTATTTTTCAAGAAGATTTTCTTGTTTTTAATTGATCTGGAATGCACAATAGATTAACAGCATTATATTGTGCATGTACATGTACTCTCTGCATGTACATGTACTCTCTATTCATGTACATGTACTCTATGCATGTACATGTACTACTCTGTGCATCTAGATGTACTCTGTGCATGTAGATGTACTCTCTGCATGTACATGTACTCTCTGCATGTACATGTACTCTGTGCATCTAGATGTACTCTCTGCATGTACATGTACTCTATGCATGTACATGTACTCTCTGCATGCACATGTACTCTCTGCATGCACATGTACTACTCTGTGCATGTACATGTACTCTCTGCATGCACATGCACTACTCTGTGCATCTAGATGTACTCTCTGCATGTACATGTACTCTCTGCATGTACATGTACTACTCTGTGCATCTAGATGTACTCTCTGCATGCACATGTACTCTCTGCATGCACATGTACTACTCTGTGCATCTAGATGTACTCTGTGCATGTGGATGTACTCTTTGCATGTACATGTACTCTGTACAGAGTACAAAACCTAAACCCCGCCTATTATGAGCTGGAATCAACATTTTGCCTCATAACTTTTCATGGATATTAGATTTTGAGTTAGTTTTTTTATCATTCGATGCGCGATTTTATTCTGCATCGAATGATAATTAAAATAATCAAAAAAAGGGTTTATGCTGAGAAAAAACGAAAAAACATTCAATTGCCCTAGAAAAAAAACCGACAGATGTTTTACGTTACAAGTCTTCTGTAGATACTTCTGGATACTGTAGAAGCTAAGCCTCTAAGACTACAGTACCCAGCTGACTGATAAACAAACTTGAATAACTGGATAGATATTGAGGATATCTAATCCTTGAATCTGATGTGGTTCCAGCGGATACGGGCATTGCAATTGCATCAACACCTCGCAAATTCGCTCGGTCAACGCGCTAAACGAGTAGAGAGATTGTGATCTTACGGTAGCTCATTGTGAACTTACTGTAGCTGATTGTGAGCTTACTGTAGCTCGTTTAGATCTTACTGTAGCTCGTTTAGATCTTACTGTAGCTCATTTAGATCTTACTGTAGCTCATTTAGATCTGTAGCTCATTGTGAGCTTACTGTAGCTCATTGGGATCTTACTGTAGATCATTGAGAACTCACTGTAGCTCATTGAGATCTTACTGTAGCTCATTGTGAGCTTACAGCTCATTTAGATCTTACTGTAGCTCATTAAACATCCATTAACCCATTAAAAAATTGTCTAAATGCTCAGCTTGCTCAGTCACTTCAGCTCTTATTGCCTACTATGACTTTTTTTGTTTACCAAAAATTTTTTGAAAGAATTGATGGCTTAGTTTTTGAGGAAATCATTGTGCAAACTTTCTTGCTAAACATCTTTCTTTCAACTCACATCTTCTGTCCAATCGTCGAGTTCTCCGCGTACAACAAATCAACGTCGACCGTGTAGTTGCAAGTGGAAATGCACCAAACGATTCCCCCGACAATCTGAATTGCATTTTTATCTCTGGGCTAGACTGGCTTTAGGACAAAAGCCAGAGACCCAGTAAATCCTTAAAACACATTTTTGTACATTTTAGACAAGTTTAAACAAGCCTGTACCTGTACATCTGTACATCTGTACGATCTGTACATCTGTACCTGTACATTTGTACCTGTACATCTGTACGATCTGTACATCTGTACGATCTGTACATCTGTACGATCTGTACATCTGTACGATCTGTACATCTGTACGATCTGTACATCTGTACGATCTGTACATCTGTACGAGCTATACATCTGTACGATCTGTACATCTGCACGATCTGTACATCTGTACGATCCGTACATCTGTACGATCTGTACATCTGTACGATCTGTACATCTGTACGATCTGTACGATCTGTACATCTGTACGATCTGTACATCTGTACGAGCTGTACATCTGTACGATCTGTACATCTGTACGAGCTATACATCTGTACCTGTACATTTGTACCTGTACATCTGTACGATCTGTACATCTGTACGAGCTATACATCTGTACGATCTGTACATCTGTACGAGCTACACTGTACGATCTGTACACTGTACGATCTGTACACTGCACGTCTGTACATCTGTACGATCTGACACTGTCGGCTATCACTGTACGAGCTATACATCTGTACGGTCGGTACGTTCTGTACATCTGTACCTGTACATTTGTACCTGTACATCTCTCCGATCTGTCCATCTGTACGATAAGGCTTTCAACAGAATTAGGCTTTTAAGAAGATTATTTCAATTCTGGTTTACCCAAATCTCCTCAAAACAAACCTTATCAAAAGCCGACAATCCCTTGACTCTTGCTCGAAAATAACCAGCCGCCACGAGCAATTCGACGCAATGCGTCAGTCGTTGAAACTCCTCCTCGTCTTCGCCGATTTCAAGCTGAACAAAAAAATGCGTCTAGTAGAGGTTATTTAGCTAAAAAACAGGTAATTAAAGATCTTTAGATTTAAAAAAAAAAGCCTTTATGTTAATCCATACGATGTAAAGTCTTCTTAAAACGGGCACAGCTAGCTGGCTGACGAATCAAAAAGGCTTAAAACTGAGTGAAAAATGAAAATGATGAAAATTCAGGCTTTCCACAAATTTTTGTGCACTCTTTTATAGCTTAAAAGCTTTAAAATATAGCTTTAAAATATAGCTTCCGAGCTTAAAATATAGCCTAAAACCTTTATAATATAGCTTAAAACCTTTAAAATATAGCTTAAAATTTAAACTATAGCTTAAAAGTTCAAAATATAACTTAAAAGCTTTAAAATATAGCTTAAAAGCTTAAACTATAGCTTAAAAGTTTAAAATATAACTTAAAACCTTTAAAACATAGCTTAAACCCTTTAAAATATAGCTTAAAAGCTTAAAATGTTAAAGATTTGATTCAATTATTCAATTTTTATCTAAAATAAAACTAAAATAAACAAAAATTTTAGATAAAAATTGATTATTTTGATAAAATTATCAAAGTTTATAAGAGATTTAAAGATTAAGAGTGGCTTAAAGCTTAAAGATTAAGAGTGGCTTAAAGATTAAGACTGGCTTAAAGCTTAAAGATTAAGAGTGGCTTAAAGATTAAGACTGCCTTAAAGCCTAAAGATTAAGACTGGCTTAAAGCTTAAAGTTAGGTGGCTTAAAGATTAAGACTGGCTTAAGCCTAAAGATTAAGACTGCTTGCTTAAAGATTAGAGTGGCTTAAGATTAGACTGGCTTGCCTAAAGTAGCGCGCTTAAAGATTAAGAGTGGCTTAAAGATTAAGACTGGCTTAAAGCCTAAAGATTAAGACTGGCTTAAAGCTTAAAGATTAAGAGTGGCTTAAAGCCTAAAGATTAAGACTATAAGATTTAGCTTTAAAAAAACGGTTTACCTTCGTTTTTACCTCCATTTTTTCATGAATATATAATAGAATTCAAGTTGAGCTGAAGAAATGATAGCTGAAGTTAGAATTCAAGTTGAGCTGATAGCTGAAGAAATGATTCGTTGGTTTCAAGTCGAAAGACTACACTTCAATCCAAATGACACCCCGAAAATGGTCTGAAATAAACAGCGTTTGTCGACTTCTTTCCTCTCTTCCCACTTTCATTTTCATTTCATAATTTGTATTGTTTTTTGGAAATCTCGACGCGTTCTTAATTAATTAATTTGTTTTTTTTTAATTCTTAATTTATTTGTTTAAATATTTATTATATCTTTATTTATTATTATTATTATCCAAAGATTTTGATAGATTTTCTTTTTATATTCCATAAACAGTGTTTTTTTGAATTCTTTAATCAGTCGAGAGTCTCCCGGCGTCATTTCAATCATTTTCAATCCTGATTTGCATAATAAAGCTTTAACTTTTCAAATCTAGAATCTCCAAGCGTCATTTCAATAATTTTCGATCATGAATTGCATAATAAAGCTTTAACTTTTCAAATCTAGAATCTCCAAGCGTCATTTCAATAATTTTCGATCATGAATTGCATAATAAAGCTTTTACTTTTCAAATTTAAAGTCTCCAAGCGTCATTTCAATCATTTTCGATCATGATTTGCATAATAAAGCGTTTACTTTTCAAATCTAAATCTTTTTTATAGAATTTAGCTAGATAATTAACATTTTTTTAATCTAAATTTATTTATTGTTTAGATATTTATTATCCAAATATTTTGATAGATTGTCTTTTTATATTCCATAAACAGTGTTTTTTTGAATTCTTTAATCAGTCTAGAGTCTCCCGGCGTCATTTCAATCATTTTCAATCCTGATTTGCGTAATAAAGGTTTTACTTTTCAAATCTAGAGTCTCCCAGCGTCATTTCAATCATTTTCAATCCTGATTTGCGTAATAAAGCTTTTACTTTTGAAATCGAAATCTGTTTTATAGATATTTAGCTAGATAATTAACAAATATTTTTAACATTTATACCATTTCTTTGAAAATTCCCCGATGAAATCACTTCCAAAACAAATAAATGACGTAGCTAAATAAAAAAAAACAAAAGCTGTTTTTTTTTAGATTTTCCCCGATGAGCATTCAAATTTTTTTCGTTTTTTTGAGAATTTTTGATTTTGTATCGTTTTTAGCATAATTAACAAGTTTTTTTTAGATGTTGCAACCGTCAAAATCGAGCGAGGAAAAGAGGAAACAGGATTTGAGCAAAGAGTTGGAGAATGTACTGAAAGCGGCCGTTGGATCACTTCGATCGTCGAAGGAAACGATTTCGAGGTGGGCAGAAGTTTAGAGGCCAGCTTTCCTGGCCAATTAAGGCCATTGCCAAGCAGTATTGTTCCAATAGGACTCAGAGCTCGCCCAGAAGCCCGATACAAATCCAGCTTCCGGTCTAGCCTAGGAATTTTTATGGTCCAAGTTCACAGACCAGGAAAGATCGTCTTTAGAACAACCCTGGCGACGCTTGCGTAGCTCACAAGTCTCAGGAGCCTGAGCACTACGTGACTCAGTCGAAGAACAGGGGCATAGATATGCAGTAAACCTTAGGTTTGCCGTTACAGGAGTTCCAAGTATGACAACAAGACTCCAGGGCCATCCATACCAGTCTTGGTTTTGTTTGAGAGGCAGCCGATCGTTGTAAAAAACTAAATCTGAATCTAAAAAGCTTTAGCCTTGAATTTCGAACTGTTTCCAATTTTCAACTTTCAGCGAGATCACCCAAAATCTTTGCAACATCATCGAAGCGATCTTAATTCACGGGCTGCGTGATCCTTTCTTTCTCAAGGGCTCTCGATATGCAAAATACCCGGAGCCGGTCGGTTTTTGAAATATATCTAGATATAAACTTATCTATTATCATCACCTAGGCCTATCCTTTTTAGAATTTTTGGCCATTCGTCTCGAAATTTTCCCACCCAGCAATTCTCAGCCAAATTTCCGCTCTGAAGCAAATTCGGACCGAAATCGGAAAAGGAAGGGTGAGGATTTAAAAAAATTTTTTAGTAGCCTAGATATTATTGGGTTGTCCAGTTATGAATGCGCGTTTGTACTATTTTGTAAATTTCTCATGATATCGAACAGATGTATATGGGTGTTATATATCATTCGAAAGCTGAAGATCTCCTCTACATTTTGGAATAAAAAAGTTTTTTCATTCATTCAACTTTTTGGGAAATTGACTGCACAAAAGGAGAGGTCGTTTCCGAAAAAAAACTCATTTCAGCTTAGCCTATTCCTCAAGTTTTATGGTGTAAAATAACCGCCCAGAAAAGAAAAGTAAAGATGCTCTGAAATTGTTATATTTTAAAAAAAGTTGTATTGATATATCTATTGGCCAAACATCAAACGGTTAACTCAATTTGAGCGGAGCCAAAACTTGATCCAAAGGCACCCTTCCATTTTTTGGCCACCTCTTCTTCTGTGCAGTCAATTTGCCGAAAAGTTGAACAAATTCAAAAACTTTTTATATCAAAATGTAGAGAAGATCTTCAGCTTTCGAATGATACTCATATATATCTTTTTCTTGATTTCGGTATCTTGAGAAATTTACAAAATAGTAAAAAACGCGCATTCATAACTGGGCAACCCAATAAATCTATTAGATACATTTTTTAACGTTTCAGATCATTTCTTATATTTTCATTCCAGGCTTGGATTCGAATCGTCTTAAACGAGTGCGCCATGGAACACTACGTAACCCTGCTAAAGAATGAGGCCACGGATATACAGTAAGACTTTGATTTTTGAATAATAGATATAAACAATATAGAGTAATTTTTATAATAATTATCAATGAGATCATTTTTTTTTCCAGGAGATTCTACAACGATAACGCCTATTTGCGAGATGGCGAACAAGTGGAGAGGATGAGAGACTATTTGAAGGTGAACAAGGCTTCAAAACGATTATCTGGATATCACATTATCTATTAGATATATTTTTAGTTATTTTACAGGGTGGCTATTAAATATGTGCAAAATCTAGACGGATTTTTGCTGTCAAAGATGACAAATTCAAATCTTTTCTTCTATAATACCGTAAAAACTCTAATAGAACGGCCCCCTATAGGAGCGTCGCGTAGTCTAAGTTTGCTCTTGCTCAGATCTTGACACCAGTACGCTTGTTCCTGTGCGCTTAGGTATCAAATTAAAGTAAAGTAACTTGGTAACTTTGTACTAGTTTTTAAGAGGAGGTATCAAAGCTATCGAATAAGCTATAATACTTTAGTTTATCTTTGAATGCCCAATCACCAAATTATTTGTAAAACAGTTATCGAAGCTTGTAACTTTAAGAAGTTTATGAATAAATAAGAGGACTTTCTGATAAAACAAACCATAGACCGTTTGGTTCATTATTCATTACAAATAGTAGCCTTTAAAAAAGCGGATAAGCCTTTCAGCGTTTCCGGCCAGCTTGATATAAGGATGGCTTTTCCTGCTGGTGTTAGCTCTAAAAATTTTTGGAGTTAACTAATGACTCGAAAGAACCAGCACTACCTACAGCACTCGAATATCCCAACAATAAACGTAATCTTTTTTTCAGGGAATGCTATCTCGATGCACAATTGCCTCTCCAACAAATAGTTCATTTCTCAACACATGGACACCGACACCGCTCATTTTGGCCGGTTTGGTCAATGGGAAACCGCTGAGAAGTGAGTGCGAATTGGAAGGGATTACGGTAGAGAAGATAATACATAGGTTATAGTACTTTTCGGAGTACTTGAATCTGAAGGGATACGGTAGCTTTGGTGCAATACAGGTCCTTCAAAGAGATTTCTTTAAGGGTAGCTGTTACCGTACTATAGAGCTCGTCTAATATACCGTAATCTTTTTGTTCTTTGAACGAACTACGGTAATCGATGAACTTTTTAGTCGGCCAACTCGCGCCTCGCAAAAAGTTGGTCTCGATGAGTGAACATGAGGAGATCGGAATGCCCGCTTTGGATCTTTTGCCCACAACATCGTCACCGCAAAGGATAAGGAAATTGAGACACAATGTGCATGAACATGGTGAGGCTGAAATATCAATTAGAGGTTCTCTGCGACAAGAATTTCATCTTTTAAGTGCTAGCTACAGTACAAAAGAAGAGACTTTGATCTGGATATGCAAATGGGACTTGCTCTACATTTATTTAGATGAAGACAATCTCTCAATCTATTCCCATCCATCGATGGTCGATTGTAAAGGGCCAATGTCGTCGACACCGATATCGAGATCGCCAGCTGATCGGGTAAAAATTAAAAACGATAGACTACGCATAATAGCTAGAGTAAGGCTTGTTGGATCAACCATAACCGCACTGAGATACGGCGTTGGTGTTGCTCATTGGTAGAGCGTTCGCTCGCTAAACGAGAGGTCGCGGGGTTCGAATCCCGGCGCCGAGTGTTTTGTATTGCCTGAGCTAATCCAGAAAAGGACCGGTGTGTCCAAGTGGCAACCACGGGTTCCCTAAACTTGTCTCATGTTCTAGTCTCATGAAGACTCACTTGTTCAACTACAGCTTGTAAATAAAATTAATCTCCTTTCCAGCTTTTCGACAGTCCAAACGATGAGGCACCGAAAATTCTCCACGTCGAACGACGACAGAAAAAACAGAGACGAACGGGCAGGTGAGAATTTGCATAAAATAAAGCGATTGGAGTCTGTTCCTCTAAAAATGATTTTTTTTTTCTAAAATTTATTAACTCCTCGGTTTGAAGGGACTAAAAACCAAAGTACTGGCTACGGTCAGCAAGCAATTTTTCAAAATTCTCTTTCCATAGAAAAGGATTCTTTACCAAATTTGTTACGTTATAAACTATTAGAAAGGTTTATCATTTCTCTACAAAATGACTTTTAAGAGAAAAGCTCAAAGCTCGCTAAAAACCCATTTTTATTTAAGATTTTCAATTGCTGTTTTAAAGAAAATGGCTTGAATGGATTGTTTTCAAATTTTACAGACTTATCGAATCAAAGAACCTCTTTCTTTTTTACTTTAACACCAAAATAGGTTTGTATTAAAGGAAGTGTCGAAATTGTGACTTCGGCTTGCGATTTGCGACGGACAGTTTTGAGTGCTCGCCTTTGCGCCTTTTGAAAATCCACAAAAACAATTATTTCCAAGAATTTCCCAAAAGTCATTTTGCAAAGAAATGATAAAGCTTTTAAAATAGTCAAATAGAAATTTTGTTGATGGCGGTATTATTTTTTTTAAAATTCTAAAGATTTAGGCATCAATTTAGGCATCTAAGCTCTTATCAACTAGAGCTACAGCTAGTTTTAAATTAATGTAATTTAGTCAAAGCAGCAGCTCCGGCTCGAACCATTCCCCATCTCAATCAGAAATCGGTCTGATCGATGCTTCGATGCCGCAAGATTCGTGGATTGATCGAGCGCCGAAAACTCTAAACGAGTCACCAATCAAAAAAGTGCCTCAATCACAATCGGATACGGTGGATTCGGGAATATATGAGGAGAGGTGAGATTTTTAAAATTTTTACCTATTTTAAGACTTAAACCTTTAGACAACACCACGAAAAAACGCGAAAAGAATCGATTGTTGAGCATTTGGTCACCGCAACTTCGACGGATCACAGAGAAAAGTGAGAAATTTTTGCGTATATTTTTCAGTTTTCGTATTGGAACCGTATTGGAACCGTATTAGATCAAAATAGGAACCGTATTGGAACCGTATTGAGAGCAAAATAGGGACCGTATTGGAACCGTATTGGAATCGTATTAGATCAAAATAGGAACCGTATTGGAACCGTTTCAGTTAAGATTAGTCTCTTTCTTGATCAATAGCCTCCGCTCCAGAGACAGTACCAGCGAAAGGAAAACCTTTAGAAAGCACTGCTGAACGATCACTTTTGATTGATCACTGTTGATCGAGATTTATGTTAGATTTTAAATGATGCTTTCTCCTCAGCTTTTCTGTTCAATAGCTATAGTGCGCTCCAGAAACTGTCTAACCAGAAACCTGGGCATTTAGACGAAAACTTTCTATCAAAACTTTCTACCAAAACTTTCTATCAAAACTTTTCTAGCAAAGAGCTCGACGAGGCGTTCAACGATTCCTCAGGCTTGCACGCGATTGACATGTCGAATTTGAGCTCAATGCATGATCAGGTACGATAGCTAGATACTTTATTTATCTAATAATCTAATTATCGAAAAATATTCAGACTTTTGGCTCATCCCTTCACGATGAAATGTTACTTGTTTCGACTACAGTGCCCCTTGTCGGGAATAGTTTAATTGGACGAGCGTGGAGCATTCCAAAGGTGCACTTCAATACTTCAATAGCTATAGTGGCACTTCAATTTACCGTACCCATAGCTGGGGTGATTGTATTTTATCTGAAAATTTATATTTTTGACGATTTAGACTGACTCGTGCAGCGATTTCTGTGGAACATCATTCGGTTCAGGATCTGAATCAGCTGGCCCGGTGATGCCATTTGGAACAGCGCTAAGAAATGCAATGCAGGTTCGATACTGTAGCTAATCGATTTTTCTTTGAAATGCTTTTAAATGCTTTTGGCTTTTTTTTGATCAAATCTATCCACTTTTTGTATCTTTTAATATCCTTTAATATCATAAAATTCGACACACAAAAAAAAGTTGATAGATTGAATAAGAAATAGAACGCGTTCTAGAAAACAGCAAGTGATACGGTAAATTTTGATTCAATTTCTAGACTGATGACATCTTGCACGGGCCAAACGTTTTCTCACAAGCGTCAAAAGAAGGAGCCGAGATTGCGCTAGAAGTCGACTCGCATGTACAGGTAATTTCAACTATTCGAACGACTAGAACCAAGGGAATACTTTAGTTGTCGTAGTCTAAAATTTGGGAACGATCTAAGCGAGCAGCTTTGTTTTCTAAAGTGTAACCACTAAATGAAAGAGTAGGGTGTCTGTCTGTTTGTCGGTTTGGTTGTCTGTCTGTTTGTTTGTTTGTCTGTCTGTCTGTCTGTTTGGCTGTTTGTCTGTCTGTTGGTCTGTTTGTCTGTTTGTCTGTCTCTCTGTTTGGCTGTTTGTCTGTCTGTTGGTCTGTTTGTCTGTCTATCCGTACGGGCATTTCCTCATCCGTGCTTTGACCAATAAAGCTAAAACTCCTTTTGGAAAACCTTAGAATGTATTGTAAATATTAAAATAAAAAAATTTAAAAAGCGAAAATTGAGTGGCATTACGGGAGGTCGAACCCGGGTGGTGTGGGCCGTAGACAAGCGTGTTCCCCACTGCGCCACGGCGACAAAGACTCGCTTTTAGGCTTCTAGGCGAGTTTTTCGGCTTGTTCTACTACTAAAAGCTTTATCCAGATTATCCAAAAAGTCGACGAGATGCCGGAGATTGCGTTAGAAGTAGAAGAGGAGGTCGAAGAAAAGGTAAAACTTTAAAGACATTCAAGACTTACTGTAGCTTTACCCAAAAATTTTTTTCTAGGCACCAACCGAAGAAGAGCTCTTGAAACAAAAAGCGGCTGAATTATTGCACCTTTTCACGAAAGTTCAAACAGAAATCGGCTTGGATGGACAAGATTGGAGATGTCCACAGTGTAAAAGAACGATCGGATGTGGATACGGGAAATGGAGGTGAGAAATAGGGGAAGTTATTTGAAAGGGTTTTTTTTCTGGATGTCACTAGGACTATTGTGGGCGTTTTGCTCTATAAAAGCTCGATTTCAGGGTTTGCGGTGTCGACGCGCGGTACTATTGCTCGGATTGTTTCTCCACTGAGTTGCGACCAATTCCGGCGAGGGTAAGCATTTGGATTTAGATAATGATAATGATAAACATCTAAAGATCCGATTCGACTTATTTTTCTCTAGATTCTACTCAATTGGGATCATCGACCGAGGCCCGTTTCGACTCGTGGAAAAGTCTATCTAGATCAAGTTTGTTTTTATTATCATTATCGATCCTTTTTATCGATCGATCTACACTAAATTTTTGATATTCAATCAATCACTTCTTTTTTAGAATGCCGACACACCACTTTTTCGATTAAACGAGATGAATTCAATGTTGTACGATCGAGTTAACGAGTTGAAAAAAATTAAGGTTTTGTTTAGGTTGCTTTGAAAAAGAAAAAAAAATGAATAATGAGATAATGTGCATTCCAGATAAGTGAAATATTTGATTATTAAATGCTTTTAAAGTTTAGAATCTCTATTTAGAATCTCCGCGAACGTCTCCAAGCAGTTTCACTATATTTGTTCTCGTGCCGCGAATCGGTTTCTGATGATTTGAAAAGAAGAACAGGGCTTGGATCCGGGCATCTACTCGAGCATTTACATATCTACAGTTTTCAGGTAAATTTTCGAGATAACATTTGAAAAAGTGTTCTTCTCGGACCTTTACCGTACCCTTTCTTCCTTCATTCTATAGGATGAAAGCTACCGTAACCCGTTAATCGGAGTAGTTTCTAAGAGTTGCCTAAATCTACTGTAGTCTGTTATCTTGCTTCAAATGTTTTGTATATTTCAGGACTTGTTGAACGTGTTCTCTGGCGCGTTGGAGCTTCATCTACAGAATTTACTTAAGGTAAAGATAGAAGAAGGTTTTATTGAGTGTTGTAATCGAAGCCAATTACCGTAAACTGCATAAAAAAACGGCTATCAGCTTATTGGGACCTGTGACAACATACTTGACCAGTTACCGGATCCGTGAAGAGTTTTTCCAACTGTATTAACCGAATCAAGCATCAAGTTCTTGCCTGGTTTGACTGCAGATCTAGATCTAGATCTTGGCCCAGAAGCCTAGATCTGAAGGTTTACTGTAAAGGTAATCTAGAGCTACAGTAATCTTTCAGTTCGCCACAAATCATGTGTTTACTTGTCTGCTCTGTCGTCAGAAAGGGTTCATCTGTGAGCTGTGCACGAAAGATGATGTCATTTATCCATTTCAAAACGAAACGCAACGGGTAAGCTGTTCTAAAGCGTTGTTACCGTAGCCCAGTTATTACCTTAATCCAGTTATTACCGTAGCCCACCCATTCCCGTAACCCAGCCATTACCGTAACCCAGCCATTCCCGTAATCCAGCTACTACCGTAACCCAGCATTACCGTAACCCAGCCATTCCCGTAACCCAACTAATACAATAGTTGGTAGTGCAAAAGGCTTGTATCCTATAAACGTCTAGACTGGGTGACAGTAATCGTTGCTTTAGAAAAATAATGAGTGCATTTAATTTCATACTTTATGAAAACATGAAAGCACGATACGTTTCGATTATTATACATTAAACTTATCGTATCCGAATAGAATTCCTTTTTCAGTGCACGAAATGTTTCTCTGTCTACCATGATGAATGTTTCCAAACACAAAAGGAGAAATGTCCAAAATGTGTGCGTCGAGAAAACCGCGGATCACCGAATCCCCCTCAACATCATCAACCGACACAAGAAATGCCTTTTCTTTAGAAAAAAAAACAAATCTAGTCATTAGGTGAGCTTTTTTTTTGAAAGATTTGAAGTCAAAAAAAAATGGCAGAAATTTTTAAAATTACAATTTTCCATATGAAAATTTGCTTTAAAACGATAAAAAACTAAATAATAAAGTTTTTTTTTAAAAACATTGTCTTTAAAGAAAAAGCTATCATAATCGTGATCGGATTTTTCAGCTTTAAGCTTTAAGCGGTAGCTTTTTCATACTTTAAAATAGAGTACAATGAGAGGCTGTGAGTTAGCTTTTACGTTAGCTTTTCGAAATTTGAGAAAAAAAAAATTTCTGTTGTTTTTTATGTTTATTAACTTGTACATTTTTACAATTATTTCTTGATTACTTTCTTTTTTTTTTTCTTTTTCTTTTCTGTGCCTTTTTTTTTTGCCTTCTTTTACCTTTTTATTATCCCTTTTTGCTCACATTTCTCTTCATAAACAGGTCATCAAATTCGTGTGATTCTGAGACAATTTCTTTGTTTTTCTTTTTGCTTTTCTTTATTTTTTCTTTATTTTTCTTTATTTTCCCATTTTTGTACACAAATTTCTATTCTTTTTTTTATTCGATTTCTAAATATTTTCGATAAATAAATTTTCAAAAAAAAAAACGAAAGATTTCTTGAAAAACGATGGAAACGTTAATTTTGTGAAAATTTACAAAATTTGCATATCATTTTACCCCGATTTCACCACGAATAAAAAGATTTTCAGGCGGACCGACTGAATAGCTTTAATTTGATATATTTCCGTATTTAAAGCTCTTTTTACAAGAAATTTTCATTTTTAAGCATTTTCTCGATTTTAATATCACTTTTTTTTTCAATGAAATTTGAATTTTTTTTAACATAAATGTTAGAAATAACGAATTCTATGGGGAGTGGGACAAATGCGACCTTTTTTTTTTGCGCACCCGGACATTTGCGCACCTGGCCCATTAGCGCACCTTTTTTCGCGTTTTAAAAAAGCTCTAAAAAGCTAATATTAACCAATTTCTATTCCAAAAGCTGTTTTTCTAGGTAATTTTAGGGCGTAGAATCGAAATTTTGGCATAACAGAGCGTGTGGAACCAATTTGAAAGTTAAAACGGGTAGGTCAAATTACAGAAAACTCTTGATTTTTCTCTTTGTATAACTCCGTCCGTTCGCTTCCACAAGCTCTGATATGCCAAAATTTCGATTCTACGCCCTAAAATTACCTAGAAAAACAGCTTTTGGAATAGAAATTGGTTAATATTAGCTTTTTAGAGCTTTTTTAAAACGCGAAAAAAGGTGCGCTAATGGCCAAGGTGCGGAAAAAAAGGTGCGCAAATGTCCGGGTGCGCAAAAAAAAGGTCGCATTTGTCTCACTCCCAATTCTATGTGATTTCTAAGGCTTTTTTTTCGTGAAATAAACCACCGGAAATGATGAAAATCGACTAGGAAAATGGTTACAAGCCCGATTTAAAATCAATTTTTCTTTTTTTCTTTTTTTTTTTTTGCTGTCTTTTCTTAGAATTCTCTTTTACATTCGTTATACTTTTATGCTCTTTTAATTGCTTTATTTTTGTGTTTTTTCAAGGTTAGATAATGTTTTTGCTTTATTTTAGCCGAATGTCAACCGATTTGCAATCAATTCTTGATGAGCGTATCGATGCTGATCAATTGGAGGTGAGCTCGACTTTCTTTTTGTTGTTGTTGTTGTTTTAAAGTATAAAATTTGTTGACTTTCATTTTAAAGATACACTTTTTTTCTTTAAAGAATGAATCCATTTCGAAAAAATCTTTTGAATTTTAAGAATTTGGATTTCCACAAAAAACAATTCACAAAAACTAGCAACTTTACTTAGAAAACTTTATAAGCTTTGATGTGCTTTATAAGCTATAACGTAGTAAAGCTTTATAAGCTATAGCGTAGTAAACCTTTGATGCAGAAGAATCCTTTATTTACCTTTAAAGAACGTTATTTTTAAAGGTGCTTCTCGAGATTTAGTGTAATATTTTTAAGCTTTGAAGCTTTGATGCAGAAAAATTCTTGATTTACCTTTAAAGAACGTTATTTTTAGAGTCCTTCTCGAGATTTAGTGTAATATTTTCTATTCTTTTAGATCTTTCGCAACCAATACGAGATCCAAGTGCAACGAGGGCATCCGAGTGCGGCTGCTGTTTTTGCATATGCGCATGTGAGTATTTAGTTGGATCTGTAAATGGTTAAAATTTCAAGTATTTCTATAGTAGTAAACTTTCTATACTTAAAGTACAAGTTGAACTTTGATATACGGCAACTTTGATATACTTTTATATAACGAAACGCTCGGCATCAAAAACTTTGATATAACAAACACTAAAACGTGTCGCAAACTTTCTGCATAGCTACCCTGGACGGTCACTGATTGCATTTAGCTGGGACAGTTACGCAGAAGTTTTGAGCAGGTTTTAGAATTGTAAATTTGTTGTATCAAAGCTGTATTTCTATAGTAGTAAAAAAAAAATAGATAAAACAGGTATTTCTATAGTAGTTATAAGAAAGATAAGATCAAAAAAGGATTTCTTATAACGTTTTTTCATTCAATTTCCTTTTTTTAGGCTCTATGCAAATCGAAAAGCACTAATGTAAAGGGTACGTTTAAGGTTTTGAATATGCCATTTATTCAAAACCTTAAACGTACCCTCTATTCGTTAAAAGTCGACCTTTTACATGTTTAACCACGAAATAATGAAGCTATAATTTTGGAAAAGTTTTAGAATTTAAAATTTCTTGTATTGAAGTTTGTTATATTGAAGATTGAAGTTAGCCTAGATTTAAGGTCGCTTCGATTTCTAGAGTCTTTGAAGCTTTTATGTGCTAATTTCTGAGATTCTTTTTCATTTAAGATATTCATTTTCATATCAATTTTTGATCCCTCACCCAAATAGATAAAAATTAAGGTTTAACTAAAAACTAAAGTAGTTATAAGAAAGATAAGATAAGTTATAAGAATGCTTGACTGTATTTCTATAGTAGTAAACAAAAAATAGATAAAAATTAAGGTATTTCTAAAGTAGTTAGAAGAAAGATAAGATAAAAAAGTATTTCTTATAACGTTTTTCATTAAATTTTCCTTTTTTTAGGCACTCTGCAAATCGAAAAGCACTAATGTAAAGACAGGCGTGCTACTTTTGGAGGGTACGTTTAACGTTTTGAATATGTGGCATTTGATTTGTTAAAAGTCGACCTTTTACGTGGTTAACAACGAAATAATGAAGCTATTTTAGTTTATATTGTGATTCATTAAGTTTTGTTATTTCAAATTGTTAAAATAAGACTCTTAGTGTCAAGAATTATTAATATTTTAATGATTAAGTTATACGTTTTGTTTAGAATTACTTCGAAGTGACCATATCGAAATTCCGGCGAGAGATATCGTCTACTTTATCGCCCTTGGAAGAGCCAGGCTTAATGTGAGTTTAAAACAGCTTCTATTTTAGCCTTACTCATTAGCGTTAGTGACTTTTAAGCAAATCTACATGGTGACCAAGAATTACCGCAACAACTTTTTTGGACAAGTATCTGGGAAATGTCTAATTGATTTAAAAAGTGGCAAGTGTTATACAGAGAATTGTAGGCCCAATTCTCGGCAACATTTATCTACCAAAAAAAAAATCCCGATTCAACTTCTACAACTCATTTAACAAATTGGGCCTACAATTCTCTGTATAACACTTACCACTTTTGAAATAAATTCGACATTTCCCAGATACTTGTCCAAAAAGTTGTTGCCGGAAATTCTTGGTCACCATATAGATTTGCTTAAAAGTCACTAACACTAATGAGTAAGACTAAAATAGAAGTACTAAGGAGTGAAGCTTTATTTTTAGGCAATTGTTAAAGCATTTTTTTTTTCTTCAAACTCATTAGTGATTTTTAAGCTTAAGCGTTAAGCAAATCCACTACGATTTTTGAGTTTAATTTTGTCTTTAAAACTTTTAAACGCTGTTGACTTTTCCATAATAACGATGAGATTTTGTAGGGCAATTTTAATGTTTCTTCTTCAGGATTACGATCGTGCCCTTGCCGCGTTAAATCCACTCATCGAACAGGAGCCCGAGAATCGACAGGCTACAAATCTTAAACGAGCGATCGAGGCGAAAATGCACAAAAGTCAGCGAATTTCCTTTCAACAGTCAAACCTCGATTTAACGATGTCAATTTTTTGGTCCCTTCAAAGCTATTTACCTTATAAAGACGTTCGATTTAACAATGGAGAATCCCGGTCCCTTGAGAAACGTTAAATCGAGGTTTGACTGTACTTGGAGTTTATAATCACCTTCTAGAAATTTAAATTTAAGAATACCTTTTTTCAGCCAAAGTATGATAGTCTTTTTCAAAGGGTGTCTTTTAGAAAAACTACATTTTAATAAATTGTTAAATCAGGAATTGGTAAAGGCGCTAAAAAGCTATCGTGCTCTGGCAATTGTCTCAAAATTTGAGCCGAATCGAGTTGACCGAGTCGTTTTCTAAATCTGACAGGATAGCCGGTGTAGCTAGCCGGTGTAGCTAGCCGGTGTAGCTAGCCGGTGTAGCTGGCCGGTGTAAGACTACAATAGCTTTTTCCTAAGGGATCCTTTTAGGAAATGCTAAGGGTACGCCTTGTTAAACTAAAAATAAACACAGTTTAACCATCCCAATACCATGAAAGAGCGAAATTTTCCATTTTTAGATGCGATAATCGGCGCAGCGGTGATCGGTGGTGGATTGGCGGTGGTTGGCGGGTTGATTGTTGCCGCTTTCATCTCCAGAGGACATCAATAATGAAATTCCGACAAGATTATCACTATTTTAACGTATTTTCTTTCCTATTTCTAGATGTTTATCCTTGAGTTTTTTTTAAAAAACGGGTATTTACAACCAAATTCATAACGATATCTCTCTTTTTCGTTTAAAGTTACCTTCTACCTGCAAATAGTTTTGAAAAATGAAAGCTAATCAGAAACTTCTACAGTACTGGACAATGAAATATGATATTTGAAAAACGAGCGTCACTTTCGCGCGTCTCTAACTCCCTTGTCTTTGAGTTTAAACTATTAGTGTTTGACATTTTCTGAAAGCTCTTTTCAAGGGCTACACAATGGTAATATTTGTCTTTAGAAATACGCTAAAGACAATGGAGTTACAGACGCGCGAAAGTGACGATCGTCTTTCAAATATCATATTTCATTGTCCAGTAGTATGTGTATCTTCTACCTGCAAATAGTTTGTTTATATCGCTTTTTTTTCTAGATTACCGGTGAGTTGTTGAATAAATTTTAAAGCTTTAAAAAGTTGAAAATCGCGTAGATTCTTGAGAAATTTCTTGAGCAACGATTTTAGCGCTGAAATTGAATGGCTGAATTCTTGGTGATTGCATCAGCTTTCTGGAGCTCTCTGGTTCAATCCCAACCATGACCCTTAAACTTTTGCTTTCTTTTTTTTTACGGTTTCTTCCCACAAAAAATCTAAAGTTCATTTCAGTGATTTCCAATTAAAAATCACAATCGAATTTCGAGTGTCAATTTCCCGAAGAATTCCGCCCAAAACCGAACTCAATCGTTTCACTTATCTTTTGCCCGTCTCTGTCCATAGAAACGAAACAAAAAAAAGCGTTCGATTGCCGAAAATTCAGACAAAAAGGAAAAAAATCGTCTGATAACCGAAAGTCCCCTTCATTTTTTTTTCTTTTGCAAATTCACTAAAAATTGACATTTTTATTTGAATCGCCGATTGCGTTTTTTGGATTGAAATCTGTCAAAATTTCAGAGCTGTCAAATTTAGGCATTTTTTGCCTTTTTTTTTTGCCTTTATTTCACTCAATTCTTCTAAAATTCTTCTTTCATTTTCCCTATTCTCATAGCCTTATCTCAATTCTCATTTTTCTTTTTCTTTTTCTTTTTTTTTTGAAATGAACACGTCTGCCTTTCTGCCTAGTTAAAGTCATTTTTATGAGATTTGAATGCATTTTTTGGAAGAATTCATTTTTGACTTTTCTACTTATTCAATGATCATGATTCAGATTCAGTCCACTGAGATATTCGAAAATTTCTTTTTTTTTTTCTGTTTTACTCATCTAATTGTTAAAGCGTCTACGTGAAATTTGAGATTTAAAATGCAAATAGAAAAAGAGGCGTTTTGGAAAGTACAGTCGATTATTTATAACGAAATGAAAAGCCACCAAAAAACGAAGAACTCTTTTTTTCTTTCTCTCTTAGATAGATTGCCGTTAGATATTGATAGTTTAGCGTCAATTGCGATCCAGAATTGCGTCAATTGTGCTAGCTTATCGTCAATTCCTTTAGCTTAGCCTCAATTGCGTTAGCTTAGCCTCAATTCCAATCCAGAATTGCGTCAACTGCGTCAGCTTAGCCTCAACCGCCTCAGCTTAGGCTCAATTCCCTTAGCTTAGCGTCAATTCCTTTAGCTTAGCCTCAATTGAGTCAGCTTGGCCTCAATTCCGATCCAGAATTGCGTCAACTGCGTCAGCTTAGCCTCAATTGCCTCAGCTTAGCGTCAATTGAGCCAGCTTAGCCTCAGCTCCCTTAACTTAGCCTCAACTCCCTTAGCTTAGCCTCAATTCCCTTAGCTTAGCCTTCCCTTACCTTATCGTCAGCTTATCGTCAATTACTATCCAAAGTTTTGCATTCCTTTCCAATTTCCCGCTACTAGAGTTGATTGTAGTTTAAAATTTGATTGAAATCTGTAAAGCCAAAAAAAAAGCTTTACCCTTTTTCAAATCAAAATTCCCTTTTTCTTTTCATACGCTAATTCATTTTCTGCAAATGACACCAACATTCAACAGCTCTTATCTTGATGAAATTCTCATTCATTTACATTCAGTTATTCGATTTAATCAGTTTTTTTATTTACTATCTAAACTAAATAGCTATTTACTATCTAAAGTAAATAATTATTTACTAAATAACTGTTTACTAAATAACTATTTACTAATTTGCATCCTTTTCATCTAAATAATCTCTTCAAAACGAGAAAAAGTTAAGTTAAGTTAAACAATTAAAAAAAAACGAGAATCTTTTCTTTTTCTTCTTTTTCTTTTTACAATTTTATCGTTTTAGTGAAAGAATAAGAGAAAGATTCGTTTTTTTTCGAAAGAAACTTTAGAAATACGGATTAATTGCAAGAGAACACTGCTGAATTTCAGAAATTCCCATTTTTCTCTTTAATTTCTTCAAACAATCGAAGTCCATTTCTTTAAACAATCGAATCCCTTTCTTCAACCAATAGAATTCCCGTTCTTCCATCAATCGAATCCTCATCATTCCCATCTTTCCTTTAATTCCTCCAATCCCTCCAATCAATCGAATTCCCGTTCTTCCATCAATCGAATCCCTTTCTTTAATCAATCGAATCCCCTTTATCGAACCAATAGAATCCCCGTTCTTCCATCAATCGAATCTTCACCATTCCCATCTTTCCTTCAATCCATCCAATCCCTTCAATCAATAGAATGCCCGTTCTCCAACCAATCGAATCCCCACCATTCCCATCTTTCCTTCAATCCATCCAATCCCTTCAATCAATCGAATCCTCATCATTCCCATTTCCTCTTTAATCCCTCCAATCAATCGCATCCTCACCATTCCCACCTTTCCTTCAATCCCTTCGATCCATCCAATCAATAGAATTCCCGTTCTTCAATCAATCGATCCTCACCATTCCCATCTTTCCTTCAATCCATCCAATCCCTTCAATCAATAGAATCCCCGTTCTTCCATCAATCGAATCCTCACCATTCCCATCTTTCCTTCAATCCTCGAATCCAATCGATCCTGCCCACTCCCATCCCCTCCAATCTCTCCAATTTGCGTCGTTGTGCCTCTGGGGAAAGTAAACAAAATAGAAAGACTTCATCAGGTCTCAACGGCGCGAATCGGTGAAGAAATCGTTTCCAAAACAAAATTTTCACCCTTCTTGCACTATTTTCATTGAAATGAATGCTGTGTTTATGGGCTAAAAGCCTTTTTTTTACCCTTTTACTTCAGTAAAACTAGGTGGAAGCTCGCTCGAAAATCTCGAAAATCTCGAAATGAATTGAATACGTAAAATTTGCGTTTACAGAAAAGCTAAAAGCTGAAATCTTAAAAAGGGATTCTTTTATTTTGCACAAATATTAAAGCATATACATACAAATAGATGAAAGAAAAGCCGGGAAAATCTCTATTTCTTTTTGCCGATCCCGAAAAAGGGCAAACCATTGGCGAGACATCTTCCCAATTGACAAATCATCCCTGGAGGACACGAAATACCATTGTGACACGCTGGAATCAGTGCATTCGATAATGAAGAATGTATTTTTTTCATTCTTGTGACAGTAAATCAAGAGAACTAATTGAATCCTGCAAAGTTAACCTAAAAAAACAAAAAAGACTGTTAGCGGACTCGAACCTAGGCCAGGACTAGATAGTCCTGCCCTTGAATCCTAGAGCATTACCACTCGGCCAGGGCTGCAAGCAGGTCGGGAGGCGGAAGACAGGGTTATAAAAGAGCCGCCGCTTGATTTCTAGCAAAAGCTTCTTTTCTTTGTTTCTTCTAACAAAACTTTAAACGCTTCTAACTTTTGATAGAGTGCTTTATAGCAAAAAAAAAGAAAATCAGCATCGATCAGCGATCAAGATCACCATGAAATTCTGCGTTGCATCGTCTGGCCAAATCGTCTGGCCAAATCGTCTGGCCAAATCTTTGCCTTTCTCTTGTCTGGGTAGACAAAAGCCTGATCACTATAGCTTTTAAATATAATCGAGAGCCCAGGTTGGCCGTAAGAGGTTGATTTAAGCAATCGATCCCTATCAGCCTTGTCAAATCCATTTCTAGAAGCTACTTTTAACCAGTAAAGCACTAGGAATTCTTGAGTTGTCAATGGAGTGCGATTGGCTTGGCCTTTCGTTGACTGGCTTTTCGCTGGCTTGAAAACTGGGAACTCTGGTGCTCCCTCCTCTGGTGTCCAGGCATTCATTTAAATTCTCACTCACCAAACGTTGTGCTCATCGGGTTTTTCATGCAAACGCCACCCATACAAAACTCGCCAACCGGACAAACGGCGCCCGTCATACAGGCTGAAAATTTGCCCCTACTTGCTCTAGATCTTTGATTTACTTGTCTGTTGTGGGGCCACTTGACTCCCGGCAAAGGCCACGTTACTCTGAAATTGAGAAATCTACCTTATAGCTTTAAAAAAAGAACCTTTTCACAATACCCGTTCACACAGATTTGCCCGTTTAGACATTGTTGCATCAAGTTGCATGGAGAAATCCCTGAAATCGATGAAAATCGCTGAAAATTAGTGAAAATCGCTGAAAATCGGTGAAAATCGCTGAAAATTATTGACTATTTGCTTTCTAAATGTTCCTTTAATAAGGAATGGCAAAGAAAGATAGCAAGATAGAGGGACAAGCTAGTCAAGATAGAGGGACAAGTGAAGCAAGACAGAGGGACAAGCTAGTCAAGATAGAGGGACAAGTGAAGAAGACAGAGGGAAAGCTAGTCAAGATAGAGGGACAAGTGAAGCAAGACAGAGGGCAAGCTAGTCAAGATAGAGGGACAAGTGAAGCAAGACAGAGGGACAAGCTAGTCAAGATAGAGGGACAAGTGAAGCAAGACAGAGGGACAAGCTAGTCAAGATAGAGGGACAAGTGAAGCAAGACAGAGGGACAAGCTAGTCAAGATAGAGGGACAAGTGAAGCAAGACAGAGGGACAAGCTGTCAAGATAGAGGGACAAGTGAAGCAAGACAGAGGGACAAGCTAGTCAAGATAGAGGGACAAGTGAAGCAAGACAGAGGGACAAGCTAGTCAAGATAGAGGGACAAGTGAAGCAAGACAGAGGGACAAGCTAGTCAAGATAGAGGGACAAGTGAAGCAAGACAGAGGGACAAGCTAGTCAAGATAGAGGGACAAGTGAAGCAAGACAGAGGGACAAGCTAGTCAAGATAGAGGGACAAGTGAAGCAAGACAGAGGGACAAGTAAAGCAAGACAGAGGGACAAGTAAAGCAAGACAGAGGGACAAGCTAGTCAAGATAGAGGGACAAGAGCTAGTCAAGACAGAGGGACAAGTGAAGCAAGACAGTTAGACAAGCTAGTCAAGACAGCTAGACAGCCAAAACCCAGATCCATATCTTGCTTTTAACCTCTTCAAGAGTCATAAGGTCTTTTCTATAGCCTGACTACCGTATTCTTGGTGTCCGGATGTCCGGGTCCAAATCCGAATCCAAATCCGGATCTCTACACAAGCATACAACAAACAAAAAGACGACTACACGACAGTACTAAACGTCTACAAGGCACTACTATGAACTGTCTATTGGAGTGTCGCGTAGTTGTCTTTTCGTTCTTTGTATGTTTGTGTAGAGATTGAGATGCGGATTCGGATCCAACTCCGGATCCAACTCCGGATCCAACTCCGGATCCAACTCCGGATCCAGCTCCGGATCCAGCTCCGGATCCAGCTCCGGATCCAGCTCCGGATCCAGCTCCGGATCCAGCTCCGGACATCCGTGCTGTTGACTACCTCTAAACCGCTTTCTAAAACGTCTCCGTTTCCGCAATTTTCAGGGAGATTTCGGAGCAGGACGAAGAGGAAAAAGCTGACTTAAAAAGCACTCATAAGAACGCAAGACTGATTTGATAGGGTTAAAACTTTGATGAAACCAAAAAAAAACCCACCAGAAACCCCACCAATGCCAGCCGCTGATCCCAGCGACGTGACTCCACCGTATCCACCGTATCCACCGTATCCAGCCGTGCCCAGCCCACTCATCGTCCCAAGACCACCGCCATAACCACCAAATCCACCGAGAAGACCTGAAAGGTTAAACCTTTGAATACGATAGCCTATAGCTATAGTAAACTTGGCGTAAAGTCGCGTAGTCTAAGTCAAAATGTTCCTCTTTCTCTGCTTTCAGCTACGATTTTCGTTTAATTTTCAATCGATAGCTCTTAAACCTCTTTTTTTTCAAAAGCACAGAATTCTATAAACAAGTTCAACTACGCAACTTTACGAGGTGTTCTATTAGAGGATTTTGGGTAAGATCTATTGCTAGAATATTGCTAGAATATTGCTAGAATATTGCGAGATCTATTGCGAGATCTATTGCTAGATCTATTGCTAGATCTATTGCTAGAATATTGCTAGATCTATTGCTAGATCTATTGCTAGAATATTGCTAGAATATTGCTAGATCTATTGCTAGATCTATTGCTAGATCTATTGCTAGATCTATTGCTAGATCTATTGCTAGATTTATTGCTAGAATATTGCTAGAATATTGCTAGATCTATTGCTAGAATATTGCTAGAATATTGCTAGAATATTGCTAGATCTATTGCTAGAATATTGCTAGAATATTGCTAGATCTATTGCTAGAATATTGCTAGATCTATTGCTAGATCTATTGCTAGAATATTGCTAGAATATTGCTAGATCTATTGCTAGAATATTGCGAGATCTATTGCTAGATCTATTGCTAGAATATTGCGAGATCTATTGCTAGAATATTGCTAGAATATTGCTAGATCTATTGCTAGATCTATTGCTAGAATATTGCTAGAATATTGCTAGATCTATTGCTAGAATATTGCGAGATCTATTGCTAGATCTATTGCTAGAATATTGCTAGATTTGGTTGATCCATTTTTTTTGTTTTTTTTTGAGCGCTTTCAAAAACCCCAACATCAACCTCAAGGTCATAAGGTTTTCTTTAACAAAAAAAGTAACGAAAGTGCTTGAAAATGTGACTCACAAGTGTTAGAATTTTTTAAAAACTCAAAAAAAATAAAAAGTTTTCTAAAGACCTATAAATTTAAGAACAAAAAACTTTTTTTTGAATAAAAATTGATTTTTTGGTGCAATCGTCAACTTTCATCGCCGATTTGAAAATGTTCCCTCAAGCTTTTCGACCTTGAAAATCATACATTAACAACTCAAAATCTTACAACGAATCCAACGGCACCTTTCGTTTAATGATCCCACCACTCCACGTCGACTTCTACGCTCCGTGAGGTAATTGAGAAGTCTAGAAAGTCTAGAAATTTTCGCTTTCTCTTAAGCAACTCAAATCGCAACGTGGAAAGGTCGGATCAACAAACGAAAGATATCATTCGATTCCTTGTAAAATTTTGTTTTGTTAATGTACAATTTTCACAGGTTAAAACTTTCGAAGAACTTTATGAAATCGGAGGTCAAAGTTCGAAACTCCGATCCGAACAAAAACTCGTCGATTTTTTTGTATTAGATTGTTCTGAAAGAGGCGGAAATGTGATAAAAATGTTGAATAAGAGCTTTCACGAAGCTTCAGAACGATTTGCTTTCTAGAATTGTTGAATAAGAGGTTACACGAAGTCTCAGAAAGATTTGATTTCTAGAATTGTTGAATAAGAGGTTACACGAAGTCTCAGAAAGATTTCATTTCTAGAATTGTCAAATAAGAGCTTTCACAAAGCTGCAGAAAGATTTGCTTTTTAGAATTTGACCAATCGATTTCCCTCTATAATAGTATAGTCGCGTAGTCGCAGTCGCAAAAAGTTTTCTTAGTTTTCATTTCTTTAAAAACTTTCAAAGAAAATAACCCTGATTTTCAGGGATTTTTAAAATGACAGAAAATGCAGAAAATGACTATGCTGACTACAGAAAATGACTATACTTTGTTGTTGGAAAGGAAAGGAAAGGAAAAAAAAAAAGGAATGGAAAGGAATCGTGGTGCGCATATGATCATCAATATGAGCAGTTATTGAAAAAGCTAAAGCGGGTTTTCTATAAAGTAAGCATGTTGGTTAGAAGACAGCTAAACTACTGGACAATGAAATATGATATTTGAAAAAAACGATCGTCACTTTCGCGCGTCTGTAACTCCGTTGTCTTTGCGTTTAAACGATTAGTGTTTGACATTTTCTGAAAGCTCTTTTCAACGGCTACACAATGGTAATATTAATATTTGAAAATACGGTAAAGACAACGGAGTTACAGACGCCCGAAAGTGACGATCTTTTTTTTCAAATATTATATTTCATTGTCCAGTAGTGTAGTTAAAGTTGATGGTTTCCAGTGAAGCACTTTCGCGCGTCTGTAACTCCGTTGTCTTTACCGTATTTTCAAATATTAATATTACCATTGTGTAGCCGTTGAAAAGAGCTTTCAGAAAATGTCAAACACTAATCGTTTAAACGCAAAGACAACGGAGTTACAGACGCGCGAAAGTGACGATCGTTTTTTCAAATATCATATTTCATTGTATATCCATTATCCCATAAAGCAATGCCGAGAAAAATGCTTTTAAAACAAGACTACGCAACACTCCGCTCAATCATCATCAAAAACAAAGTACAATTACAGTATTTAAAGTCATTTAAACTTTATTTTAACTTTATTTTAACTTTATTTTAACTCTTTCCCGATTACGCTAAAGAAACGCTTTAAAATGATAGCTTTTTAAAGCTCTTAGATTCATAAAGAGTACACCAGATGGTGAGCGTTTACAGCTCTTAGATTCATAGAGTACACCAGATAGTCAGCGTTTACAGCTCTTAGATTCATAGAGTACACCAAATGGTCAGCGTTTACAGCTCTTAGATTCATAGAGTACACCAAATGGTCATCGTTTACATAATCCTTCTAGCTATTCCTTCAAAACTTTAAAATCAAAAAAGGCCCATACTAGCGAATCCATTTACTCTTGTGCTTTCCAGATCTCTCAAATATCGACTCAAAATAAAATCTCGACATTCTACAGCCTCGTAATCGCCTCGATGGCCGAGAGATGATTGCCTTACCCGCATTTTTCCAATAACCTTCACAAAAAAATGACAAAGAGTAGACTCAAAAGAGTTAAAGAGTCAAAGACTTGAAAAAAGACTTGATTCCCCAATAGCACAGTGGATCGGAGAGGTGTACAGTCAACAACCGGATATCCCCAACCTCTTTCAGCTCTGACTCCACTTTTTCTCTGGGTGTCAATAGGTATGACCCTTTGTGCTGTTCAGGGAAATAAATCCTGGAACTCACTAGACCTTTACGGACGGGTTTGAAACAAATAGCAGCAAATTACAAAAATTACAAAAATTCGTACTACTGTACTTTGGTCGGAAAAAAAGACGAATCTCAGATTTTCGAAATTCCTCGAAAAATCGATTGCATTATCTAGTGTGCGTTCCAGCTTGGCTCTTACGTTCAAAATATTTGTTTAGTTTCTTCAAAAATCTCTATAAAACCCACCACTTCTCCCAGAATACAGCGCGGCGGCGTTCGTCAACGCGCCCAACCCATTCATAGCGCCTAAGCCACCTAGGCCGCTGAAATTTTAACGAATTAAAAGGATTATCTTTACTCTATCTCTTATTTTTGCTCATTTATATCTTTAATTTTAAAAAATTTAGTAAAAAACGATTTTTGATGTTTAAAAAGATGATTTTTGACTTTTTCTTGATTTTTTTAGATTTTTTTAAAGTTTAAAGTCTTTTTTTTAATCGTTACGATACTAATTTCTATAGTTATAAGAAGATTATTTGAAGGAAATTGATCTCCAAAAACTTAGACAAGGTTTTTGTTGTCTAAGACAACTTAGACAATCGGCAGCTCAAGCTCAGGCTCAAGCTTAGCAGCTCAAGCTCAAGCTCAGCAGCTCATTGCTCAGCAGCTCATTGCTCAGCATCTCATTGCTCAGCAGCTCATTGCTCAGCAGCTCATTGCTCAGCAGCTCATTGCTCAGCAGCTCATTGCTCAGCAGCTCATTGCTCAGCAGTTCATTGCTCAGCAGTTCATTGCTCAGCAGCTCATTGCTCAGCAGCTCATTGCTCAGCAGCTCATTGAACTTACCCCGTTAACAAAGCCGAATTCGTTACGCAATTCCCGTTAAAACAATATTGACCAAATGGACATGAAATGTATCTGGAAATGGAAATTGACTTTAAGAAAATTCGACTTTTTTCTCATCGGCTTTCGAGTTTCTAGAGGATTCTAGAGGGTTTCTTCAAACCTGCACATGTCATTCATTCCATTGTAGCCCGACATCGCCGTGTACAATGAGGAGCCAACGTATTGAGCGAGTGAAATGCTGAGCTTTTTATTTCAATGGATTTCAGTGGATTAAAATTTGAATTTCTTTTTTTATTGGCTCAGAAACAAACTTGATCAGAAAACAGAACCAGAAGAATATTGTTGTTGTTGTTGTTGTTCTTCTTCTTCTTCTTCTTTTTGCTCCCATTTCAAATCCCATTTGAGGCATTGTTGTAAAAAAATTATTCAAAAATATCTTTCGATATTCCCTTTCTAGAATGTGAAAAGGGGAAAACTGGTAAAAAGAGGGGGGAAATTGGGGAAAGGTTGAGGGGAAGGGGAGGAGTCAGAGCACAAATCTCTAACACCAAGTTCAGCAATGCAAATTGACGATGCATTCAAAAACTGATCCCTAGGAAATGTTCTGTGCGTTCCAGCATTGAAAGTAGGCGAAAAATTTTGTAAATCTTTTACTTCAAAAGTTTATTATTCAATCGAACGTGTCTCGGGGAGCGTATCGAGACTGTTTGGGTTGTGGAAGGCTGTGGAAAGCTGTGGAAGGCTGTGGAAAGCTTTGGAAGGCTGTGGAAAGCTTTGGAAGGCTGTGGAAAGCTTTGGAAAGCTTTGGAAGGCTGTGGAAACCTTTGGAAGGCTGTGGAAAGCTTTGAAAAGCTGTGGAAAGGGGAGGAGTCAGAGCCCGCAAATCTCTAACAGGGTTCCCGGGAGTGGGAGGCGAGGACTCTACCACTGAGCCACCTCTGCAATGGATAACTTGGGGAGATTTGAGGTCTTAAAGATCTCCGTAGAAAAAAGCCTAGATTATCGGAATTTCAGATTCGAATCCGGAAGTTTTCTATTCAATTTGATTGTTCATTTAAATGTTAATTGTTAATCGAAATTTCAATTTAGATTTCAAGTCAAATCAATTCAATTCAAATCCCAATTCGAACTTCAATTCGAACTTCAATTCAAATCCCAATTCAAATCCCAATTCAAATCCCAATTCGAACTTCAACTCAGATCAATTCCAATCTCGATTCAAATCAATTCAAATCCCAATTTAGATTCCAATTTAGATTCCAATTTAGATTTCAATTTAGATTTCAATTGAAATCTCGATTCAAACCAATTCAACTCAATTCAAATCCCAATTCAACTCAATTCAAATCCGAATTCAAATGAATCCCAAATCTCAATCTGAATGAAGTTTTCCTTCAATCGAAACTTCGGAATGCCTCCCATTTCCTGAAGCAATAACAAATATTTATTCGTTTCGATTATTTGTACATGACATTGATGAATCATTAAAGCTTAAAGGTATTGCTATACGATTTTTAAAGTTTAAATATCGTTTTCTCGAGCTCAGCCTTTTATTTATCCCATTCGGAGTCGATTTAGCCACAAAGGAACGCATTGATTTCGATTGCAAGTGTTTCTGAAAGTGTTTTTTTTTATTATTTAACCTTTAAAGAATGTTTTCTTTAAATCCTCTTTACTCTGGAGGATTACTGTAAAAGAAATCACGCTTTTTACAACTAAAAAAGACAAGGGTTACTGTAGTTTTGAAATTGAGAATGTACTTTATTGTACTGTACTTATTGTACTTATTGTACTGTACTTATTGTACTTATTGTACTTATTGTACTTATTGTACTGTACTTATGTACTTTATTGTACTTATTGTACTGTATTGCTAACCATTTACTGTAGCTATTGTACTTTTATAGACTCTACCGATAGTCTTGTCGAAAGAGACAATCGTTGTCCGATTGTACAAAAAAAGCTGTACTTATGTACTTTGCTGTACTTATTGTACTGTATTGCTAACGATTTATTGTAGCTATTGTACTTTTTAAGGCCTACCGATAGTCTTGTCGAATGAGACAATCGTTGTCCGTCTCACAATAGAAAGCAGCCGATCGAGTGGAGATCATCTAAAGAAATTTCGAAATTCAAAAAGAAAATTGAGATTTCTAAAGATGCGAAATGTTTTCCTGGATGTCACGACACATTTCTAGAATTCTAGAATAACGTTTTTCTCATTTTTTAACTTTTTTCGAAAATTTGTCTCTTACTACCGTAATCCTGGTGATTTTTTGTATTGGAAACGGTTTAAAAGCTATTTTTTTTTATTAGAAATGAGCTAGAATTCGTTTAGAATTTGTTTAGAATCTATTTTTCTAAACTTTTCACTTACTTTCAATACTCTTTTGTGCATTTCGAGTGGCTGTTGACACTCGTTTTCAAAGCAATACCCGCTTTCAAAGCAATCCGAATCATTCTCACAGATCGCGCTCAAACAGATGCCCAACTAAAAAGCGGAGGATCGAAAGTCGAAAGACAAAAGAGTACAAAGAGTACAAAGAGTACAAAGAGTACAAAAGAGTACAAAAGAGTACAAAGAGTACAAAGATCTATCTAATTGTTTAAATAGCTTTCATCCACTTACCAATATTGAGAGAAGAACCAACCGAAGCATATCTCCGATCATTGTAAGAGACTCCGAGGTTTCTCTAAAAAAGATGAATGGATTGATTAATGATTAATGAATTAATGAATTGATTAATGAAAATAAAAGGCAATAAAAAAAATACCGACTGGGGCTACCAGTGGTGAATTTATCGCATACACGAAATATATCAATCTTTACCGTATTTTCAAATATTAATATTACCATTGTGTAGCCGTTGAAAAGAGCTTTCAGAAAATGTCAAACACTAATCGTTTAAGCGCAAAGACAATGGAGTTACAGACGCGCGAAAGTGACGATCGTTTTTTTCAAATATCATATTTCATTGTCCAGCACTGTACAACATAAAAAGAGATTACGATTCGCGAGCTTTTTTTTAAAGTTTACGGTAGCCCTTAGTGTTCTTTATGTCGTTTAGAGGGCTTTAGTGGTTTTGCTGGCAGTTTACAAACACAAATAAAGCTGGTAGTTTACAAACACACTACTGGACAATGGAATATGATATTTGAAAAAAAGATCGTCACTTTCGGGCGTCTGTAACTCCGTTGTCTTTACCGTATTTCTAAATATCAATATTACCATTGTGTAGCCCTTGAAAAGAGCTTTCAGAAAATGTCAAACACTAATAGTTTAAGCGCAAAGACAATGGAGTTACAGACGCGCGAAAGTGACGATCGTTTTTTTCAAATATCATATTTCATTGTCCAGTACTGTACAACATAAAAAGACTCATTTCCATAATTGTTTCAATAGCTTAGACGAATTTTTGGATTCATTCTGATTCACGGCTTCAGCGCATCGAAAAAAAAAAGCTTTTTACCGTAACTCTAATGTCTCGATTATTTAGAAAATAGTTCGAAAAAGGTTTTCTTTTTAAATAACACCAAAAAAAGCTTCATCAATTCATTAATTATTAGGCTAAAAAAAAATACCGACTGGGGCTACCAGTGGTGAATTTATCGCATACACGAAATATATCAATCACAATACAACGACACACACAATACTAGGCTATATCTTAACTTAACCCACGTCATGACAGACGGCTCCCTAACCCTAAGCTCAATGGGGAACTAAATAGCTTTTTTGGTGGTGAAGGGAAGATGACGATGAAGGAGTGGCTTGTCACTTTAAAGAACTGGGGCCACAACCACCAGACTGCCCTCCAGAAAAACCTCTCAACCCGAAGGGAAAGGAAATCCGAAGGGGGTGACCATGTCGCATGTGGGGTTCGAACCCTCGACCTTCCGATTAAGATAAAAGACACTTAACCAGTCAGCCACACGTGCTTCAATAGGATTCAAAAGTTCCGATCGACAGCAAGAGACTTCGAGGTTTCTCTAAAAAGATTTGAATGATTTTGAAATTAATTTTGAAGCATCAAAATCAATTAAATTAAATTAAATTAAATTAAATTAAATTAAATTAAATTAAATTAAATTAAACAAAATTTAGAAAAATTGTTTTCATGTTTATTCAAAAAAAATCTAGTTGATCATTGGAGAGTTGGAGTGAAATTTTTTCCCCCTTTTTTTGAGAAATCTCTTCTGTTTATGACAGAATCGGGCATTTAGAATTCTCATTGAATCGAAGGAGAATGGCATTTCGAAAGGAAAATGAAAAGATGAATGGATTTTCCCGTCGCTTTCGCTTTTGAAAAAACAAAAAGGCAATGGGATTCGAAAGTTCTGATCGATCGCAAGAGTTGATTGCATTTCATTTACAAGTTTACATTACGGAACAATATAAAGCTTCAATGCAAGGCATCGGACAAGGATAGGCTCAAGGGTCAGTTGGCTATAGCCGGCTATTACTTAGGGCTTAGGCTTAGGCTTAGGCTTGGGTTTAGGCTTAGCGGACTTGAGGCTTAGGAAGCCTTAGCCTAAGCCTAAGCCTAAGCCCTAAGCCTAAGCCTAAGCCTAAGCCCTAAGCCTCAGCCTAAGCCTAAGCCTAGGGCTAAACTCTAGGATCTGTAAACTAGGACATGTTGAGATCCGGACAGCAAAGGAGGTCTAGAGATCTAAAGGTCGGATTAGTTAGAGATCTAAAGGTGTCGTGACGATCTCGTGATCGAGATCACCACGGATGGAAATGGTCAGCTAGACACCTTTGTGGGCGAACGCCTATTGTGCGAGATTTAATATGCGTCGCTATCCGTTCAACTCCATTGTGTGCAAGATGAGAACAGCGCCAAAGTTCTGTATAAAAGCAATGTGAACGAGCTGCCGGGTGTGCCGTGGAGTCGTCTCTACTCTCCCAATCCCAAACCACTGAACCAACTATTATTGCTGTAATAAAGATTATATCTAAACCAACAATAGTCACTACAAAAGGCTAGAGACTAGGAGTCTAGAGGCTAGAGGTCTAGAGGTCTAGAGGCTAGAGATCTAGTGGCTAGAGGTCTAGAGGCTAGAGGCTAGAGGTCTAGAGGTCTAGAGGCTAGAGATCTAGTGGCTAGAGGTCTAGAGGCTAGAGGCTAAAGGTCTCTAGCCTCTAGCCTCTAGCTTTGACCAGTCTACCTTTGACAGGTTCGGACTTTCCGTAGATCAGAGCTGTAGCTTCAGCTTTCAAATTTGAAACAAGCCAAACAAGGTAAGATCAGAAGCAAAGATCTACTCCCAGAAAGTTCCGGGTCCTAGACAGATTGGAATCAAGTCTAGAACTTGCTTCTAGACTAGCCTTGGGTATTTGAAACAATCTGATGACAAATAATAAGACGTGCCTCTGACAAAGATCCACCCACACTCCTCGGTTTTTATTTCAGCGCCTTTTCCCCACCCCTTTTCTTCACATAATCCTATTTAGAATTAACCCTTTCTTGAATTGAAAGCTCTAGTGAAATAAGGAAATGATTGAAATGAAAAGGGAATTTGTACACTAAAAAAGCGAGAAAATTTCAGAAAATTTCAAAAAATTTAAGACAAATTTCGAGTTGGCCTCATTTTTCAAATAATTCTCAAGACTTTGAAGCTTAAAATTTTCCCAGTTTTCAAACTGGAGCTCACAGAATGTAATGAGGCTTTAAGAATTGCAAAAATCGAGAATCGGGATTGGTGGATTGTACAAAGTACGCAGTACTACTGTAGACGTTCAAAAGCGTTCAATTTACGTAGTGAAGCTTTAGGGAAATGTTGTGGGTGGAGAGAATTCTCAAAATTCTCAAAAAGATTTCAGAGAATCCTTTCCCACGAGCGATTTTCGACCGCCTAGTTACCAATTTTTTTTTTCTTTTCTTTTTAGGGGATTTGTTAGAAGAGAAGTTGTTAAAAGTTTCAAAAGAAAATTTGTTTTAAAAATTCGCTCACATCAAGGAGAGGATTTTCTCGTTTTTAGAAAAAAAAACGATGCTTTGCTTTTTGTTTTTGTGAGTTTTTTTCGAATCTGAACGAGTTCATCAATAAATTTTGTGAAATCACAAAGAAAAGAGAGGGTTTTTCGATAATGGCTAAGCTAGTTGGAGCGCACAGAATGTTTAGAAAATGATATTTTATGAGTTTTTGAAATTTTAAAATTGTCGTGCTTTAAGGTGATGATTTTGGTTTGAAAGCCGAGTAAACGCGCTCTTTCTGGAATTGCAATTTGAAAAGAAAAGGTTATTACAGCAATTAATGATGTTCTTTTGAATAAAGTATTTTGTTTAATGATTAGAGAAGAGATAAGTGGAAAAGGGGAAAGAGAGAGGAAGAGGGAGAGGAAGAGAGAGAGGAAGAGAGAGAGAGGAAGAGAGAGAGAGGAAGAGAGAGAGAGGAAGAGAGAGAGAGGGAAGAGAGAGAGGAAGAGAGAGAATTGATGAGGGGAAAATTTTTGTAAAACAAATGAACCAAAAAAAAGGAGATGTTTTTTATTTGCTTAGATTCCTTATTTGCAAAAAAAAAAGTCGCACTTTGATATAACGAAACGCTCGGCACCGAAAACTTTGCTATAACAAGCTCTGAAACGTGTCTCAAACTTTCTTCATAGCTACCCTGGACGATCACTGATTGCATTTAGCTGGGACAGTTACGCAGAAATTTTGGGCATGTTTTAGAATTGTAAATTTGTTGTATCGAAGCTGTATTGTCTAGAGTAGTAAAAAAATAGATAAAACTTTTTATTTCGAAAGGTTTTTCTAAAGTATTGGGTTGGTGAATTGAAAACTGAAAGGAAGAAATGAAAGAAGAAAGCTCTCACAAAACATACCGGCAGAACATTAACTGGGATAGCTAGCTAAATCTCTACAATTTATTCGCCCAACTAATCCCATCTCTTGTGCAGATTTTAGACGACTATTGTACAGTCGAACCTCTCTATAACGTAACTCACGGGACGGCTATAGCTTACGTTATATAGAGGTTTACGTTATATAGAGTGCCGTTTTATATAGCTTAACGTCGGCCGGGACCGGTCACGCCTTACGTTATAGAGAGGTTTACGTTATATCGAGGTTCGTTATAGAGAGGTTCGACTGTACTTGTGAGTTGATCGAGTGCGACTTTTCCACACCCTTGTCCAATCAGTTTAAAAGTTCTTGACTTAAGTGCTCAAGTGACTCAAAAAAAAAAAAGAAGTGATTTAGGGGTATCTTTAGGTCACAAGTTGGCTCCTTTTCTAACGATCAAATGCCAAAAAAAGGAAGAAATGAAAGAAGAAAGCTCTCACAAAACATACCGGCAGATGTCCGGTTGAGCTATGTATCGATTATGTATCGATGAATGCACGAAAATCCGGGGAAAACATTTGTTATTGATTTCTGAAGCGCTTTGTCTTTTCAAATTTCAGTATTAACCTACAAGAATTACTAGGAAAGGATAGAGGGATGGAAAAAAAAAAAAAAGTTAATCAATCTATTAGGTTGGCAACTTAATAATGACGCGTTTATGTAACAAATCATTTATTTCAAAAAAACACAAAAGAAGAGCTTTCAATTCGAAAGGTATTCTATTTGTATCTATGACTTCTTCCCATCTTCTGCGCAAATCCCGGATCCCATCCTCGAAGAACTTGGGAGTTTTTGAGGAGAAGTAGTCATTCACTGCTTTTAT